TCACAACATTTGTTGGCGCACAGCATGCTTTCCAACTTATTAAGTTTATAGTTGTTATCAAGTAGACTCGTAGTGCACTTGCTGTAAACAATGACCTTGAGGAGACGCGCACGTTAAGTCTGTTCCAGAAGTCAGAAGTTCCATATCCGTGCCCTCAGAGCAAGATTCTGAAGTAAAAAGAGAAACAGAAGAGCAGCAAGGCACTTGGATATGAACGCTAGACGTTGCTTAACATTTTGTACTAGAACGGACAGAGGTATAATAAGTTAGCTTAAATTCATACTCTCTCTAGTTAGAGTGAAATGAAGTCAGAGGTTCCATATAACAGAATGTAGTAATAAAGAACAATGAGTTCTGATGTTTAACAAGTTGGAGTAAGCTCGCACGAAGGAAGGGAAGTCAAGGTTGGTACAAGGGAAGCGGTTTATTAGGAGGGTGTGTATATTGAGTGTGAAGTGTTAAGAATACTAATAATTATATTCTTTGTTATCTGATTTTTTATTTCTTTTTTTTGGTCCACCCGATGTCAGCCACACAATCCCAGTGTAAAATTCCGAGTTGGCATGTTATAGGTTGTCTTAATAGAATAGCTAATTCAGAATAATATTGGAAACATGAATGTGAATGGTGAGTGTATCACATGTTGATAGACTTGTTCTCAATCATAAAGAGTCTGATACAAACAAAATGTTTCACCTGACAAAGATGGATGGATTGAAGTCATCACCCTTACCATCAGTGCTTGCTAATCAGTAAATCCGCCCTGACTACTTTTGTGATGTTAGACTCGTTTGGGCTTATTTTTTAGATATATATCATACCTCACGCAATGCTATGTGTTTCACATCCTGTTGAAAACGCTATTTCTATAAGTACCATTTCACAAGCTTATCAGGCAGTTACAAATTATGAACTGTGGTAAGGCATCGTTCAATGCCTTAAATGACTACAATTGAAAATATAGGTAGCCAATCACATTTAAGGCACTAAAACATTTCGGTTTACGCTAACAACCAAATATTTACTGAAACACCATATACATGTATCTAAATGTCATGTCATTCAGTGATTTAATTCGACATGAATGTAATGAGCATCGGTAGTCTGAGAGGGTATGAAATTACTCATTCCTGCTATTTGGAACTCATTTAGCACACTATGGAATTGAACTCAGGTTCTGTTTAGCATTATACGTTGAAACGCCTCACTTGCGTTGACTGAAATACCTCTTGAATATGAAACTGTACAAACAGTAATGGGTAATTGTCAAAAACGTTATTCATTTCAGTAATACTTTACTAACTGAAGAAAGTACTGCCAGCATTTAAAACTTGACAGTTATCTAACATTCTATTTTAATCCTTGCCTAAAACAGCGAACTTCGCGTATCTACAGCTGTTAAGTTATAATTCTGCGGTGTTTGAATGAACTAATGATACCTTTGTACTTGTGCTTGTGTCTCACTTCTTAGTTCAATTGCGTTATTTCTGGGACTCTCAGTTCGTACTATAATTCAAATAATTCAAAACATTATACTGGCGTCGCGATGGAGCCTGTAATGGAAAAGTTAGATATTCATTCAACTTCTGAAGCTTTTAAAGATTACTGTGAAAGGTTCGAAATCTGGGCTATGACCAAGGAAGATAATGAGGATGTTAATATTGTGGCGCACTTCCTCACATTCATTGGAAAAGAAGCATACAGCTTATTAAGAACTCTGGCTATGCCGGAAAAGCCTATTTCGCTTCCTAATACAGCTATCAAGGAACTGCTGCTAGACTACGATTCACTGATTTCTAGTAATAATTAATTTTATAGTAGAATTATTACATATCATAAAAAATAAAGGAAATCTATTTTGCTTTTCGAACTGGTTAGAATATGGTGTTTGGTGAGGATAGTTGATATCAGGGACTGACTTCGGCTAGACAATCACTGAAGATGTGGGAACACTAGACTTCTGTCCAAGACTCTTCTAGTTAGAATCTACAAACAGTTGAGTTCAGGTGTGTAACGAAGGAAGCAGATATTTTCGGTATCACCATATGATTGTGTTTAGTATTGCAAACTAACCAAATTTTGAAATATGGACCAGTTAGTTCCAACCCAGTGGTTTGTAGGCAACGTAGTCTCTATAAAACCTGGAGATGCTTGATTCAGTTCCTAGGTTGAGGGGAACAGAGGCTGATTAGTTTCAAACCCGAAAGACAAAGACGTTTTTCAATATTCCTTGGTTTTCAGTAGTTATCTAAGTGAAGCCAACTCTCAAGAACGTTAAATAGTTTTGTCTACCATTTATTAGTTAACTCTGTAATTTGGAGCATCGTGGAAAAGTCTAGACATTTTGTCCATACATTCTTACTATGACTCAATGAAATAAAGCAGCGAGAAAAGTGAAATAATGTACATGAATTCATTGTATTATTTTGTAGAGATTATCACAAAATAAATTCATGAAACGCTCTGAGGAATAGGGTATCTTAGACCCAACTATGCGATATCAAGTTTTAACACGATATCCAAATATCTATGAATACAATTGTGTACACCATTTCGTCCACTGAAATCGAGTGCGTCTAAGCAAACGCGGTAGTTCATTTATGCTGTTTTTCTAACAATTATGGCTAATGGATAAAGATTTAATAGTTTTTACTATGTAGCACTTAGAAGCTGTAAACCATATCCAAAATTTTAGCTTAAAAGCCAAGGATCAAACAATCTATTCGGCTACAGCTATAGGCTTATCTATATCTGTGAAGTCAATTGAATCAAACATTTGTCTAGAAATCCAAACAAGACAGCAAATTTTAGTCAATGGTTAATTCTACAGTAACCTAAATTAGTATTCACAAAACATGAGCACTCTACCTTCTCTTTCATATTCTTAACACTTTACTTTTTGTGTTCGACTTTCGTGTAACGACGTCCATAAATGTCCAACTGGGCGAAAAACTCTGGGTGGGACAGAAATCTACATGTAACACTGGTTGTAAAATCTTCATGAATCTTTTTAAAAGGAAATGTTTACAAGGGACTTGAATTTTCAATTTTCAGGACTACAGTCTATAATGGTAAATTTCTTTATAATAGCTTTAACCTGAGAAAAGCCTACATTAATTCATTGAGCTTACCATCAAAAATTAGTTTGACGCGAGTTGTTCAAATAAGTCAAGGAATTATATTTAATTCATATATTCTCAAACGTAATAGTAAGAGCACGGCTGTGTTGTCTCCAAGTTCATAATATGATGCATTTATGTTTTTTAATATCTTGTATATACAAGCGTATATTGCAGAACACAAACTTATTTCATAATAAAGTTTTAGAATCTTGTTTATTCAGTTTAAGAACCCTCTTATTCTCTACATAGTAACAAATAACCATACATTTTACAGAGATTATATCGCAATTTAATTTGACCTTAAAGTTAAGCTCATCAGTAAGTACTAAGTCAGAATCCTTAATTTGTAGATTTTATAAAAATGCGGGTTAATACTAGCCAAAATTTTGAAGGGCCTATTTAAATGAATTTTCAGTCGACGAAATTAAACCTGAGGGATATTCGAAAATGAAGTGAAAGTACTTGTTGTCTACGTACATGTAAAGCTAGTAGATCAAAGTCAAATGGTGAATGTTTTCAGAAGTTCTGAGATACAGAGTAAATGAAAAATCAAAATTATACAATAGCAGCTCAAATGCAACATTTTTATGTTTATAAAGTAATTTTTTTCACATAAAGTAAGTATACTAATTCGGTTATAGGCATGTGCAACTATTTACTATGTTTTCATCTCCTTTTGAAGTGGTAAGATCAATATATATAAAGGTCAACTTTCACATTAGGCAGTCATTTAACATGTTTCACATCTTCACTATGATCCGCAATAATCGTTAGCATATTTTCACCCCTTTAAGATTAAAATTTAACTTTTCCACCAAATTTGGATTAACGACAAGAGTCGGCATTTTCATCTTAATTTACCCCTGTATGGAATACTGAACCATGTAGGCTTATTCTTTTACAGTGGTACTTCACAGTTTGTGTAATGATTTTGATCCCTAATATGCAAAATTGAAATGTTGATAATAACAAAATATAAATCACACAGTTCTGTTAGTCAGTAAGACTCATCATGGACATGTAATCTTCAGTACTATTAAGGAATGTTTACGTGAAACTCATATTACAAACACAGACTGGTTATTGCAGTTCACCTAATGAGTTTGAAGGAATTAATAAATATGCTAATAAATTTGTTTCGTAGACATTGAATTCAACATTCTATGATACAACTACGTTCTATAGTTTTAGACGAAATGACATATGGAAATGCAACCATCTAAAAAATGTATGATAAACTAGAATAACGGTTATACATTTAAACAAACAGCTAACATTAAATACAGCTCTAAAGAGATCAAAGCACTTCTAACAGCAATTATGAAGTGCTCTATTTACACTTGCAAGTTGGCAAAACAGGAATTGAATTTGTGCCAATGATCAAAAGTCGGACGCCTACAATCAGCCCTAGTTCCCTATAATTTTATGAATTATCGGTATAGTGTTGTGAAGATTGTTGAATTTTAATTGAGATCATGAACTGAGAAACGTCAGACCGCCGCTCAGTGCTTCCAGATTTTTTATGGACATCATGTTGTATGAATTTTCGAATCTCTCCCCTAAGGTCGTCACATGCCTTATTATAATTGTCTGGCGAGTTTGTATTTATACATACTACGGTCAAATCTATTCATCTGAACACAAACAAAACAGGTACCACGAAATACTAGTTGATTTCGTTTGCAAATATTTTGCTTATTTATTTTGAGTCCAAGATGAAAATATGGAAACCTAAATTGTAAGACATTATCGAAGTCCAACTGTATGATATCCGTATGAATTAATTTCAGAAAGATTTCGTCCATTGTTTAGAAAATCTACAAGCTAGCTTCATCTACGCATAATTAAAACCACAAGGAGCTATCATTTTACAAATGAAAATTAGGAGTGAATAAACGAAAATTCATAAACGAATAGTAATTATAATGGTAAGTTGTAGAAACGTACATGAGCAATATCAAATGAACTGTTCTCAATGATTCCAAAATTTAGAGCTTGATATTCTGATGCGTGGATTGAAGGTGTGGGTTTTGACTGATTCAGTTTATTGATGCATATTTGAAGTCTATTAATTAGAACGGAAAAGTCTTTCCCAGCCCTGTAAAGATATGCCTCATCAAATGCGTTTCTGCTGTCGTTCAGAGTTTCATTACGAGACTTTGCTTCGGTATTCTGAATTGAGATTTTCGGTAATATATCTCGATTGTCATTACTGATCTCAGCGTCATAATCATCTGTTTCATATTGATTCACTATATGAGTGTATAAATAAAGTTCTTGAGACTTTTACCTTTCAGAATCTCATCAACATCTTTAAGAGCTGACGCCAAAATCCGGCTAGCCTCTAGATTACTCATCTAAATCACATATCTAGTAATTATTGACTGAAACCGTCTAGACATGCTTGTAGGTCAATACAATCAAAGTTACGCGATTTTAACTTTTCGTGATGTTTACTACAGAACAACAAGCACATTAAAACACAGATATTTTACTTATTTTCAATAAAATGAGACAAAAAGTTTATTCTTCAACATGTAACTTGCTTATCTGATCAAAGTTTGCTTTCAGAGCAATTCGAATGGTTAATAACTCTGTTACAAGCTAGCGTGATACATTTGCGCTCACGTTATGGAGCAAGCATACGGTACTCGGTCTTTGATATCGTCGGATATGAGTAGCCTAAACGGTCCAATTCACTAACACTGGGGCGCATAACATTTATTTGAAAGCTAGTCCGCTTTGAATATAAATGGATGCATCTGCGGTATTACATCGGGGTTAGTAGAAACAGGTGCTATTACGGGTAAGTTGTTTGGTTTAAATATGTATTTTAGAGATAGAATAGAGGGCAGTGTGGTAGTTATACTATATCGCAAAGCTTTGTCACAAGCTTATACAAACAGATTGGTTTCTTTGAGCTCACTTTTTGCTGTTTCACTACGGTTTATGGTAACATGTATATTCAATGATTTTTGTAATGACAAAATAAAGACCAGTTTCGTTCTCCGTTTGTGATACTTTGCATGTGACGGCATTGATATTCGGCATCTGTTGTTCCTCTGTATCAGTGGTAATAAACGGGTATAATTGTTTGGCAATGCTAATATGTACACTCTACAGCTGTAATTTAAATAAGCGTTATGTCTGTCGTCTATTATTCTACTCCCTTGCTCATGGCCTATGACTGAAGATTATGATAATTTCATAGCATCATTTTATGTCATTCTACACTACGCCATAGTTCTGGCTCGGATTAATATTGAACATTACTACCGTATTTGATCAAGTTCATCACTCTGTTGGTGCCACCACGTGCAGTGAAGCCTTCATCAATCAAGTGAAATCATTCGTGGTGGTTACTTTAGAGGGAGCTTACAAGTAACATTCCATAAGAATTGTTATCACTTTGTTACTTAATATACCGTTTTCCTTGGAGACAGATGCTTCGGTTTGTAGTGTTGACCTTTTCTGGCATATCGTTAGTAACTGAGCGTATAGTTATATCGTGAATGAGCTCCTTTAATTGGATCAACCACAGGTTCCAGGTATTTGATTATGTCCAATAAGTGATAGTTTAGCCACTTTACTTCACTTATTTAAGTCGTTTTGGTAATGATTCGTGAATTTGCATATATTATGGTTTAAGTGCATTCGTCTCAGGATAGTATGAATTCTACATGCCAACATCTATCACATTACTAGGCAGAAGGTATGTTAGTCGCAATATGAAAATAATAAAATTACAATTCCAGTGTTAAGATAAGATGCTTGTTTCAAGAAAGGCAGTTTATTATTCGGTTATGTCTAAGAATACGGACTGGAAACATAATGGGGGAAATGAAGCCAATAATAATAGAAATAGTAATTGGTTGCCGACATGTGGTACAGCTGGTTCACGAGAGAGATGGTAATCCTTGAGTGAGGAAGTGCTTGTCAAGTCTCCTCTTAAAGCGATCCACTGGGGGAATGTAGTCACTTTGTCTGGGAGAGCATGCCAAATGGTGGGGAACTTTTAGCTAGAAAACTTGAGAATGTACATGAGTGTTCGCCATTTGATATGCAGTTTTTCGAGTGTTGCCTCGAGGAGAGTGGTTATGATGTTTTGGTAATCTGCTCGTGTTGCAGTGGTTTGGCTTACCTAGTATGTTAAGTGTCACTATCAGCTCACCTCATGCAATCCTGTAGCTCCTGAGATTTATGTCTTAGACTATCACCCACTTGGTTGTCTGTCTCTGTACTTAGTCCATGAGATTTGTGCCTCTTCTAAGCAGATCGGGCGCAACGACATTGTGAACTTCACGTGGGGCCACTAGTATGTATTAAACAGTTTTAAGAACAATTCTGAGGTAATTTAGCCATATCATCTTTGCATGACGCAGAGAGTTGCGCCTCCTTTGGTTGCATCTCTCAAGTACTTTGTGCCAGTGTCTATGCTTGCCGTGGTTAAAAACGTGAAATCATGCTCTGAGAAGAAAGTTAGGAGTGGATTTTCATGTATGATGTAGGTGCGTTGTGTTGTATGAGGCACGATCTTCACGATGCTACATTGCGATAGGTTAAGTTTTAACCCATTATCTACAGAATATTCCTCTAATTTTGTAAGGTCTTTTTATAACCCAGGTGAGTCCTTGTGGTAGCTTTGGTTCCTAAACGCACGATCTTGGAGGCCGAGCATATAATTATTGCAAAAATTCACATTCGACACGTAACATTTGGAAAGGGTCAAAATTGGTGAACGTGGGGACAATTGATCAGTATGGCATGGCTCAGCCTTTCAGGCATGATCATTTAGTGTAACTCGTGCCTTCCCATATTAAATGTTATTTTCTCGTCAACCGAAATATCTTCTTCAAAAGTACTAAACATCGCGTTGCTGATTTCACGATGGGACGAGTAAGCATAGGCGATGATGTGATTTCCACGCAGGACAATATGACAAATCTACCATTGTGGGATTAGGTCTATTATTATGGTACCGAAGATAAGTGTATTATTACCAAAACATACCAAAACACTACATTGGTGAGATTGACTAAAGGAACACACATTCATTTTGAATTTATGGATTGATTTTTCACCTCTCCTATCCATGTCTATTGTTTAATGTTCATGCGTATTAACGTATTGCAATAGTGAATAATGTTCATAGCCTAATGTTAAGAGCTGATCGTCTGCATCTATGTTTATCGACGATGGTTCATTGACAAGCTTTAGAAGCATTTACATGATTCAGTGAAACAGGTTTGTAAAAACACCAACCACTAATAAATATGGCTCCCAATCGACGTAAATATACATAAGCTGGCAATTAACTTAAACAAAGATTGGACGGTCATTCCCATCTAATTTGCCATCTTGTTTCTTCACTCAACACGTTACTTTATTTTAAACTATGAACCGTCTTTTAACATCCTTTCAACCAACCACTGCCTGCCTAATTTCCACTTTTCCAGTTCCATCGCTGAACAACAGGGACAGTCTTCCAGAAGTTTTAGTAAGCTTTAGCCACAAAGTTTTCGCAATATTAAGCACATTTCAGGTAGTTCGTCTAGTGAAAGCTATTTATTTACCTGGGCTCTTTGGATTTTTACTAAATCAAACAAGTGACAAAGTCAGTAGCGTTTAGCAAACCCATGAGAGTGTTACAATACTGCATGTCTAGTCTCGTTCCTATTGGATCACTACCACTTTTCATAACTGGTCTTTTATACTTTAAATGTTTTGGATAGCTTGAATCCCGAGAGTAATCCAGGCAAATTTTATTATTTTGCAGAATCGTTTGCCATGTTCTTAATACATGTTAGCGTGTTTATATTTTTTACTTCGATTAAGTACATATATTTCATATGAACCACTTTAAAAATCGTTTTTCGCTTACGTTATAAATAATAGCTACAAATGACATCATACTCTTACGAGAAAGTGTACTGTTCACAGAAGAGCAACATCAGATTCGAAAAAATCCGACACTTCTAAATTCTGATTATCATTACATGTTCATGAATGTTACTACGCTTACTACAGCAACCACTTATGAAACTTTTACACGATACCTAGCATGTTTCGAACTGTGGTTACATAAATCATGTCTCAACTTTGGAATATTTTCTGTCAAGTTTTTTGTTGTGATATTTCTCATTAGAAAAGATATTGAGCTGACATTTACATGGGCTGTATTATATCATCTTCATACCATCTCGGTTTAACACTTATTTGGACCGCCTTCAGCATCTTCCACCAAATTCTTGATAGTCGTTATTGTTATGAATATTTAGGTTTAGGGACTAAACTATCACAGTTGCCCAAAGAGACGTTTCACATGGTTAACACAATAAATTCACCGCAGTAGGATAACATCGTACTGCATTGGTATAATAACTAAAATATCACGTAAATTTTTGTCAAGTAAATATTCAAAATAAAAACTATGGAGCCTACTGCTAAAATTAACTCTAAGTATTCAAGTATTTCCGGACCGTAATTTGAAATATGATCAGGCAGCTCGGATCCATTAATGCTAAAAACTCCTGATATTTCCTAATCACGTAACACAGCTATACACATTCCCCAATAGCTAATTATCAATCAACACTTTAATTATTTATTCAAAATGGTTTCTAGATATCGTCATAAACATTATTATGACTTGATAATCACGAAATATGATTGACAAAACTGACGAAACTATCAACACAAACTCGGCTGCCAAACTGACTTTTAGTTATCAGTGAGTAGTGTTTTCCCATAGTTATCTCTATCTATTGTCGATTATTTCGGTATACTTTTTTGTCGATTGCTCATTTAGTAAACATCTTCGGACCCTATCAGTCTGTTAGAAGTTTAATGACACAAACATTCAAGCAAATCATCGGTATAAATAGTCCAGCAAATCCCTTGAATACCGAGACATTCTTGTCGAATTAACTCCAACACTGACAAAGGTTCATACCATTATCACAGACGTGAATTGGAAGTTACACTCCTTCGGTTATAATCTGTACTCTCCCTGATAATCACATGAGCAGCACTTACCTGTTCGTCATCTTGCGAAGACTTGTATGGCCAAAAGTTTATGTGCCACATCCTTTTCGCTTTAAAAGGATCTACAGATCTTTAAATAATCTACATAGGTCAGTGACACCGAGTTAATTTCATCTAACAAGTCATTAAGGAAGATCAAACATAGGAGTGGGAATAAGACTGTTCTTCTAAGAACCCTGTCGCGCTCAATTTTTAATATTTCCACATGGTTCCAGGTCCTTGGTAATACGCAGTGGGTGATAGTCTAGCCGCTCGCCTGAACTTATTCCAGTCGTTTTGGTGGCGATTTGTGAATTTCTAAATCTTGCAGTTTGAGCGACTAAGTTTGTCTCGGGACGGTATAGTTTATAGATATCAAATTAAGTGACCCAAATCGTAGAAATCCTGAAAACTACAGGCAGAAGTTTTAAATTTTCTAGATGACTAGAAAAGGTATTCTAGACACTTTTTGGTCAGGGTGCGTATGGTTTACTTAAGAATCTAGCTTACCCATAGAAACCAATTTCAATGATATATGGATTTCTTATAGAATTAATACCTAGTAATGCTCAGTGCGTCAGCTTTATGTGCAGACAAAAATGAACACTACATAGGTTAGTGAAACAAAATGATCAGAAATTTGGAGAACAGTCTTATTCCCACTCCTATGTTTGATCTTCCTTAATGACTTGTTAGATGAAATTAACTCGGTGTCACTGACCTATGTAGATTATTTAAAGATCTGTAGATCCTTTTAAAGCGAAAAGGATGTGGCACATAAACTTTTGGCCATACAAGTCTTCGCAAGATGACGAACAGGTAAGTGCTGCTCATGTGATTATCAGGGAGAGTACAGATTATAACCGAAGGAGTGTAACTTCCAATTCACGTCTGTGATAATGGTATGAACCTTTGTCAGTGTTGGAGTTAATTCGACAAGAATGTCTCGGTATTCAAGGGATTTGCTGGACTATTTATACCGATGATTTGCTTGAATGTTTGTGTCATTAAACTTCTAACAGACTGATAGGGTCCGAAGATGTTTACTAAATGAGCAATCGACAAAAAAGTATACCGAAATAATCGACAATAGATAGAGATAACTATGGGAAAACACTACTCACTGATAACTAAAAGTCAGTTTGGCAGCCGAGTTTGTGTTGATAGTTTCGTCAGTTTTGTCAATCATATTTCGTGATTATCAAGTCATAATAATGTTTATGACGATATCTAGAAACCATTTTGAATAAATAATTAAAGTGTTGATTGATAATTAGCTATTGGGGAATGTGTATAGCTGTGTTACGTGATTAGGAAATATCAGGAGTTTTTAGCATTAATGGATCCGAGCTGCCTGATCATATTTCAAATTACGGTCCGGAAATACTTGAATACTTAGAGTTAATTTTAGCAGTAGGCTCCATAGTTTTTATTTTGAATATTTACTTGACAAAAATTTACGTGATATTTTAGTTATTATACCAATGCAGTACGATGTTATCCTACTGCGGTGAATTTATTGTGTTAACCATGTGAAACGTCTCTTTGGGCAACTGTGATAGTTTAGTCCCTAAACCTAAATATTCATAACAATAACGACTATCAAGAATTTGGTGGAAGATGCTGAAGGCGGTCCAAATAAGTGTTAAACCGAGATGGTATGAAGATGATATAATACAGCCCATGTAAATGTCAGCTCAATATCTTTTCTAATGAGAAATATCACAACAAAAAACTTGACAGAAAATATTCCAAAGTTGAGACATGATTTATGTAACCACAGTTCGAAACATGCTAGGTATCGTGTAAAAGTTTCATAAGTGGTTGCTGTAGTAAGCGTAGTAACATTCATGAACATGTAATGATAATCAGAATTTAGAAGTGTCGGATTTTTTCGAATCTGATGTTGCTCTTCTGTGAACAGTACACTTTCTCGTAAGAGTATGATGTCATTTGTAGCTATTATTTATAACGTAAGCGAAAAACGATTTTTAAAGTGGTTCATATGAAATATATGTACTTAATCGAAGTAAAAAATATAAACACGCTAACATGTATTAAGAACATGGCAAACGATTCTGCAAAATAATAAAATTTGCCTGGATTACTCTCGGGATTCAAGCTATCCAAAACATTTAAAGTATAAAAGACCAGTTATGAAAAGTGGTAGTGATCCAATAGGAACGAGACTAGACATGCAGTATTGTAACACTCTCATGGGTTTGCTAAACGCTACTGACTTTGTCACTTGTTTGATTTAGTAAAAATCCAAAGAGCCCAGGTAAATAAATAGCTTTCACTAGACGAACTACCTGAAATGTGCTTAATATTGCGAAAACTTTGTGGCTAAAGCTTACTAAAACTTCTGGAAGACTGTCCCTGTTGTTCAGCGATGGAACTGGAAAAGTGGAAATTAGGCAGGCAGTGGTTGGTTGAAAGGATGTTAAAAGACGGTTCATAGTTTAAAATAAAGTAACGTGTTGAGTGAAGAAACAAGATGGCAAATTAGATGGGAATGACCGTCCAATCTTTGTTTAAGTTAATTGCCAGCTTATGTATATTTACGTCGATTGGGAGCCATATTTATTAGTGGTTGGTGTTTTTACAAACCTGTTTCACTGAATCATGTAAATGCTTCTAAAGCTTGTCAATGAACCATCGTCGATAAACATAGATGCAGACGATCAGCTCTTAACATTAGGCTATGAACATTATTCACTATTGCAATACGTTAATACGCATGAACATTAAACAATAGACATGGATAGGAGAGGTGAAAAATCAATCCATAAATTCAAAATGAATGTGTGTTCCTTTAGTCAATCTCACCAATGTAGTGTTTTGGTATGTTTTGGTAATAATACACTTATCTTCGGTACCATAATAATAGACCTAATCCCACAATGGTAGATTTGTCATATTGTCCTGCGTGGAAATCACATCATCGCCTATGCTTACTCGTCCCATCGTGAAATCAGCAACGCGATGTTTAGTACTTTTGAAGAAGATATTTCGGTTGACGAGAAAATAACATTTAATATGGGAAGGCACGAGTTACACTAAATGATCATGCCTGAAAGGCTGAGCCATGCCATACTGATCAATTGTCCCCACGTTCACCAATTTTGACCCTTTCCAAATGTTACGTGTCGAATGTGAATTTTTGCAATAATTATATGCTCGGCCTCCAAGATCGTGCGTTTAGGAACCAAAGCTACCACAAGGACTCACCTGGGTTATAAAAAGACCTTACAAAATTAGAGGAATATTCTGTAGATAATGGGTTAAAACTTAACCTATCGCAATGTAGCATCGTGAAGATCGTGCCTCATACAACACAACGCACCTACATCATACATGAAAATCCACTCCTAACTTTCTTCTCAGAGCATGATTTCACGTTTTTAACCACGGCAAGCATAGACACTGGCACAAAGTACTTGAGAGATGCAACCAAAGGAGGCGCAACTCTCTGCGTCATGCAAAGATGATATGGCTAAATTACCTCAGAATTGTTCTTAAAACTGTTTAATACATACTAGTGGCCCCACGTGAAGTTCACAATGTCGTTGCGCCCGATCTGCTTAGAAGAGGCACAAATCTCATGGACTAAGTACAGAGACAGACAACCAAGTGGGTGATAGTCTAAGACATAAATCTCAGGAGCTACAGGATTGCATGAGGTGAGCTGATAGTGACACTTAACATACTAGGTAAGCCAAACCACTGCAACACGAGCAGATTACCAAAACATCATAACCACTCTCCTCGAGGCAACACTCGAAAAACTGCATATCAAATGGCGAACACTCATGTACATTCTCAAGTTTTCTAGCTAAAAGTTCCCCACCATTTGGCATGCTCTCCCAGACAAAGTGACTACATTCCCCCAGTGGATCGCTTTAAGAGGAGACTTGACAAGCACTTCCTCACTCAAGGATTACCATCTCTCTCGTGAACCAGCTGTACCACATGTCGGCAACCAATTACTATTTCTATTATTATTGGCTTCATTTCCCCCATTATGTTTCCAGTCCGTATTCTTAGACATAACCGAATAATAAACTGCCTTTCTTGAAACAAGCATCTTATCTTAACACTGGAATTGTAATTTTATTATTTTCATATTGCGACTAACATACCTTCTGCCTAGTAATGTGATAGATGTTGGCATGTAGAATTCATACTATCCTGAGACGAATGCACTTAAACCATAATATATGCAAATTCACGAATCATTACCAAAACGACTTAAATAAGTGAAGTAAAGTGGCTAAACTATCACTTATTGGACATAATCAAATACCTGGAACCTGTGGTTGATCCAATTAAAGGAGCTCATTCACGATATAACTATACGCTCAGTTACTAACGATATGCCAGAAAAGGTCAACACTACAAACCGAAGCATCTGTCTCCAAGGAAAACGGTATATTAAGTAACAAAGTGATAACAATTCTTATGGAATGTTACTTGTAAGCTCCCTCTAAAGTAACCACCACGAATGATTTCACTTGATTGATGAAGGCTTCACTGCACGTGGTGGCACCAACAGAGTGATGAACTTGATCAAATACGGTAGTAATGTTCAATATTAATCCGAGCCAGAACTATGGCGTAGTGTAGAATGACATAAAATGATGCTATGAAATTATCATAATCTTCAGTCATAGGCCATGAGCAAGGGAGTAGAATAATAGACAACAGACATAACGCTTATTTAAATTACAGCTGTAGAGTGTACATATTAGCATTGCCAAACAATTATACCCGTTTATTACCACTGATACAGAGGAACAACAGATGCCGAATATCAATGCCGTCACATGCAAAGTATCACAAACGGAGAACGAAACTGGTCTTTATTTTGTCATTACAAAAATCATTGAATATACATGTTACCATAAACCGTAGTGAAACAGCAAAAAGTGAGCTCAAAGAAACCAATCTGTTTGTATAAGCTTGTGACAAAGCTTTGCGATATAGTATAACTACCACACTGCCCTCTATTCTATCTCTAAAATACATATTTAAACCAAACAACTTACCCGTAATAGCACCTGTTTCTACTAACCCCGATGTAATACCGCAGATGCATCCATTTATATTCAAAGCGGACTAGCTTTCAAATAAATGTTATGCGCCCCAGTGTTAGTGAATTGGACCGTTTAGGCTACTCATACCCGACGATATCAAAGACCGAGTACCGTATGCTTGCTCCATAACGTGAGCGCAAATGTATCACGCTAGCTTGTAACAGAGTTATTAACCATTCGAATTGCTCTGAAAGCAAACTTTGATCAGATAAGCAAGTTACATGTTGAAGAATAAACTTTTTGTCTCATTTTATTGAAAATAAGTAAAATATCTGTGTTTTAATGTGCTTGTTGTTCTGTAGTAAACATCACGAAAAGTTAAAATCGCGTAACTTTGATTGTATTGACCTACAAGCATGTCTAGACGGTTTCAGTCAATAATTACTAGATATGTGATTTAGATGAGTAATCTAGAGGCTAGCCGGATTTTGGCGTCAGCTCTTAAAGATGTTGATGAGATTCTGAAAGGTAAAAGTCTCAAGAACTTTATTTATACACTCATATAGTGAATCAATATGAAACAGATGATTATGACGCTGAGATCAGTAATGACAATCGAGATATATTACCGAAAATCTCAATTCAGAATACCGAAGCAAAGTCTCGTAATGAAACTCTGAACGACAGCAGAAACGCATTTGATGAGGCATATCTTTACAGGGCTGGGAAAGACTTTTCCGTTCTAATTAATAGACTTCAAATATGCATCAATAAACTGAATCAGTCAAAACCCACACCTTCAATCCACGCATCAGAATATCAAGCTCTAAATTTTGGAATCATTGAGAACAGTTCATTTGATATTGCTCATGTACGTTTCTACAACTTACCATTATAATTACTATTCGTTTATGAATTTTCGTTTATTCACTCCTAATTTTCATTTGTAAAATGATAGCTCCTTGTGGTTTTAATTATGCGTAGATGAAGCTAGCTTGTAGATTTTCTAAACAATGGACGAAATCTTTCTGAAATTAATTCATACGGATATCATACAGTTGGACTTCGATAATGTCTTACAATTTAGGTTTCCATATTTTCATCTTGGACTCAAAATAAATAAGCAAAATATTTGCAAACGAAATCAACTAGTATTTCGTGGTACCTGTTTTGTTTGTGTTCAGATGAATAGATTTGACCGTAGTATGTATAAATACAAACTCGCCAGACAATTATAATAAGGCATGTGACGACCTTAGGGGAGAGATTCGAAAATTCATACAACATGATGTCCATAAAAAATCTGGAAGCACTGAGCGGCGGTCTGACGTTTCTCAGTTCATGATCTCAATTAAAATTCAACAATCTTCACAACACTATACCGATAATTCATAAAATTATAGGGAACTAGGGCTGATTGTAGGCGTCCGACTTTTGATCATTGGCACAAATTCAATTCCTGTTTTGCCAACTTGCAAGTGTAAATAGAGCACTTCATAATTGCTGTTAGAAGTGCTTTGATCTCTTTAGAGCTGTATTTAATGTTAGCTGTTTGTTTAAATGTATAACCGTTATTCTAGTTTATCATACATTTTTTAGATGGTTGCATTTCCATATGTCATTTCGTCTAAAACTATAGAACGTAGTTGTATCATAGAATGTTGAATTCAATGTCTACGAAACAAATTTATTAGCATATTTATTAATTCCTTCAAACTCATTAGGTGAACTGCAATAACCAGTCTGTGTTTGTAATATGAGTTTCACGTAAACATTCCTTAATAGTACTGAAGATTACATGTCCATGATGAGTCTTACTGACTAACAGAACTGTGTGATTTATATTTTGTTATTATCAACATTTCAATTTTGCATATTAGGGATCAAAATCATTACACAAACTGTGAAGTACCACTGTAAAAGAATAAGCCTACATGGTTCAGTATTCCATACAGGGGTAAATTAAGATGAAAATGCCGACTCTTGTCGTTAATCCAAATTTGGTGGAAAAGTTAAATTTTAATCTTAAAGGGGTGAAAATATGCTAACGATTATTGCGGATCATAGTGAAGATGTGAAACATGTTAAATGACTGCCTAATGTGAAAGTTGACCTTTATATATATTGATCTTACCACTTCAAAAGGAGATGAAAACATAGTAAATAGTTGCACATGCCTATAACCGAATTAGTATACTTACTTTATGTGAAAAAAATTACTTTATAAACATAAAAATGTTGCATTTGAGCTGCTATTGTATAATTTTGATTTTTCATTTACTCTGTATCTCAGAACTTCTGAAAACATTCACCATTTGACTTTGATCTACTAGCTTTACATGTACGTAGACAACAAGTACTTTCACTTCATTTTCGAATATCCCTCAGGTTTAATTTCGTCGACTGAAAATTCATTTAAATAGGCCCTTCAAAATTTTGGCTAGTATTAACCCGCATTTTTATAAAATCTACAAATTAAGGATTCTGACTTAGTACTTACTGATGAGCTTAACTTTAAGGTCAAATTAAATTGCGATATAATCTCTGTAAAATGTATGGTTATTTGTTACTATGTAGAGAATAAGAGGGTTCTTAAACTGAATAAACAAGATTCTAAAACTTTATTATGAAATAAGTTTGTGTTCTGCAATATACGCTTGTATATACAAGATATTAAAAAACATAAATGCATCATATTATGAACTTGGAGACAACACAGCCGTGCTCTTACTATTACGTTTGAGAATATATGAATTAAATATAATTCCTTGACTTATTTGAACAACTCGCGTCAAACTAATTTTTGATGGTAAGCTCAATGAATTAATGTAGGCTTTTCTCAGGTTAAAGCTATTATAAAGAAATTTACCATTATAGACTGTAGTCCTGAAAATTGAAAATTCAAGTCCCTTGTAAACATTTCCTTTTAAAAAGATTCATGAAGATTTTACAACCAGTGTTACATGTAGATTTCTGTCCCACCCAGAGTTTTTCGCCCAGTTGGACATTTATGGACGTCGTTACACGAAAGTCGAACACAAAAAGTAAAGTGTTAAGAATATGAAAGAGAAGGTAGAGTGCTCATGTTTTGTGAATACTAATTTAGGTTACTGTAGAATTAACCATTGACTAAAATTTGCTGTCTTGTTTGGATTTCTAGACAAATGTTTGATTCAATTGACTTCACAGATATAGATAAGCCTATAGCTGTAGCCGAATAGATTGTTTGATCCTTGGCTTTTAAGCTAAAATTTTGGATATGGTTTACAGCTTCTAAGTGCTACATAGTAAAAACTATTAAATCTTTATCCATTAGCCATAATTGTTAGAAAAACAGCATAAATGAACTACCGCGTTTGCTTAGACGCACTCGATTTCAGTGGACGAAATGGTGTACACAATTGTATTCATAGATATTTGGATATCGTGTTAAAACTTGATATCGCATAGTTGGGTCTAAGATACCCTATTCCTCAGAGCGTTTCATGAATTTATTTTGTGATAATCTCTACAAAATAATACAATGAATTCATGTACATTATTTCACTTTTCTCGCTGCTTTATTTCATTGAGTCATAGTAAGAATGTATGGACAAAATGTCTAGACTTTTCCACGATGCTCCAAATTACAGAGTTAACTAATAAATGGTAGACAAAACTATTTAACGTTCTTGAGAGTTGGCTTCACTTAGATAACTACTGAAAACCAAGGAATATTGAAAAACGTCTTTGTCTTTCGGGTTTGAAACTAATCAGCCTCTGTTCCCCTCAACCTAGGAACTGAATCAAGCATCTCCAGGTTTTATAGAGACTACGTTGCCTACAAACCACTGAGTTGGAACTAACTGGTCCATATTTCAAAATTTGGTTAGTTTGCAATACTAAACACAATCATATGGTGATACCGAAAATATCTGCTTCCTTCGTTACACACCTGAACTCAACTGTTTGTAGATTCTAACTAGAAGAGTCTTGGACAGAAGTCTAGTGTTCCCACATCTTCAGTGATTGTCTAGCCGAAGTCAGTCCCTGATATCAACTATCCTCACCAAACACCATATTCTAACCAGTTCGAAAAGCAAAATAGATTTCCTTTATTTTTTATGATATGTAATAATTCTACTATAAAATTAATTATTACTAGAAATCAGTGAATCGATTGCCGTGTTAAGACAAGTAATGTGAAAAGTAAGAGCTTGGAAATGTGCAACCTTTATTTCTTATCAGAACTACCTCAAATAATTTGTTGTACCGTTATAAATAAATCATAATACTTTAATCGCACTACCTTATATATACATATACTACAGACAGAATTTCGAAGGTAATTCAAGATATCCTTACATAGATCACTGGCCATTTCATTTGGTTAGCGAGGTTTATTAGGTTTTAGTTTTGCTACCAAAGACTCAGCTTTACGGTCCAAATAAGGTTATGGTTATGCTGAAACGAACTGAAAAAGACTTAGTATATATTTGAATTCATAATATAGTGGTTTTTTCGTAAAATATTGTAAAACATAGCAATAATGAGTAAATTTACAAAATAAGTCTTTTAATGTTAAATTATAATCCGATTTCGAAGTATTGTTGTGGTTCATTTTATTAGCTAATTTAGTGAAGAAAACGGTGAGCAATAAAAATCACGCTTTGCCAGTTCAAGTTAAAAAATATAATCTCTAGCCTTCAGTACATATGATATCAAACATATCATTATTAATTTATCCGAAATAATATAGATTTTTGTGTATGACGAACACAGTTTTACAACATGGATCAATTTTGACTTGATAATCAATAAAAACTAAGACGCTCTGGATAGTTGTTTCCTTCTAATATTTGTCTCCTCTGTCATTATTGGTAGCATTTGTTTCACACTTGACATAATTGATCATTAGACTGAATCATATTGATAGATGTAAGCCAGCTTGTTGAGGCCTAAATAAATATCGTGACTAATGGTCTTAGACGTTGATTGATATGTCTCATAATCGATCTTGGCATTATAGATACATTCAATCATTGTGTTCCCTTAGACATTAAGTTCCAAAATTACTGTACGATGTTTGTTGTACAAGTTCATTCAGCTTGATGCTTTTTCTTACTATTAATGGAATTATAATTACTTGTACTATGATATTCTTCATCTTTCTCTGTTGATGTTTTATGGAGAATAGGACCAGTGTGCATATTTGCATGGTTCTCATGTTGCTTTCTTCTGACTTGAGATTTGTACTCTACCACCTCTTACGACATCCAATGTAAACTTGTTATTCCCACACTGTTGCATAGTGTTATTGTTTTCAAATAATGTGAAAACTTAAGCGGATCTCAAACTTAACTTTATCAAATCATACTTTAACTATATTGTAATAATAATAATTATTATTGTTATTATTACCGCAGTGTTTTTTCAAATTCATTTTAGCGCGTAACCACACAACCTACTAAATTCAACTTGAATTTAAGTGAACAATCTAAACAAATGCAGTCTCAATACGTGTTTCCCCCGGATGAATTTAGTACATGCCTCAACGATAAACGCTTTCATCAACGAATCACTAAATTACGAGGACAAATACAAGCACAAGCTAATCGTATTGCAGAATTAGAGAAAGATGGAAATCCAGTAAGCTATGCGTCATTTTATTTACCATTGATGTTTTCATTATGATTTTTTTAACGATGAGGAAAAGTTGTAACAACGTTTTATTATCTAGGCTGATTGAGGTCCGCAGATTATCGTAATAAATATTCACAGACTTTGAGTGACATGGCTAGAGATCATTAGCAGATACATTCACTCCTTGTCCTCAGATTATCCTATGAATTCCTTTAATTTCACTAATTAATATTCTCTTCTCGAATCGTATCTTTGATGCCTAATCTTTTCTACTACCACTAATACTGTTAGTACTACTAACATTCTGGGACTTGCCTTGACCATTTCGTATCACTCTACCAATGGGGCATGGTGACTTGAACCGATGTACATATGTCTCAGGTTCTACATTATATATGAATGACTCACATTCGGAAAATGTCGTAATTGTTAACGAAATTACGAGAGAAAATTTAACATCAAGATATGTCATAAAAGTTCTGTCACGCTGTTATAAACGCTAGAGAAAAGTTTATATGTTTTTCATTATTTACGTGTTTCAGTAGACAGAAATGTATGAATTTTTTAAAAATTTATTTTACTCTACATCTATCACACAGAAGTGGAGTTGTTTGAAGAAAAAATACCGATTAGACAAAGTGTAAATTTAAATCTATGTATGTATGATGTACTTTTTTCAACTGCATACATTGGTTGGTCGCTGAATAGAGATCGATATCGTGTTTATTTGGCCCTGTAAGTGCTGGTCGAATGTTATTAATCAAGTTGCAATGTGGTCACCAGTTTAGCTGACTCAGCGTTGCGTGAACTGTGTTTATATGTTCAGTATCTGTAGATAGTGGACAGGAAACCTCGAACCTAGAGGTTTATGACATTTCGGACTCGTCAGCAATTCCTACTTGTAATCTTGCAAAATAATCAATCAAAGTGGATCAGTGCTTAAAGAGCCAGGTTGGCACGACACTAGTTAGTGCTCCGTGATCAGTCAATTGTAAATATCTCAATCGCTACCCGATTAACTCAGCCGTAACATCTCAGACTTGAGAACAGGTTTACTTGAGTTCAAACTCGTCGGGGAATATTATTTCCCTGAAAATATCATGTACACCTTACTAACGAGTTCCAACTAGATTGAAACCCAAGTTATGTAGGATTTCCTATTAACCTCGTCCAATCATGTAGAATATACAAGCATTCCGTTTTTAAGTGATCAGACCTTTAGCTTATGATGAAGTTGATCTTGAAATATTAATTACAGAATTAACGGAACCAAATTTAATCCAAAAATCTCTCTCTAGAAATATGTGATAAAAGCATTTCACTAAATGTTTATTTTTTAAAATTTTTATTTTTCTCTTGATCGTTTTGAGAGGGAGAAAAAACTGTTTTCATGTTGACCGTTTTCTCTCAGTGAATATTTCAAATTGATTTACTAAAAGAAAATTTTGATGAAACCATTTATTAACCGGTGTGTTTATGTAGATGTTTTGTGTAGTTAGTGGATAGTCCCAATGATTACTTATTGTTTACATATAAGTGTCATATTTTTTCTTTCTAAAATTCGATTAAAATTTTAATCTTTCCAAAAATAAATACATCAATTTCTTTCTATATTCAATCTTTACACATATTCTCCGAATAAATTAGTCAATTTAATTCCACTTTAATCTTGGTAATTTCTTCTATTATCCTGATGATTTAATCGAGTATCATTATTGTTATTACTACTACAGAGATGATAATTTGAATAAATGAAGAATTAAATGACTTATTTATCTGTTCAGATATAATTGTAAAGTATTGTCTAAATGAAAGATTTTTCAGAGAAGTAAAGTTTCATTTCGATGATATCATTTAGTAGTGCTGTTTAACTGTATTTATCGTCAAAATTTTACATGGAATTATTGAGTCATCGACAGAAGTACTAAAAGTCAATCAGAATTTAATGTTTCGTAATAGTCCAGAGGTAATAAAAATGGGATAAAATATAGGAACCAAATGTTAAAGTTTGTTCATTTAACGATTATAAAGAAAGATGAAAGTATGAACGAACACATGTCAAAAAAATTCACATAATGATATGAAGAACTGTAATATGAAAAATAATTGACCACTTGAAGAATAATGAACAATGAAGAAGAGAGGTTTTGGGGATGTTAGGTCCCTATAAATCACTTGATAAACCTCTTATTTTTGTAATTTTGTTTTGAAAATCTTTATCATTTTCGCGGCAAAAGCGCCTACATTTACCTTCAGATTATATTTCCTACTTGGAAGGATCCTAAATATCATTGGTTTGTTTCCTCTTTTAATACGCTATTTTTCGACGTTTCCGAAGGCCACTTTTATACCGTATATATACGCTTGAGTTATGACCCGTTTTTTGTGCTTCCAACTGCTTGTGAAATATAGTTTTCCCTCGGCTGAATCTGGTCTTCTCTCTCTAGTTAGCAGGGCTGAGGCACAGTGAATCGTTTAGCTTGTTCTCTTGTCGTGTTGCTGACTTCCATTTCGTTCATCGGTTAAGTTGAATCATAATCACTTCAAACGTAGCAAGAGGATAAGTTAGTTTGACGGAAATACAGTCGTCGAGACCTTGAGAAACAGACTATCCAGATCGTTGTCGAAGACCTTTTATTCAGATGAACTACAAACTGTATTTTACAGTAGATGACTGATACAAGGATGTGTCAACAATGTACAGCCGATTCGGCCTACGTCATTGTGTATCTACCAGTTTACGTACTATGGCAATCGCACGAAGGATGGTCTTTCCAAACACATATCCAAGATCTATCCAGCATCATTATCAAAATGTAAATGCAAAATCACTGTTAGCTCAATTGTTGAACATCTGGACATTTTCAGTCACATATCCATACAAGAATATTTATTTACATTTCTTCACGATATTAGAAGAACTGATTCAAAGGAATGGTAGTTAAAAAACTTATGCATAATGAAGACTTTGGGGATTCATCATTTCAAACCCGATCTTTGCATTCAGAAGCAATGTATTCAGTCCCTTAGTTTATCATAATCCTAACACCTCTTCACATTTTGTCAGTTATTTCTTTACATGTGTTTATTTTATTCTCCTCTTCATCTTCCCATTGTCAATTACTTCTCACATCTCAGTTCTTTATACCATTTTGTGAATTGTTTTGATATGTGTTCACTCATATTTTCGTCTTTCTTTATAATCGTTAAGTGGATTATCTTTCACATCTCATCTCTATTTATTTCTGTTATTGACTTAATAATTCTCTGTTTTTATTATAGAAATTTAACGGTAAATACTAAATGATATCGTCGAAAAGAAAATTCTCTTCTCTGAACTATCTTTTTTATAGTTATTCTACAAATCTTTGGACAAAAGTCTATTATTATTATTATTATTATTATTATTATTATTATTATTATTATTATTATTATTATTAGCTAGAGAGAACACTAGAGATTGTTTATTATTTTAACTCTCTATCATGGATTGAGTTTGGCTAAACAACCGTTGAAAACCAGATTGCACTGGATAGCTATTTCATCTTAATGTGAAACTCCTCAACGTCAATCCATATTCGCGACTATATCAAGGAACGAAGTTAAAAAATAAATTTCACAAAAACACTACTAAACCACTATACTCCGAATCTTAATAACAATTAGATGTATAAGTGATTAATTAATATTGCATACTTCCATCTACGTATTTATCAATTACTCGACAGAATTTACTTTGTACTTAGTGTGTACTCATCGTTTTCACACAACTATAAACACGTACACTTTATTTTCTGCCTTATTATTATCAATACTGAACTAACGTCGATAGTACTACTACAAAATTATCATTATTATAATAATACTACACTTAACATAAAAGTCATTTTATATATTTAATCTTATAATTGATTAACATATTTTTCTAAATATTCGTCTTTCCTGACTAATTTCTAAGTGTAGATGTGATATGACAGAGAGTGAGAGTGAGAGAGAGAGAGTTAAGTGCATACTTACACGATACATTTACTACAAGATGATTGTATTGTTAAATGTATATAGATGTATATTTCCATAACCACTAAAGCACAGCTAATTATATATACACGTGATAAATACGCAATAAAATTGTGCAATATTACAGTTGATCAATAGTCATTATTGTAAGAATAATTATTGATAATGTCGAAGTTTATTTAGTTGGTAAGATGCATTGATTTATGCACACTCATTTCAGGTGTTCTTCTATTGATCTGTTTTTGTGTCAAGGTTATTTATAGATAACTAAACTACATTGAGTTTATGTCATTGTATGGATAAATAAAGTTTAAGTTTATGAGACAATATAATGTTCTTGACCTAGTGTTTTAGCATTGTATTTCGATAAAAAAAAGAATGAAAACTATGCTAAATATTGTTAATTAATATTGTAAATTAATTCATTTAAATATTAGTCCGTCGAATAATTCAATTTATTTGTTGTTAAAAATTTGATACTGACTCAGTGACTTGAAGGGTTAAATGTTTGGCACGAGATTTGGAGGTCGTGAATTAGATCTCTGGCAGAGTCTTGGATGCTCAGTTCTAAGAATTCCACATGCTAGGTAGGAACATCTGTTATCTGGTTTCAGATTTTCGATCAATGTCTAATGCTTAGTATATGGATGTGAAGCGTTGCCTTTAAAAATAAATAATATTTGTAGGTTACTAGCATTTGATTTTAATTGTCTACAAAACATTACTCGAGTATGTTGAAACTATTACTTGGGCAATTCTGATTTTAGATTCAGTTGATGAGGTAATTAATTTTCATTGACTGAAGTGGCTGGGATTCAACTACCTGCTTCCTACCTTGACAATTGATGTATGGTGGTATAGAAGTAGGTTAGTCGAAAACTAAGGATAGTCAAACCAAGACATACATCAGTTCATAAAGTCATTGACACTGACTGTTGAACTAAATCATACTAATAAGTGCAGACAACTTGGTTGAAGTACTCATTCTTTCTGTAACCAACAATTGAAGACATTCTGGGACATATCACAAAATCGGTCAGAATAACTCTAATCCTCTTACTTTATGTTTTCCCTTAAATCTTGAGTGTTAAAACTATTTCCTATTTTCATATCCTAATAATTCATTCTTTCTATTGGACACCACCGATGCACATACGGTCTACTAGCACTGATAATACTACTAATACTCCGACATTTCACTGTGCTTATATAATGTGGCAATTTTAACCGATGTACATATATTCCAGCTTTAACGTTGTTTACGACTGACTATTTTTGTGTTTCATTTGCTGTCGTTTTAGTTCTACTTGAATAGAAACCCCAATAACGTCGATTTTTCATTGAAATAACAAACCAATCTAAGTTAGACTATGAATGAGGACTTTGAAGAACTAGACCCTCGTCTCATTCTAGTATGGAATTCCTCCGGAGTTCTCATCTGCATCCCTGCATGCGGGACCCGAACCCAGGAACTTCGATCTTGAGCGAGAACACCTAACCTCCTAACTAATGGGTTGATGTCCAACCTCAGTCAATCTACGACATTGCTCGACCATCGGCCATTGTCTTCGGTGGGTGAGTGCCTCACACTTGACACGGATTAGCTCTACTGGTCTGGTTTCTCTTTAGAACTCCGGAAATTTCCTATGTATGATAGTCACTAGTGAGTAAGTGATGATTATCACCAAGTGGTCGTCGAGGCTATTGAATTTTGTTGAAATCATGAACCAATCTAAGTTAGACCACCATTGAAACCCTGGAAGCACTCTAGAAGGAAGCGGCCGTCCAATGTTTCCTGGATTTAAATGCTGGTCTAAATTAGATCGGTTCATTATTTCAATGGAGTTCAGCTATCTTCATAACCCTATAGTGAAAAACAATGACTTTTATTGATTATTTTTATCTGCAGATTGAGTTGAAAATCCTGCAAAAATTTGTTAATCATTATTTTGATATTCACATACTGACAAATCTGGCATAGTGAGGAAGGATATTTTTACTTGATGAAGCTGAAAAAGACTGGCCAATTATTAGTCCTAATTACCTAAGCGCATGATTGCAGAACCTTCGGGATAAGTGCTTTGGGTTGGTCAACTAGCCTTTTTATATGTAGTTTCTCATGTGTTAACCCCATACCTTTTAGGCCTTACTGCCGGCGGGGATTCTTGAGCCAATATGAGGTGCGTTATTTTTTGGAAGTTGACCCTATATAATCCTCTTCTTTTGTCGTAGTAAGACAGTACCGGTGTAGATCCAGGTTGTTTGAGGAAAATATCCTACTGCCTTGTCATTAGAGTAAAACTAGGTAAATGATTTTGTTCTCGGACCTTAAGTAATTGTCTTTAAACTACCATAACATAACTGACCAACTTTTATTGGTAGGACCTAAAGAAAAAAATATTTCACCCAATATACTCTGACTGGCTCAAAACCACAGGCAAGTTTAATCACCGCATCAAATTATTAGCTATGGTCGGGAACCCAATACCTACTACAGGTCGGTGACCTAGTTTTTCAGTAAATAACGCTTAATAGATATAAACAAAGCAACTCATTTACTGCATTTAAGTTTATTCCCCAGGTCATATACTAAATTAATTTTATGGTAGCCGATCTGTTTAAACCTTAAGATTATTCACCATACTAAATATTATGTTAGCAGTATTAACTACGCTTTACATATTCTGTCTTTTATATCAGTTCGTACATTATCATGGTTAGCTTGATGTGTTGATCCATATATTGATTTAGAATTGTGTCTATAAAGGTGGAGGACCAATAATAATAATAACAATAATAATAATAATAATAATAATAATAATAATAATAATAATAATAATGTTTTTACTGCACCCGTCAGTATGTTTTTTCTCATAACTGAAGTATTTTACACTTAATCAAACCAAAGAAAAAGTTGTTTGATTTATATGTCTCTTTGATTTGACCATCATTTTGAATAGTTTCTAAATAAAGTATATTGTTGTCTAGAAATACTAATTTAACAATGTCTTTTAAACATAAATAATCTTAGAAGTATGCGTTGGATGACAATTAATAAAACTGTCTCCTGGCATCCCCTTTCTGTTAAATATGTTATTTTCTACCTACATGCCAGCTGTTCATCACCATTGGTTCACTAAGACTTTTTTCCCACAAATGTACTAATAACTGTTGAGAAGATGTTTTAATGAAGTTACAATAATATGGCATTATTACTACACTGCGTTTGGTAAGTATAATTCTGAGTAGTGATCGACATTATGCATATCTGATCTTTCAAGTACTAATGTGATTCTAATGATTTACTTGTAATACAATTAGTAGTTTACATAACTCGATATCGTGTGAACATTATAGTTTGTAAGTGGATCACTTTCGCTATATCGATCTACATATTTTAGAGGCCACACCACATCTTAACTGATATATTTTGATCAGCGTACCAAAGAGTAGACAAACATGACAGCAGTCAGTACTTACGGATAAACCATATATATATATATACTCTTAGTAAAAATGTTGACGACTTCTAGATATATTTTTATATATGTAAATTTATAAGAAAATACACGTATTTATTTTTCACTCTTAGTTATCTTATTTGGTCAATAAAAACTGTACAACCGATCATCGTAATAAAAATATTAGTCAACTACCAACTGATGTGGATAATCTTCAATTATTAAATGAAGTTTCAAAACAACATTTACGTATTAATGCGCTGGAAGAGACTAATCGAGATTTAGAAGAGAAAATTAACAAATTAGAGGTAGGTTTTGTTTTTATTTTGTATTTATTTGTGAATTTGTCCATTATCAGTATGGGGTTGTGGAGATTGTTGAGTTTTGGTTGAAATCATGAACAGATCAATGTTAGACCACTATTAGAAACCTAAAAGCACTAGACGGTGGCTTTTTCCCAGCATCGGATTCCTCAAGAGTGCATATCCACCGGCTATCATGGGACTGCATCTCCTAACGTTGCTCCACTGTCTTGTAGATTAGACCTCTAGGTCAAAGGTTCAGCAAGTGATCTCTTAAGAAAACCACCTGTTTTGGTTTGGAGGGCCTTGGCATTATTGTAGCTCTCACACAAATTGAAATACGAAGTGTGGCACATATTTATTTGGTACCTCCTTGTACCGATGTTTATACGTTTAAATAAATAAAGTATGTGATTTTCTTCTTTATAGCTCAAATTTGTTAGTTACCACAATTCAGAAAAATAAAAATAAAAAACACTGACCACCCTTTTGACGTATATAAAGGTTATTCAGTCTATAGTTTACATTACCAATCGACTTTAGCTAGACATTCATTGAAAACCAGTAAGCAATTGATGATTGTTTCATCCTAGTATGGGGTTTCCTCAAAGACTGTTTACATTTATAATCCTCCTTAAGAGAGATGACTAAGCTCTTGCAGTGAGTATATGATCATTTAGACCACAGATTTGAAATCAAATGATCCATACTTCCAACTACAATGCAATCAGTGATACTGAACAACTGTCATTCTCTGCTGTTGGTGAAAAAACAGCCTCATTATCGACATGGTTGAAGAACACTGGTCTAGTAACTAAAAAATTGATTCAAGTCTACAGAAAAGTAGTATACTTCGAAAAAACTGATCGACTGTCAACTATGGACTAAACTGAATTGGTGAAATGTCCAGATTTTCGAATTAACAGAATTCTAAGAATTTTAGAAAATTCCTAAAAACAGCATTCTGATCAGTCAGCGCCGAGATAGGACAATCAATTAACCTATTTGTACACAACACCGGATAACATTCCTTGTGTTCCCCACCTTCTTTGTTTCAAGGAATGCTTTGATGATTCTGGATCCATGAGATCCCCATCCTGTAGGTGCTCTTTGTGCTTCTTTGGACAGCGTTAGAGAATCTCCTTACATGTGAGGAGCATTTTCTTCCTCATGACTAGAGTGCAGCAGCATCTCTTTTATCTAATCTTTTCTGTCCAGCTGGGGCCCAATGGTTTTCACTTATTTCGAAAACCGCCAAGATGTATATCCTCACTTCCGTAACTATCTGACTATTCCTCCGCGTTTCCTACATTGTTCGGACATTCCGTGTACCTACGTTAGTTGTCGCGCTGGTCGTTAGAATGGGCATCGGCCTCGTGAATTTTGATGAGTTTCGGCTTTCACTATGAGGCGTCATAATTCCTCCTCCAACTCCCAGGACAAATTTTAATTGGTTTAAATGATTTTTCCTGGTTATCGTTTGATATGATGGGAAGGAAAGTCAAAATTAGATTGATTTATTGATTATGATTTTTGGTTCAACATTAATTCCGTTTTAATTCAATATGATGATTATTCAGTGTAGTATTCGGTTTTGTTTTCCCGTATGATCTTTTTATTCTGTATAATACAAGATATTCTTGTATTAAGTTAACATGAACTATAATCAGTATATGATTTATTATATATGTGATTTCATCGTAATTATTAGTCGAAAATGGGTGTATGAATCACTATATAAATGAGTGTATTTCCGACTATTCTGGTTGTGGTTGTTCGTGTTCCCTCTTCCTAACTAGGACTGGGCTGTGGCACGTCGAAATAGCTAGCTTATCTGTTATTGTGTCACAGAGTCTTCGTTCGATTCTCAGATTAGGTTAACTTAAAATATCTTCAAATATAGCATCATTTTCTTAGCAGGGTTGCTGACTCCATGTTCGACCGTCAACCTCTATACGGGCTTGGGGCCGACAGTGACTTTGGAAGAACTACAGGTGAAGTTAGAAAATAATGAACTTATGAATAAAATCACTTCCATATATTAAGTTTTGAACTAAATGAACCACACAATATGAGTTTCATTGATAGCATTTACAGGACATAAATCATCCCTTGCTTTTTCTTTAGTTATGACTTCTGATATGTTTGGGACGATTTGTGGCTTAAATGGATGATTTAGATGGAGTTTTGTTCTCTTAGCTGGACGGTTTAATCTTGGAGCTTTCGTGGTTATTCTGAACAACATCATCAGCACAAGCTCAATGTATATGTTTGTACTGATGATATTGTTCAGGAGAACAATGAAAGCTTTAGGATCGAACCGTCCAGCTAAGAGAAAAAAACTTCATCTTAAGTATGATTTTTGTCATTATAAATCTACTTAATATTAATAAGTTATTCACGAGTTTGATTATATCGATATGCTACTTTGTTTATTAGTGATAAATACATTCACTTTTAATCTATTAGCTAGCTATCCTGTGACATCTAATAGGAGTAAGATATTTTCTTCAAACTAAGAGATATACCTTGGTGACGAGTTTTAAATAGCATAACTTGGTCCTATGGGAGGTCGATTGCTGCCTAAAAACTTACTTTTAACTTATCTGACCGTGATTCTGAGGGATACAGATTCGAATCTCATAAGTTTTCAGGACTCTTTGTCAATTACGTTCAAACATGTGATAAGAAAACTGCCAATAAATAAGTTTGAAATTTCGTGACAGCAACGGAACGACAGAAGTTTGATAGGCTTTTAAGAGTTCATTTTTTGTCAGTGTTATAATCGTCCTATTCATTATCATGGTTGGAAATATTTCTATTAAATCTATAAACGAATGCCAACAAGCTTAGAATTATTGATTTCTCTCTCTCTCTCTATGTATATATATAGCAAAATTACTGCATGTTATGATTGACCAAACTGACACAATGATAATGAATGGGTTAAATTGTAAAAAAACCTAAGAGATAACAAATATGATTATTTTCTTAACTTTGATAATACTAAAAGACAACAGTTGGTATGCAATAGAGAGGAATTATTATCTAACGAAAGAAACTCAATTATTTACATACATTTTTAAACAAGCTAAAACTTATCATAGGACAACTGATGAATACTTGTTTAGATCGGTTTAAGAAAAATAGAATGAACTATTCAATGGAATTATTTAGATCATGTTATAGCATAAATCCAAATTGAAAACAAATAAATTTCCACCTTATGAACTATCAGTCTGAAATAAGGACATTTAATGGAATCAATTTTTTGTTACTGTTAATCATTCATCTTATTATTTTTTTCTACTATGAAAACTGTTATTTCTTAAGATCAAGTGAATTTCTATCTCTTGATTATTTCCAACAAACGAAATTTCTATTTTCATAGTGTTACATTTGCTTAACGACAACAGTTTTAGTGAAATCAAAGGAATCGGTTTATAAGATGAAATGAATTCAAAGTGATCTATATATTTTATTCATGAAAGAAACTTTCTTTAACCTCGTAAACTACTTAATACTTAACATTTGTTTTATAAACAGCATAAATTAGTAAGTCAATCAGTTACTTAGGTAATCATCCGTGTTAATTATCTCAATTAGTGATGAAAAGAAAAAGCATTGAAATGAACATGCGTTCAAGCAACTTTAAACCTTAGTAAACTGATAGAAATCCATTCCCGGGTGCAAAATTCTAACGGTTGTATTACTGAGCAGGGTCCGGAAATACTGTTTGTATGTTCAATACCAAAACAAGATGAGCACAGTTAGTCAATAACCAAGACAGTATGTTGAATTTAAATTCAGAGATCCTTAAACTTAAAATACTGATTTTGAGTTCCGTTGTGAAAATCGGCCCTAAGATGCGAACATATCTAGTCAAGGAACCCCAAACAAAGATGAAACGTGTGTCTTGGATTCCACTGTTATTCACTATCCAACTGTTTGTTTCTGATTTTCTCAAGTTTTAATGCATAAATTGAATTCTTTTTCAAACCAGAATATATTTTTATTTCTGCCTTTTTTCACCTAATTATGTTCCACATTAAAGAAAGAATTATCACAACGTCCAGGTTTATTTAATCTGAGGAATTCATATGAAGATTTGCAAAGTTTAAAATATAACAGACAATGTGCAACAATACATCCGACTGTATCTAATCGATCAGCTACATTATCAAATAATATAAGTACATTAAGTGAGTTTCATTTACATTATCATTACCAACATGAATGATTGCCTTTCTTTCAGTGTTTCTATTTCAAAGTTTGAAATCTCAAACCTACTGTATATTTTACTATCTCTTTCTATTTATCGCCCATTGTTCATGGTTTCTCGCCGTTTTATTGAACAATTTTATTTTATGTACAACTTTATGACACGAAACAGTTGTTCAGTATTTTCTAGGTTTTCAATGGTCATTTGAGGTCAGCTTATAATGTAAACTATAAAATTCAACAACCTTCACAGATGCCTTACACTAATAATAAACATGCACTAAATAATGGCTTTTAATTATAGGTAATCCCCTGAGTTCTAGTGTGAAACCATGACCAGTAAAGTCCAACTATGTCGTATATGGAACATGTATTTATCAATAGTATTGAAAGCTGCTTGTACAATATCGCGAACTGATGGTAATTATAAATGTAGACTAATGAATACCCACTAAGTAGTCTAAATGTTAAGAGTTCATCAATTGACCTGAAGGTCCTGGTTTCGGACCGAGAGTGGAGTCATGGATGCACACTTATGCAGAGTTTGATACTAAAAAGAAAGAACTGTTCAGTACTTTAAAGTTTCCAGTTGTTTCATAACTCAAGTTAGTTCATGATGCAAAGTATGAAACACACCACTCCCAACAAACATCTGAGACTAACTTGACAAATTCATATGTTTTCACTAATTTTAGAGTGTACATTATTGTTTGAGTTGAACAATGACGCATTCCTTGAGAAACAGCAACTCGTTTCAATAATAATTATTAATAATTAAGCATATTTATTTTTACCAATGAGGAGCTTACTTTTGTTGGTGAAATTTTGTTCTCTGAGCTGGATGGTTTGGTCGTGGAGTTTTCATCGTTATTCTGAATGACATCAGCACAAAGTTCTACAGACTTCGACCTGGATTTTGTGCTGCTGCTGATGTCGTTCAGAATAACGATGAATGCTCCACGATTGGACCATCCAGCTCAGAGAACTAAACTCCACCAGAATCATCCACCTGATCTACAAGTCTTTTCCACTTTCATTGTTCAAATGAGTATTTATTAGTATAAATAACTTAATGATTCGTTGGTTTAAACTAATCTAAATGGCCTAACATAAGTTACACTGTTTATATATGTGATTAATTAGTCAAAGTGCTCTCTTTACAATTGCTATACTGTAGGTTTAAATTTCACAAAACCTACTCCAATTAAGACAGTCAATTAATTTCACTGGGCTTCATAAAAAGCGTTTAGCTAAGTACGCACAATTGTACTTTTTGAATGAATAGTCGTACTTGTTTATATGAACAGTTTCAAGATTCATCTTATTCAATGATATTAATTTGTAAATGTCAAACGAACTGAAAGAAACTTCTTCGTCAAATGACGTTACGGAGTACTTGACAATTGTTCCCTTAAAGTTTTAGAGCTCATTAGGTATCGAAATTTTTAAGCAACGTGAAAGCCATATGTTTAATTCTTTATAAAGTCCTTATTGTACTAGAATAAATTCAGTTGGTGACAACGTTGTTTTAAAACAAGAAAATAAATCTTTCACGATTGTAACTCTTATTTAAATAATGAAGTCTTCAAAAACACCACATTATCATCTGCTTGTGATTAATTTCAATATTCGTGTAATAAAACCACATCTGATTTCGTTGATCAAATGATATTCGTTCTTCATGTGAAATTGAAAAGTTTGAAAGTCTTATCATCGTTCATTTATATTTTTTAATGCTGTATTGATGGTATTTATCACGGATTGATGTTAAACGTCAAATCAGAAAATCATGAGTTTTATTTTTATCACGTTGAAGCATATAAATTGTTGATGAGTTCGAAGCTAGTACTAAGCACTTGACCAATGCTTTCTGATTTTCATCCTTACCATAAATAAGATCGTCCCTTGACGAATATAACCTACAAACTGAATTGATCTTTAAACGATTCCTCAGCTGAAATGCCTATTTGATTTGTCACTAAATTACAACAAAACAAAATGCAAATATTTGTAATATATGGTCTACTTCGTTTACTTGTCAAGTATCTATTTTCAAATAATTATTACAGAATAAGTAAACATTTGCTATGTACGTTGTGTTGATCACCTTTTTACTTGTCCATTATGAAGTATAAAACCGAATGACAGATCATCACATTTAAGTATTATATGTGTTATGAATTATTAGAACATATAATCATTCTGAGTTTTTCGTAAATCCTACTTTCTTTGTCTGCATATTTATTATGATGTAAGAATTATGCACAAGTCAAGAGTAGTAAGTGTCAAGAAAATACGATTATATACTTCTCGTTTTTTCTAAATATCATATTGTGACTAGTGTGTGATGTGTTTGCGTTTCTACCGCAACTTTCTGGGTTCGAGTCGACAGTGTACATATGAACACTGAGATATATATACATGTGTAGCGGCGAATTCAGGTAATTGGTCTCATAACAGGATAAAATATTGGCTTTTAAATTATTCTGCTTGTTATAATTTAATAATTAAACATGAACGAAGAAAATCTTCTGTGTTACTTGTTGTTAGTTGCCATCTATTCTTTGAGCTCGTTATTTTAATTAAAAACCTTTTGTTGACATTCTGGGAAATATTATCAGTACTGACCTCACGTAGAGTCTATGGATGCCATTATTCCACAATCGCTAAATGCTAAGCCTATACTTATGACCTTGTCCGTAAATGGCTATCCTTGGAATCTTTTTCGGCTATATATGCTGTCTTATTTCTGTAGACTGCTTTTAACTGAGCCCTAGTCAAATAAGCGGTTGACCTTTTTCTTGTAGATATAGAATAGACAGATATCCTTGTTGATTCGCAACTCATCTGAATGTCATGTTTTTTTCGAGTTCTTCGAACCAGAATTTTAAAGCCTTCCAAATGAATTTTATTTCTGTGGATGGCTGCATTCATTGAAATAATCGATGACATGTCATGTCATCATACTGTTAGTCTGTGTTCAAATACTAATTAACTGTTGGTTTTTTCCTAAATTGCAACGAAAGATTTACAATTAATCCATTGTGCTTAAATAATAGAACACCACTAAACATATTCGCATAGGCGGAAAATCTTCTAAATAATTTATTCCATTATCTAGTTCTCTTTCTATTTTCCATAATTTTATTGCGTGAAGTATAAAATTACGTCCATCAATTTCACTAAACTATTCATCATTTATCTCAATCAGGTCATGAAAGTTACTACCCAAATCATTAACCGTAAACATTAAAGAAAAATTGCTGGTATATTTGCTTTATGATTCAAAACGAGAAGTTAATACATTTGTTGTACCGACACGTTATACATTTTTCGATTTATGTTGTGTAGAAAATTTTAGTTGAATATTTAATTATTTACTTGAAGCGGTTATTTTGAAGATTGATTTAACTTACAGGTAGTTTTCACCACAAATTGACCTCGTCTAATCTACTGTTGAAAATCAAGGGGTACTGGACATGTTTTTCTTTCTAGTATATGACTCCATAACAATATACAGCCATGATTACGAAAATCGAACCTAAGACATCCGTTTCTTTTGGCGAGCGCCTCAAGATTAGGAATACTGAGTTAGCATCCAATGATGCAATTTAAACTTCAATCAACTAGCAGCATAACTCGATAATCGCATAATAATTTTTCAGGGTCAATATAAACGATTATCGACCGTAATCCATCCAATTTCCATTTCCGTCGTTCAAAATACCCGTAGAGGTCCCCAGAAATCAGTCTCCTTAATTGCAAAGTCATTTCGTGTTCTAATCAAACTATGCACACAAACATTATTTTCTTAAATTCAGCTCTTCATATAGACAATAAATTAGTGTTTGGCAAAATATAATATTTCATCATAAAACCTGAAATCCGCAGTCTTTAAGGAACTTACCCTTTATTTGAAATTCTGTTTACTAAATAAGTTATAGATCAAGCTCTGAATTGTTATTAATTTGACGATAATTTGCATCAAATTAGTTAGTAAACAGTTCATTTGTCAGGTGTGTATTTATCGAATTAACATGAACACATAAAAAAGATCAACGTTTGTTCGGGATATTTATGAGTTCAATTGTTCTTGAAGCCTACGAGTAAGGAATAAACAAAGATCACGCACGTTTAATGTTTTCATGACCATTGGTGATCATTAGTTATCTTGATTTTGTTCCTATCCTTCAGTCTCCATAATCTGCACTGAAACAATGACTGTAAACAATGAAGCACTGAACAACTGTTTCGCCTTAAGATGGTTCTCCTCAGAACCTCCAAGTCTCTTGTGAAACTTTAAATATTTTGATCCCTTAACGAGAATCTGGTAGGTGAATACTACCAAGAAGTCATATACTAGAGAAAAATACCTGTCCGGTGCTTCCCAGTTTCCAATGAATATTTAATTACGATATAATGCACTAGATATATTGTTTTCAAATAAATTTATTGTGAATGTAAACAGGTGGGAAATTTCGATTTATTGTTTAATACTAAATTACAAAATATCTTTGTAAAATATGTGGACCATATATTAAATATTTCATTTGCAACTCTTCCATCAATTTTCGCTTGCAGACTTCATCGTCCCCTCATTCGTGTTGTTATTTCAATTACTCTCTGTTCGTGTTATCTTATGTTCGATCTTCCCAACCTTCTGCTGCCAGGCATTCCACTCCTGATGTGTTTTATATACTTATATCGACAGGCATAAGTAGTATACATCACATTTTTTCACCCTTTAAACAGTCGCTTTTGCGGTAGCTCTGCTCACCGCGTCACTTTCTCTTTTACTACAATCTGTGCCATGCTATCTGTCAAAATGTCGAGTCCTTCAGCGCGCTGACCTCCAAAGCAATGTTGACCAGCCGGGCCATCTAAATCCTATGTTCACCCAGCATTTCATTATGTCTGTCGACATAAGTGCCATACACCATAAATTTGATAATAAAAAGAGACTGCACACTAGACAACTACAGGAGTTTGTCATGTTACTAAAAATAAAATTAATTAAAGCTTTTAAATGTACAATGTTCATGCATTTTCTACCCTTTATTTACTTGTTTAACAGGTTAATTTCAATTCTTCACGAATTTCTTGTTCATTAAACAAAATTAGTTATTTTATATAAAATCTAAGTAACCATTTTATGGGTGGGATTTTCTTTCGCCAAATTATTCATTGTTATGTACATGTTTGACTAAAACATATTGTTACACGGTCGGTAATGTAGTGATTTTAATTAATAAAATCTATATAAGTCACAGTTACTGTTGTTACAATTTAGATTCTTTAATAAACCAGTAAATTTTATCACTTTGTATTCATGAGATGACAAGACCATGTTAAGAAACTTTGATTTTAATTAGTTGAGCTAAAGAAGCTTTAAGATTGACTTATAATTAATTTTGTAATATCGATTAAGTCGAAATATCTTCATATTTGGTTATTACTTAGGTCGGATATTTTACCGTATGTTGCTTGATAATAGGTTACCGGAGGTAGTTGGTAGGAAATACTGTAAATGAGCTTCGTGCTGGTTAGCATTTGTCAGCAACTCACACCTGCGGTCTTCAGAGGAATGAGGTCTCTTTGGGGAGTTTGAATCTACACTTCTCAGTTTTACAATGACCAATGACATATTTATCTAGACATTAGTGCTGACTTAATCCTACCTACAATGTTGCAACATGGTCACTAGTTCAGGTGACTTGGCATCACAAAGGTAAGTACCAACTAGTAGAAAACCTAAATTCAAGGTCCCCTGTTGACTAACTCCAACCACTTAAAATAAAAGCGCAGTTCACACAACTTCCAGTTACTTAAACTAGCGATGATATTTCAACTTCACCAATATGAAATCGACCAGCAGTGAAGTATTAGGAAGAAAAATGTTACACTGGTCCTCATTAAGTAATCAATTAGTTTTAAAGTCGTCCGGTATTTTTTTGAATCATTCAGTGATGTTATTTATGCAAGTCAAAACTATATAAAATTTGTTTTGGATAATTTTTCATATAGGCGTTTCTGTTAAGTAATAATAAGACCTGACTCAATATTCTTTACTTTGAAAAGATCAATCAATAAGTAACGTGTTAATCATTTCCTACATCAAAAAACCCTTCCTTCAGACTTCTATCAATTTTAACAAAACTGCGGTTGACTTAGCCATGTCACCTAGTATATATCAAATGAATCTCATGACTGATCATCCAAAACATATGAGATGTGTTAGCAGTGAAATGAATTCCTCAATCTATTAAGAATAAATGCATTTAATCAAGGTTGTTTATGCTCAATTTTCTCTGTTTATCGAGTTCAGGAGCTCCTTTGGAATAAAGCCAACCTACACTATCGTTTATCGTACAGACTGACTGTTGTGGAAACTCGGATCAACAAGACACTGTTTATGACAAAAATGTTAAAACCTTTTCATAATAAAATTACATTTTTTTAAGAGGAACATTTTAATACATTGCACTGTGGCTTGTAATAGAATCAAAGTAGAACGTTTCACCATATTTGATCTCATAACTTAGATATACCCTGGATTCTAGTGTTAATTTTCATATTCTGAATACACCTTTAATTCTATTACGCTTAAACTCCAACACGTTACTTACTAGGCTACTGATTACGGATACTCACCAGCATTTTCATGGATATGGTATCCTGAAACACTAAGCTGTCGTGTCCGTGGTAGGAGGAAATAAGCGCCATGATTTCCACTGTTAGAGATAATCCTAAAACCCACTGAAATGTATATACAATCAATATCGAGATACCCTCTCATGGTACACATATAACTACAAAAACTGATTAAATGAAGTTCTAAATACTAACAGTTGTAAGGTACCAAACCTAAAAAATTTTCAAAACACTTTTTGCAATGAGAATTTATTGCCATATAGTTTGAAAAATCTAAATTTAAGTCTATCAGTTGAATTACGATTCTTTTTCTTCTTAGCAATATGTTTGTGTTAAATAATATGATTGCAATGCTGTACAGTTAACTAAATAATATACCTTACTGTTACTTTCAAGTTTTAATTACTTGATAAATTAAAGCTAGACTATTCTTTTTATCAAGCAACAATAGTGTAATGCATATACATCATGATTTTCAACTTGTCAAAAGCCACTTAAGAGTTTGATCTTTTTATATATACAAGAATTTAGTAGAGTTTCAAGTTCCTCTCTCTCCTTCTCTTAAAACAGGTTGATAAAATTGTTGATTCTTTGAATCAATTTTGGCCTAAATCATTTTATTCCCCGTCAACTAATGTTGTGTGATATTTTGTAAATAAAGATATGTACTAAAGAAAAATTGATTGATTGTTAGTGGCACAGTGTGTATTGTGAAAGTAAAAAAACTAACAAACATTTAAACGAAAGTAATTAATCCACAGAAATATGAAACTAGAAGATTCATCAAATTACATTCAGTCAATTGTAATTTAGCCTCTATGTCTAGAGCCGAAATACATCTAAGTTTGTAACAGGAAATATATACCCAAATTTTTATTGTGACTGAAATTTATTGACTCGGATCTGTGAAGATTTCAATCATTCTCAGAATGTAGTTGAAATAGTTGTCTATCTGTTGATAACAGTCAGTTTGGAAACCTTTCATACTAACCGTCAGTTGACAGTCATCAAGGTTTACCTGTAATCATCAGGAGATTTTTATCTCTAGTGGAATTAAAAAATACATTGAGCTATTCGGGTTACAAATGATCTTTTACTGGAATGAAACTTTTCTGATGAAGTGCTCTATTAAATTTTTCATCATTACTACAGGTAGTTATGATATTATACTGTACAACTTCAAGTCTACTATTGTACTAAGAACTGATGTCATGTAAAACTAGGTAACACTAAACAGTCATACGTCTCATAAGCAAAGATGGGTAATGGCCAGTAGTGGGAAGATAAGAAGATTCAAGTAAGACAATGCCAAGTGAATTAAACGTCACCCCACTGCACAAGCAAGTGGCTATCAGGACTCAGTAGCTGAGTGGATAACGCGATGGCGTTTGAACCGAACGGTACTGGGTTCGAGTTCCAGGGTGAACATCAACTATGAGATGCAGGAACATCCAGCTGACGAGTCCCAAATAGGACGAACCGCGCATCCTAGATTCCAATGCTAGCCACTATCGACCTTTGCTTATAATGCTTGTAAATTAAGGCAACATCGAAGCTGCACGCACAGTATGCACATATGTCAATAAGAGACTGATCAATTTCAGTCCAAAAACATCAATGGGAATATTTTAAGTAAAACAATACCAGGTGAATTAGTCATACGTCTTGTTTCAATATTTATTATCAAATTACACTAACAATACTGTAAAGAGTCGAATTGATGATCATTCCGTCAACTGAAAGTGTGTGCAACACTTTGAAATAACTAAATTTGGAGTAGATAATTATTCAACATATTTACTTATAAATGACATTGGTTATTGATGATCTACATCATCATCATCATCATCATCATTATTATTATTGAATTATACACAATACGTTTGTATCAATACATTAATTTGTTTACTGTACATAGTTCATACACCATTCATAAACTATTTACATTCCATATGAATGGAAAATAAATTTAATTGTTTGATATTTTACAAATGAAATTCTTAACTAATTTTTTTTCTTCGTTTTTTTTTGTTTGTTTTAGTATTGAACACCAAGATTTATATCCTTTTGTCTTTTATTTCTTTCTATTTTGTTTACAGATGAATCATCAAGAGAATCAAATAGGGTATGTCTTTTGACTGTAGAAAGATGAAGAAACAACAGAATAGACACAAACATGATATTAGTTGTTTAGTTTACCTTTTTTTTTGTTTTTTGCAACTAACTGTTAATCGATGACATTTTTTTCTTATTCGGTAATGTGAAATAAATTAAATAGGTATAAATATCAAACTTTATCTAACATATAAAGTTGAATAGAATTAAGTTTTGATTAATGAATAAATTCATAGGTAAGATATAAATTTAGTTTCATTATCGACTGTTAACTTTTGAATTAGAGAATTGTAACTTACTTTGTTTAATATCTGTTTCTTTTTACAATTTGACTATCGTAATCAATGGTTAGAGTCTCTGGGTAACATGACTCAGAATCGATCACAATGGCGTCGATGTATACACTCTGTCTTCTCTTAAATTATGAGATTAAAATCATTTCATATCTTTCTTTCTACGAACTAATTATTTCTTCCTGTATTTATATCCTTATACGCAATCTTTCTTTTGAATATTACCACCACTGAATTAATCACTTCTATGAATCTGGTGTTCATGTTAATGTGCTAATGAGGTGTGGCAACTTGGATCGATGCACATATGTACCTGGTCCTACGTTTTAACTGACTAAATGACTGACAATTTGATAGGATCACCAATGTTCACACTGAAAACAAAACATGTATCAAAACCTACTGTTCAAATGTAATATTTATTTATGGAACTGCTAGTGAATTAAAATAAATATTTATTCTGGAAGGTTTATGGAGATTGTTGACTTTTATATCATGGAATGACTTTATTTAGATAACCATTGAGAGCTAAAAAGCACTGAGCAGCTGTTTTGTCAGTATTGCAGGATGGTTAGATATTATCATGAATTGATTGGACGTGGACTCGTAAATCATAGAATTCTGACTCAATGGTTCAAAGATTAAGTGTTCATTGGGAGACCTGAACGTTCTGGATTCGACCTCTGATAGAGTCATGGATATTCACTGATGAAGAGTCATATACTAGGAAGAAATAGCTTTCAAGTATCTCTTGGTTTTTATTGGGTATCTAACTATGATCATTCCATGATAAAAACTATAAAACTTGACGACTTCTACAAACTCTCAATTCTGAAAAATTACTGCCTCCACGAATATTTATTAAGAATAAGCCTACGTAAAATAAATGGCATTTTAAACTATCCAGTGAAGTTTGCTCCTTCTATTAACATGTGACAAAAATAATGAAGCAGTGAATCGCGCGTTGCGTGAACTAAAAACTGGTTTATTCTGGAATACGTTTATTTATAAGCATATCACTGTGTAAAATAAATCCGCTAGGAATAATAGTTATTTATTAATTGAATTCATGAGTCAGTTGAAGCTAGACCACCATGGAATATTTGGTAGCACTGAACGGCCGTCTCATTCTAGTATGGGACTTCTCAGCAGTGCGCATCCACGATCCCGCCCTTATCAGTCTCGCGCGCGAACGCTTAATCCTTAGACCACTGAGCCGGCATCCAACAGTGTTAATGTCTAACTTCAAGCAATCCACGAAATTGCTCCACCGTCCACCGTTGTCTTAAGTGAGTTACGACCTCACAACAGACCCGGTTAAATAATAATTATTATTTATATTAATGATACTGATACCGGTGTACAAATGGCAAGTAAATGAAAAATAGCTTTCTTTTAAATGAGCACCAACTCAAAATAAGTTAAGCGTCAAATACTTCTATCACCGTACATTTTTTAGTTCCTATTATAAGTTTTTTCGTTTTTAAAAAAATAATAATCTTTCTACTCGACCGGGAACTTGTCTGGTTTCAAATGATTTGTAATTGTTTCTACTATACTTTGTTGTTATTAGCCCAATACCAAATGAGTCATTGCGCATTAATTATTTACTTCGTTTCTTTATAAAGAAAAGATAAATCTCAGCAACTAATCCCTATTTTTATTTGCAATGGTTTGAATTATGCTGTCGTTTATATTGAGGACTGAATTGTAATCAGTCTTGGTTGGGATTTAAGTATCCTGTGCGAATTCCCTCAATGAAACAAATATGACACAGAATTGTACGAGAGAGATGGGATATTGCTATCCGTAGAATCTGTCACCTTCATGAAGCTGATGATTCCCAAATGGGATGTGATGAGTATCTTGGATTCCAATGCTAATAACACCTCATCTCTTTCAAACTAATCACTATATTTTAATTGATTATTTTTCAACGTTTCCCTTCTATTTTTCTATTTTACCATAAGATAATTAGTGCAAATACTACATCTGAAATTTAAAGACCTACGTTGTTGCTTATCATGCTTGAACGATTTTGAGGAACTCGACATTTCCTAAAAAAGTTAATCAACTTTTACTAATAGCATTCGTGAATTCCTCGACACTTTTTTAAAGCAAGGAAAGACGTAAAAACATCTCGCCCAACCAATATAGAGTAGAAAGGTTTCAGAAATTTATTGGGAAAACTGTGAATTATGTTTCACAGCTTCAGTGGATAATTACTAATTTTGTTACTAAGGTTGGTGTGCTTTCAAGAGCTTCAAGAAGCTGGAAATCACTCGCAACAGTGGAGACAAGCCCTTATTTTTGGCACATTAACTAGCGCTTCGAGTTCCACTTAACACCTTTGCTCTACCATTTAGAGCTGAAGTAAGGGAATATTTAGCGAATTCAATAAACGTTTAAGAACTTAACACCAAGCATTTGATCAGCTGACACATCAACTTTTGGCATTGAAATTTTCATTGTAACTAAAACTAATAGAAATGTCTTGGCTGAAGATAACACAGTTTAAGAAAATTTAATAAACTTCGGGTAATGATTTAATGCGAGAATAGTTGGTAATAACGCCCGGCATAAATGTGGTTCGTCTTAATTTTGTCACACCACATCAACACTATGAAGTGAAATATAAAATAAATCAATACCATTGTGCTAGAAACAAGTCATAGTAAAAACAGAACAAAAATAAATAATAGGTCCCCAGACGAAGTACTAACTTCATTGAGTCGAAAAGTATGAAAAAATATTGGAACTGAGGTTTCACTGAAATAAACAAAGACTTGATGAGGAGAATTAACTTACTGTTTTGTGCGAAATCACACAGCCCCTTTGTAAAATATGAAAATCATACAATAAATACATCGTTTTTATATCTTCTTTGAGTTATCCTTTACAGACTCCATCATTCTTCTAATCCTGATGTTATTTCTATTACTCTCTGTTTTTATTTCTTTTCTCTCTATTTCAATCTTCTGCCGGAAAGCATTCCAATTCCGGCTACACACTACCTATGTCTGACCGCATATGTAGCGCGCGCCACACTCGTCCCTCTTGGAGTTGTACGTTCACTTTACCACTTTTTCTTTGTCACAGTCTGTATCTTGCTCCCCGTCGAAATGTCTAGCTCGCCTATTTGTGGTAGTCTGGAGCGATTCTTGCATGAAGAAGACACTCACTAACGACGTTTACTAGCACTCTTGGGGTGACTGGTGGTTCATATGGGATTCAAACTCACATCGTCCGGTCTTACAGTATGAGGTGTAAACACTGAGGCATTTCTACTCTTAACGACCTCCTGTGAAACTGAGATCTATTAGATCATATCAAGTGCTTTGTAATGCAGTCACTATTCCAGACCACTACAAGCAAACTAACATCAAAGCATAATGTTTATGATGATGAGTCTCTTAAACTTGAGGGGAAATTTTATTCTAATTTGTTAAATTTAGTCGTCACTAAGGACTAGCAAAACATCACAATGGTAACATCCTACGTTGGATCACTGTCTAATGCTCAACATGGTTGAACTCGATTGGTCATGGTTTCTGACCGAAATTCCAGAAGTTGCATCTTAAAGCTAGTAGCCAGCAAGCACACGATTATTATTAATATAGATGAATTCGTGAAGACTGTAGAACATTCATGGTTTAAATCACAAACTAACGTTATCTAGACGACCATCGAAAACCTGGAAGCACTAATTGCTAGTTCTATTGTTATTAATACTAGTCAATCGATTTATGTAAGTTGATTATTCTTTCCTAATGAATTTAATTTGGTTTCTGTTTATCTTTATTCTAGTTGAATTATCAAACTTTATTCCGGCGTTCTATCACTCCAGGTTAGTAACTTAATGTTAAACAATAGCAAAATACGCTTTTTCTGTTTATCTATCTCCCTAACCACATTCGTTGACAGTTAGTGTAACCTATTTACCAATTCAAGTGTATATACTGAACTGTGAGCAACACCTAAAGTTATTGAAACAATTCGAGCGTTAAAGTCTTGTTATTTAATGGTTAAAAGTGGAGTAACCCGACTAGTAAGCCATCGCTCCATAATAAAAACATTCAGTAGGTAAATATGCTGTTGTATGCTTGGTCGTTTACCCCACAATTTATGTGAATGAATATGAAACTAGTCACTTAACTGAACAGTCATATACAAATCTGTTTTCGAATACGATGTCTTAAACATTAGCCTACTAATCATGTATATCTTCTACGGCACTAACCATGAAGTATGAATAAGGAAGAAGATCGGATCAATTAATTGTTGTTAATTATTGTAAGTATAGTGAAGTAAATATCTCTGTATATATACCCGTGGATGTTAACTTACATAAAATCGAAAAACAATGAAGACGATTCAGCGAAGAACATTTTCTTTACGACAATATCAGTTAATAATGCTTCATTTATAATTAATTTACAAATAAATATACAAACAATAATAAATAAAATAAATAAATAGGGCGTCCGGATATAGGTGCCAGTATGGTGTGTTATGAATCCTCATGATCATGTTACAAAATTATTATCCATATTATCAGATACCGACAAGTTTTTTTTAAAGAAATAACTCAAAAAGATACCCCTGGACAAATTGAACAGAAGTTTACAAAAATCCTTAAGATGATAAAAGGTAAATCAGTTATCAGTGTTGAGTTTCTGAGATATCTAAAACCATCTAGTTCTGTTGTTTCAAAACTATACGGCCTTCCAAAAGTACTTGAGAAGGAAGAGTACGTAAGGCTCATATTACACATGAATAATTCATCATACAATGCAACCGCTAAATAGCTAGCAGAAATTCTACAACCGATTTGAAATCAGATCAACAAATACTGAACACTAGACTATTTCCACTTTGTAAATTCGATTGCTGATGTCAATGCAATCCCAATGAGAGCTAGGCGAACGTTCTCGGAATGCACGATTAACGAGAAACTATCCAACCTCCAACAGATGTTTCTCAAAAAAAGGCTGTCCATCCAGGTTTATTGAGCGAAACATTAAACCTAAGTTGTAATCTGGAAGATGTCATGAGGTTTCTAAGAAACCGTCGCACATTAACTTTGAGATCAAGGGAAATACTGGTGGAGAAATTTTAAAGAATCATCTAACAAAATCCTCTAGGAAAACTTTTTATCCCTGCAAGGTTCACATCGTTTTTTCTAGCCATCCCATTATTCGTGGATGTGTCAAAGAAAACTCTCATTTTGAGACTAATCGATACTTATTTATAAGTTCACTTACTCTTGTGGAGCAGGTTACATTGGTCTCACAAAGCAAGCACTTTTCAAACGCGTCTCTGAACATTATCCTGCGTGGCTTTCGAAATGTGGGTGTAAATTAATCAGCAAATCATTATTAGGACATCTTGCCTCACGTTATAAAATCATCTATAGAATCAGACGATTCGATTCGAATGGAGCACAGATTATTAACTAATGAATTGTAGAGGTGCTCTCAATCCATTATTTCAATCCTGAACTCTATATTCAAAAGTGACACATACAAGCCAAAATTCTTTCATCGTCCTGACGCCTAATTTTCATCAACGGTAATTTGATTTTATGACATCCGTCTAGAGGTTTTAATTTTTTTAATTTCAATTTCACTTATCAGTATAGGGATTTGTGAAGATCGTAGAATTTTTACAGTTGAATTCACTATTCGATCTAAGCTAGACCACCATTGAAAACCTGGAAGCACTGAAATGATTAGTTATCATCGTCTTCACCTTCATTTCCAACTTTTTCACACTCGTCAAGTGGATAATTATTCTCCTCATATTTCGTTTAATTTTGTTATCTCTCTTCAATTTTTGACTTTCAAGAACCTTTTTTTGACACATGATATGATGTAATTGTCCTCCTGTTTTTAAAAAGACTATTAGATTTGTAAATTAACTATAAATACGATTGTACAGTTTGAGTATATGATATTGTCAGAAATTTTTTTCACCACTGAATTGTCTTTATTCTTCTTCAACAACATCATTGGTTACTTTTGTTATTTAGTGTAATTATTATTCGATTTGCTTCCCTATTGTCTCACATATCTCTTGTCAAACTGTACACACACCGAGAAATGATCCACACTTGAACAATTGTTGGCTAACATTTGAAACCATTATTATTAATGTCATTGTCACACTATTATTTTTGTATATGGGCTACTTGTGTTATTCTTGTGTATGCATTCATAACCATTATGCTGTGCCATTACGACAAGCTGGTAGAAGATTAGATTAGATCGTTTAAATCAGTAGTCACCAAGAGTTTACAAATTCGATATATTGTGTTTTCTATCATTTTAGTTTCATACAATGTATGTACAGACATATAACTATACATGTGTATGTAGGTGTGAATGAACGTACATTAAGCACTAGAATGCCAAAGTAAATATTTGTCTTTTGTCTCTAAAGATTTGCTTCCCCTCATTTTTTTCACTTATTCATTGTTTTGACTTTTTATTAAAAAAAGTCATTAGTGGAATTCGACATAAATGGTTACATTCTGTTCTTTCAATTGTTACTTTATAATAAGATAAATAAAAATAGCTATTAAAAACCACTTTTCTTCAATCTCTTGCTTTTTTATGCTTAAGTTATACAACTCTAACTAGTGTTTTGGAACTAAAAAGATTAGGAAACTATTAACTGAACAGTATTGAGACTAGAGTGAAGGTTCATGAGATGGCGGTGAAGATCTACCTGAAGAAAATAATTGTATGGTAATCGAGTTCTTCGAAATGAATAGTTTAATCGTGAAGTTTTCATTGTCAATTTAGACGAAATTATGAACAGCACAAGCGTCGGATAAAAATGAAATAGCAGAATTTCTCCACAAGTGACATAGCTTTAAAAAAGTGTTATGTCAGATAAACAGACTTTTCTCTTCATCGTTTTCTGCATGAACGCTAACTAGTGATCAGACACCACTCCATATCTCTGTAGTGTATACTACTTAAATCTGTCGACATATGTAGTATGTAACACCAATTATAAGTGTAATGCTTGGCAAAAACTGGTTAACTCAACCTCAACCATTCGATAATCCTTAAAAATTTCACTTTATACTTATTTTATCCACATCGTTGGGTTTCGATCTTATGATATCTAACACTCATCATTAAGGCATATATTTAAAGTTGATGGAAGCGGTGCTTTCCGATATATTCAAATCTGTATCACTCACCATTATAGCTAGAGATGTTATGGGCGAGCTATTCAGACCCCCAACCAGCTTTTTGTTGGATTGAGATATTTACATTAGTAACTGATGATTTTGTTTGTCTAATCCATAATATATTTTTTGTATTATTCCAATGATTAAATATTTAATGAACCAGAAAAGTGCATATTCAGAAACTATATAACGTCTTCTCATCCTCACCTAACTTTATTCTTGATCATTGACGAGTGAAGTGATATAAACTGTTTATTTATAAAACTATGAGACAAAACGTACGTTTATATCTAGTGTTATTTACATGATTAGACTATTCTAAACACGTATGAGCACCCCTTTCTACAATCATTTTGATTAAATTCTGTTTTCTGAATGAATTCAGTACTACGATAAACTGAAAGCTTGACTTCTTTTTATCAAGATTTTATTCTAAGATTCCTTGATGTCACGATGATGTTATATATATATATATATCACTGTTTCGAGTTAGATCATTTTGTGTGGAATAAATAAGATGATTTTGACTTCATCGTATGTTGTTATTATTGATAATTTTTGTAAAATTGAAACTTGAAGTATTTCACAATTATTCTCGAGAAAAATGTTTGTTTTTTCTTTGAAAAGTTCCAAATAAAATGTAACTCATGTGAAATGTTCAATAAATAAGCAAACTAAGGCCATAAAAACATTGTACAAACCTTTCTGTATATCACTTTTGTTTTATTAGAAATATTTTCATTGGATTGATGATGTTGATGTTAGACACTAATACCATTGGATGCCGGCTCAGTGGTCCAATGGTTAAGTGCTCAGGCGCGAAGCCAGTAAGTCCTGGGTTCGAATCCCGCGTGGTTCGGGGTCGTGGGTGCGCACTGCTGAGTAGTCCCACACTAGGGCGAAACGGCCATCCAGTGCTTCCAGGTTTCCAACGGTGGTCTAACATCAGTTAATTCATGATCTCAACCAAAAAAAATATTTTCATTTTGCTTAATCATTTCAATGTAAACTATTTCGTTATATCTGAATAATTAGATATTTTTTACCAAGTTTACTAGTCATTTAGACTGTATATCAGCAACCGAGAAACATATGATATGATGTTCTCATAAACATAATGTGTTGACTTTTGTATTGGTGTATTATGTTACTTCTAGCCGTTTGAGATGCACATGGAAACACAAAAATAACTTGGAAAAAATTCTATTTACTTTAATGTATCCTCTGTTTAACCGTTATTAACGGTTCTTGAACTAAACAAAATATATCCATTGAGACATAAAATAAAAATGGGTTGGTTTGATAAAGAGGTTTTTCCGGGATATTCATTTTTGCAGATGTACAATCCTAAATAAGTATATTATTATTTTCAAAAATGATTATAATGACGATAATTGTGATATTAAAATTTTGCTAAACATGGTGACAATGCGGTGAAACAAATCAAAGCATAAGAACGCCATTTTTGTTTAGAGAATTAACAATAGTGCGGTTGTCCATAGCTTAAATATTCATCATGAAGATAGAAAATGTAGTTGTAATTTGGAAACGGAAGGCTCAATGTGATACAATAAAATTTCGACATTCAGATGAATTGTAATCAGGAGGATCACAGAAACAGAAAAATATCAGTCAGGAGTAGAAAGGTCTGTATTGAAGAAGATAGAAGGAAGGCAGATGGCTGTAAGATAAGAACAAAAGAAGAAAACATTTCTAGAGATTATGGTCATGTTAGAAAATGTTATCAGAACTTCTCTTCAGGATATACATGGTTATATCACTTCAACATTCATATAAAGAGCTTTCTTTGGTATGGAGGTTATTTCTGCTTAAGGAGATTCAAGTTTTATATTTTTGTCAATAAATACAAATGGACACCCGTTTTTATAAATATTTTTTAAGGAGGTTCAGTTTGTTATTTTTCATCTCGAAACTACAAATTCTTCGTATTTATGTAGTGACAAATATAAGTAAGTTTCACTTTCGACTAATGAGGTCCCGGCTGTAAAAGCTTGGTAGTTGGTCATTTCACAAGGATTTCGTCGTTAGTGCTCCATCACTTTTTATCGTTTCAGCATCAAAAAATGTAAATAGTTTGTTTGTTTTCAACTTCTAGTGAAAAATTTATTGTCAAGCGGCAATCACTAACTGTCTGTAAAGGATAATTCATATCATATCACCAAGTTTAGCGAAATTTCAATATCACTACGATTGCCGTTGTTATCATTTTGAAAGATAAGCATGTATTTGAAACTGTACATCTTTGAAATAAATTTTTCCGAAGAACTCTTTTTCCTGAACCAATCTTTCTTATTTATTGAATTTACTGAGCGTTACTTCTGATTTTGAAACAACGACTTTAGTTGCTATGTTTGTGTATTTACTGAATAGAGAACTGTAATATTTATTTACATAACAGTTACTTTATAGTATAGTCTTTTATTTTTTAAAAATTAATGTTTTACATTTTTCCTTACATTTTTTTTATATTTTTAGTTACATTTAATAATAGTTGTTCATTTATCACTACATCTAATCAGCCTGAGTATAATTTGAATTTTATTCATCAATCACTAACTGGTACTCAGTCGACCCCACCAACATCACGTTTAATTTATGATAAACCATACAGATATGATGCTTATATACCATGCGAACAAATAAATCATAATAAACTCTCATCGCCTGGTGAAAATTACGCCTACTTAAGTGCTGATCAATTTAAATCTGCTAGTCTTAATGAATTATGCTATTCAAGAGTTACGCAACCTGTTACTACAACTACTAATATCAGTACTACTACTAGTAGTAATAACATCGTCAATCCAAATGCTAGTAGACGTTGGTTAGCACAAAAACGATATAGTATGAAATCTCCACCAGCTGATATTTTCAATGGTGGCATACAAGATTCAGATAGAATAAATCTACTTCCACCACAGTATGGTAGTAGTTATCATCAACATATTTACAATAATTCACGTACACGATCACCCACACAACTTCAATGGTATCAGTACACAAGAAATAATTTTAATGATGGTAGACAAACATCAGCAGATTGTGAATTAAATGGAAGTGTTAATTTATTCAATTCATCACGTGAATGTGATTCACCATCTTCAGGAAGATGTACAACTGTACATGATACCCATTTGTATACATCAAGAAATAAATCAAATTTATCTAATGTAAACAACGTGTATTTTTGTTTGTTTGTTTTTCATGTTTATTTAAATACTTTGGTAGGTAATTAATTTTGTTAATTTTCAAATGAATTACAATTTAATATGTTCGATATGTGGATAACAATGGAATTCTGGGCGTGGATTTCATTCCGTTTGAGACTATCCAATTGGGTGTAAATCCATAGGACTGTTTATATTCACAAAAAGAGACTCTAAGAACTTATCAAGAGATCGTATTTGTTTGAGTAAGGGCTGAATGATGTTATTAGCCTCCAAATGCTCTCAAGTGACCACGTGCAAACAATCACTGCCACACAAGTCCTACTCACTGCCTTCTTGCGGCATTACTGTTCTTTACGAAATTCAAAGGACGAAAAGCGAATGTTCGGTGCTTTAGTCGGGTTGGCGGATATAGAGGATCCACCTAGGGGAGTTGTAAAACCCTAATTCCAAACCAGTGGTATGCATGGGCCCTAGGATCCTGAAGGAATAAATGGCGTATGAACCTATTGTTGATCAAAGGCTACCATGGGACTGAATCTCCTTATATTTCTCTACTGACTTGTGGACTAGACATTTAGGTCAAAGGCTTCGGGTGTGTCCCCCTAAGAAAACCAACTGCTTCGGGTTGGCCACCTGAGAAGTGTCTCAGCCCTCACACGAATCGAATGATTTATATGGCGCATATCTATTTGGTGCGTCCCTGTACCAATGTTTATGTGTTTACATAAATAAATAAAAAAGCCTCAGTAAATGGAATATTACAAAAATGATAGGACTTCTTTCTAAAAGATCTGATAATATATACTTTGCCCAAATATGTGTGTACCAAGAAATAATTGTTCTAACTTCAACAAACATACGACTGAATCTACTTTGTATTTATAATTAAACAGAATTTTTTCGAGAAATTTATTTAATTAAATTACCTAACAAAATATCTTTCTTTCAATATGTTTGAGTACATAAAAAGGAATTGGTAAACTGATGATAAAATTAGTCGAAATTTTATGGATTATTTTATTTTACTGTATGACGAGATTTATCCTAATGAAGAAAACAAATACACCTAATAGATGTTCATATTGAAATGTGAATGATGTTTATTCAAAGATACTTTATAATACTAACTTGTTTTAGCTAGGAAACTATTGAAAATAATTACATAGTTGTCTTGTCCTATTATAGAACTTCTCAGCATTATTTGCCAACAACCTCGAATCAGATTGAAACCAGAGTCTTCTTCAATTAATTTATTAAAGATAATTGACAAATGTATTTAGATTGGCCTAATATTCAGTAAACGTTTCGCCTCAGATATATAAATGTTTTGATCTTACTATGTAGAACCATTAATCAGTAAATGATACATAATTGGATCATGCTCTAAACCTTACATTTATTAACTCATTTTTACTTAGATCCTGTTAGCTAAATAGTGTTGTTTACTCATCATACGATAACCCAACTTGTGCATATTTATTTAATAGATAATACTTTTACAATAAATATGAGTGGATTCCTAGTTGTGGTAAGCAACGCGTAGAGTTTGTGATCAACATGATTAATTGTCAATCACAATAGCTCAAACATTTATATAATAACTGATGAAAATGTTTGTTATCTTGCGTTCTTATGAATTTTTTCCTATCAATCATTATTTCGTACCAACTAACCTCTGTTTGTTACTTTTTTTTCTTGATTCTCTGAATCAAATTAATACAGAATCTGCCCGGTGGTATTTATCCAAGTAGTCGTAGTGGCAGTAGTAGTAGTGGCAGTAGTAGTAGTAGTAGTAGTAGTAGTATTAGTAGTAGTAGTAGTAGTAGTAGTAGTAGTAGTAGTAGTAGTAGGAGTAGTGGCAGTAGTAGTAGCAGTAGTAGTGGTGGCAGTAGTAGTGATAGGTGTAGTGATAATTTATTGGTAGTATTAAATATATTAATATTAACAGCTGCATTACTGGTTGTAGCATTGATAGTATTAGTGTTAGTGTCAGTAGTAATGGTACTAGCATTGTTAGTAGTGGTAATAATAGTAGAAGGAGTAGTAATCTTTTTTAGGGTAGTTTTAGTAGCAGTACTAGTAGAAGGATTTGGAGTTATATCAATTGTCTCGAGTTGTTTTATCAGTTCTTATTTTCTTAGTCAACTACAACAATACAGATCACTTATATGATTCATTCCTAAACTTTCTCATCTAATTTTATTACATATATCTCCGATACGATGTAGTTTACTTACCATAAATACATAAGTTGAAGAATATATCCAATATCTTTTTTCTGGTCTCAACAATCTATGCAACATTTGCAAATTATTATTATTATTCTGATCTAACTGATGTTTAATTAGTGACAACATGTTATTTTAAGTAACAAGATAATATCAATAAATCACTGTACTAATTGTACATGAAAACATGTTTAAAATTATTTATTCAAGCTTATTGAATAGTTAAGAAATTCTCTGATTCGTAAACATAATTTTTCTGATTTGCTGTAGCCGTTTCTTTTTTTTCTCAATAAATCATTGTCATTTAGAAATATGCACATTCTTCAAATGTGTTTATTCAATGTTACTGATTATTATTTGTAGCATTAAATTTTCAAGCTATTCAATTGTGAATGACTGGCTAGTATCATCAATCTTTGTATGAGAAAGTAAAATGCGTAACATATTATACAAACTCATACTTGGAGTCACAAATGAATTGAAATTGATGACTTTCAAGTGTTGGTTTCTGGATTACAATTCTGAACCATTTACTTTGCTATTAATTAATCAGTCATAATCAATGAAGCACGTGGCGCACACATTCACTGATCCGAGTCGCCATAGCATATTGACACAATCAGATAAAATTATCAAGACAATTGAGAATAGTAGAGACAATAATAAGATCAGTAGTAATAGTAATAGTAGAAGAAGAAAACTCTAGGCATTACCAATATAATGATTCAAAAAGAAGAGTGAATTTGCGGAAAAAAGAGTAAGATAGCCTGATAACTTAAGATCCAGAGAAACAGCCAAACAATGAGTGCATTTGTGCTATTGTGACTGATTCTGAACATATCCTTAGACCACTTATAACGATAATCATATGAATTAGTAGTATATAAATCTACAAAACCGTTAGTTTTTCTAGATCGTTTAAAATTTTCTCCATGATTCATATTCTGCATTATACTAACTTCGCAATTTCGTTTTTTTCCTGACAAAAATTAACTAATTTAGACCTCCTCTTCTCCTTCTGAGCAACAACATCATATCGAGACGATAAACAATTCAACAAATATTTTAAAAGGTAAGCAAAAATATTCCCCTACATAGTGAATTTTCATTGCATTTTGTAAAAAGGTTATAAAGAGTATTTATTTTCAAAATGCACTGTTTGTATAGGTCAATAGTGATGTTTCTGACTGAAATTCTAGAGTAGGCGTAGTTAGGGTTCAAATCCTAAAATGTAGTGTCCAAATGGGTTGGTTTCGTAGCAACAGTAAATAGCGAACTAAACTGTAATGATAGTATTTATGGCAGAACAATCTCAGTTGGAGAATAATTAAAAAGAGGAACAAGGTGCGCTGAACATATATTTCATCCTTTTATTCATTAATTACTCTTAAACAGTATGCATTTATGACACTTTTTAAAGATTGATGATATATATATATATATATGGTTAACTGACATTTCAAACAGAAGAGACTGTAATTTACGTGATACACAGAAGAAGATAAACCTGATGGCAGATGTAAATTTTATTCATCTAAAAACACGTTGACCGTTTGTTAGTTCAATGAATTCATTTATACTAATGTTTGATAATTAGTCTGTGTAAATCATAAATAACTGAATATATTTTAAATATAAGGTGAATTTTACACTAAATTACCATTAAACTTATAATCCATGTTATGTTCAATGAATATCATATTATATTACTATGAACTGAATCACAGTATTATCAAATATTGTGGATAATCGTATTAGATCAATTTTGTAAGTTATTCATACTTCAATGAATGAAAATCTTGCCCACCATTTTGGTTGAATTATTCAATGAAATGATAAATTAGTAAATAGAATAAATATTCTTATATGTTTATAAAGAATAACTCTTGTGGAATTGATGTCATGGATACATATTATGTATGTTAAGTATTGCATTCAAACAACGTTGATGGGTATAAAATACACTAACGAAACTGTTTACTTTGTGTATTTGAATTATCTCCAATGAAGAAACTCTGATTCGACTATACCAGTTGCTAACTGTTTATACCGAAAATGTAGTGCAAAAGTACAAAGTTGTACTTCTTTAGTATAGCGTACTGTAAAGTCTATTGAACTTTATAGCTTTAAATTTTAAGCTGACTTTAGACAAGAAGTCATCGTTTGCTTACTAGTATCTAACTTTGATAGTTAATTTCAGGAGTTCTAGGGAAAAATGGTGACCATTATAGTTTAAAATATCATGTATCAATTAAATACTATCGGTGGCAACGAATAAGAGTTTTGTAATATTGAAAATTGAATGAATTTAGAAATACAGGTAACTAGATGCCCATTCAATTATATCAAGGTTAAGCGTCCTCAGAGATACCTGAATGTCTTGAGCTAGATTATTGATATGACGGGATGAAAAGTGAAAATTAGATTGATTTATTGATTATGATTTTTGGTTCAACATTAATTCCGTATTAATTCAATATGATGATTATTCAATGTAATATTCGGTTTTGTTTTCCCGTATGATCTTTTTATTCTGTATAATACACGATATTCTTGTATTAAGTTAACATGAACTGTATTCAGTATATGGTTGATTATATATGTGATTTCATCGTAGTTATTAGTCAAAAATGGGTGTATGAATCAATACATAAATGAGTGTATTTCCGACTATTCTGGTTGTGGTTGTTCGTTCTTCTGGCTGCTTGTGGAATATATTTCCCTCTTCCTAACTGAGATTGAGCTGTGACGCGTCGGAATAGCTAGCTTATCTGTTAATGTGTCACAGAGTCTTTGTTCGGTTCTCAGATTAGGTGAACTCGTAATACCTTCAAACAGCAATTCCCAGTTACTTCGTTGTAATGAATTTCTGAGTAGTCTCATACTAGCACGAAACAACTATCCAATACTTCCTGGTTTGTAATGATTGTCTAATTGAAGTCATTCTTTGACATAAGACTCTATATTTGTCTGACAGTGGTCAACACTACAGTTAAATGTGCTTCCCTGTAAATATTTTTAAATGTCACTGGAATTTGCATTCAGCACTGATCCTGAAAACTTCTGAATTGAATTCTTTATATTCTACAAAGTTGTTAAAATCATTTAAAATGAGGATTAACTGTCTTCCACTTAATCTTTAAATATTTGGATTTTTTGTTTGATTATTATTTTTTTTCTGTTTTAATTTCCGGATTTCTCATGTATATATTTTTATTGTACAGATGAAAAAAGTTCATCACTTCCAAAATCTACCCTTAATGGAAAGAATCAATCAAAGAGATTGAATATTGAACGAGCGTAAGTTAAATGAACTAATAAATATCCATAGAAAAACTAGAATCGATAATTGACGAACAGACTATTGAATATTGTTGTTAATTATTTATTTTATTTTATTGTTTTTTTTGTTTTGTTTAAATATCAGTATTTTGCTATGTTGATTTGATTTATTCCTGTAGATATGATAAAGGTTGGCGAAGTATTACCATACCTTCTAGTCCAAGTCTTATCGATGTGTAAGTGTTGACTGGTAATATATGTGTACGTATGAATACACATTTATAAATATATCAACAAAAATTCACAAATAGAATTCTTGCGAGTTTTCAACAAATCTGATTAAATAAATATATATTTATATATGCACCCATGCACACAAAACGCTGTCATATGTACATCACAAACCATTTTTATCTAGACAACTATTGGAAATCGAGAAGTATTCGACAGATGTTTTGTCCTGTTATATGATTCTGCATCAGTAAACACCCATGACCGTGTCAGTAACTGAACTCAGAACTTTCGGATTCAACGGCGAACGTGTTACTATTCAGATCATCTAGTTTCCATCCAACTTCAATCAATTTATGATAACTAACAATCTCCGCGAGCTTATCTTGCTAACAATAACGGTGTATTTGCTAGTGATTAACTTCTAGATCATTTCCTGAAGTCCTAGTAAGAAATCGATAACAGTGGATTTTAAGAATAACTGTGTAAGACAGTCATAACTGATGACAATGTATGCTAGAAGCACACTAACAAAAACTATTTGAATTAAGTAACATAAACCATTACTAGTAATAGTCAATTAGTGTAATGAACAAACTGCTCACTCCAAAGACTAAACTTCTTGGGTTCTAGATTTGCCAGAGTATTGGTTATACTCAAAGCACTAGGCAAACATTAAAAAATCCGTTGTTAAGATAGCAAATCATCAAATTAAGTGGTTAGAATTTATATCCTGTACAACCAACCATTGCCTATCTCGATGCTTGGTTGGAGTGGTAGTATGTTGGGAGTAACTTGGAAGCAACCAAACTAAGTCGAGACATTAAGCCATGAATTTCCTGACTGTTGAGCTATATCATGTTCATAAGTGAAGACCATTTGGTTTGGTCCCAACATTATTGCAAATAATGGTTGTAAATGATGTGTGACAAGGATCGGTATGGATCACAACGTCATAGATTCATTCACTCTTTATTTTGTCTTAGATCTTGAATTTCAAAATTATTTTGTACCCTCTGTTATACGAATTGACTCATTCTTCTTGAATTATTCTCACTATATCTGCCTGTTGTCACTAAGTCTACTATTACTCTTACTATTCCAGTATTTGCCATGATAATTTCATCTCATTATACTGATATAATGTGAGAACTTGAATAGATTCACATATTTATCAGGCTCTTTGTTGCTTACGACTAACTGACTTTGATGAGCACTACTGATGATGCAAAATCACAGTCCTATTTAGATTTAAATAGTTTTTATTGATGAAATTCATTTCATTAGATGTAAGTAAATTCACTTCAAATTAGAAAATCGCTGCCTCCAATATAACACTGTTGTTTGTTTCATTTAATTTTCATTACTATTCACTATCATTGATTATTTCACAATTTCATACCTGTTGCACTATCTGTATCTCAATGTGATTTGATCATGCACTTTTTTTACTTATTTCAAACACATAGAAACAATCTGTGTAAATTTTATGTAATATTTATGGATTGATAACATGTAGACGATAATGTTTTTTGTTGTTGTTGAAGTTCAATTATTTAAACATTTAATTATGGGTCATTGAACACTGAACAGGAAATCGGATGCAATTATTTTGGATTTTGAAAACAAAAAATAATTAGTCAATATATCTTACTTTCATATGGTTATGGTTAAAAGTAGGACCCGAAACATAGATATGCTTTTAAAAAATGCTAGTGTGGTGTGAGCTGCATATATCCACACAAGTAGTATGTAACGATAGTCAGGAATAGAATGTATTACAGTAGAAGATCAAGGAGGAAACAATGGGAACGGAAAGCAATTGGTATGAAAATGCATGAACAATGAAATCTGAGATGATGGACTGATATTTACAAAAAAAAACGGTGAAGCTTGAGACAAAAGATTGATGTTTGGCAAATCATGCATTTACTGTTTGGTTCTCAGATTTTAGTAAGATCTGTAATTTTGTATTCAAATACATTCGATTGCCCCCACTCGTGTTCTTGTTCACTACAGCAGTTTTTAAGCAATGGAAATATTCTCGCTGATATCATTTTTGTAAGCTGTATTTATGTGTTATATATCACCTTATGAATATTTACATAATTTGTGTGTTAAACAATTGTAAGCAACTGCCTTTGATCAATGTGTTGTTCCAATGTTGGTGCTCATTAGTAAGATACACTTTCGTGCATTAAGAAATCGATGTTCCTTAATGACGGTACTGATTCACGTATCAATCAGCGTCATGGTTAAATATTTGACTAATCGTTTCATTACTACAGTTGAATTATTTGGTACTATATAGTAATTTAATTAGTGGTTTTCAGAATAATAAGCACATTGTAAGTATCTATGATTTGTTCTACGTACAAAGTAATCAGATTACTACGCATTGATATGTCAAAACACCCCAAATATTAAAGCTAAACAGGATTCATGGTTGGCAATACATACTGTTATTGAAAATCAGCAAGCTCTGGGCAGTCTTTTCATTCTAATACAGGATTGTTCGGTAACGTGTGTCTACAAACCCACAAGTGACCAAGCCCAACACCTTCACACTTCATGGTGAGCGTTCAAAATTTATACTGCTTCGGCGAGGCTCAATGGTTTACACTTCAGAATTCAGTCAAATTGCGACACTGTACAACCAACTTCGAAAGTCATTGGTAAATGACTGCCTCATAGTAGACATAGTCGAACTTTATTGATCACGGATTGTCACTAGAGCTCCGGTGACTGTCTTTTAGAACTAACCACCAGTAAATAAATTTTTTACTGATGAGCTTCGTGAATCCTAATCATATTTTCGTAATCCAACTCTTTAACCTACTTTACCGATAATAAATTACCGTTATGTTATTATCATTATTTATTATTTTCCCTTTCTATGGTTTGTAATTGACATACTTACCATTTTTATTAGTCCGGAACTTGATAATTTAAAGCCCTTTTGTTCCTTATTTATTATTATTATTATTATTGTATCTGTCATTATGTTAGTGAATTTTACAACTAACCTCATCGAGTTCGTGTATACATACATATTCTTACAACACATGTCAATTTATCCGATAATTAAATAATTTAGTCTGTCCCGTTTTTAGTGAAGTTACTGCATATATATATATATGAGGACGTGAACCGGTACTATAAAAACCTTATTTTGGAATCAGCAGGCTCTGTCAATCTTGCTTTCTTTAAATTATTTTACATTTGTAGTAGTATACTCATCATACCCTACCCTTTATTGTTTAAAATATTCGTGGAGATTCTTAGAAGTCAAAATTTTGAACTGTATAGCTAATTCAGATTTTCTAAACGTGGTGTAAATATGGACGACTTTTTAAAGGTCAATTTATCACCAATCATTTAAATAGTGAATAGGTCATTAGAAACCATAAGGAGGCCCCATACTTTTGATATCTTCATAAACATCAGGGGTCAATAATCAGTCTTTACTGATCCCTCTGTAACATTTCAACAACATGGAGTTATTTTCTTTACTCCATGATCTCTATATGTTTTCCTCAATATTTCCTGGCTTTCTTGACAATTTTCCTTGTTTCTAACAGCGTATTTTATTACATTTTGTACATCAAGTAGACAAGACATGTATACACCTATGGATATCGCCGGTTCTATAAAAATCTGACTTTAAAACCGAGAAATAATGTTTTCACTTGGTAATAGCATCACTAGCTAAAAAGTTTACTTTGGGACACTCAATTGAAGTAGGCCAAATAAAGCATCTATTTGTGCATTCATACGATTAGTTGCATTATAATGAAGATTAACTTGGTTGATCTGAACAAATTCATTTATGTTCTGTTACTAGGTCATTTATTAGTTTCTCATGAATCTGTATTTTTCATTTGGCGGTTTTCCTTATTTTAGTATCCATGCAACGGTAAATTGTTTGTCTTATGTGAATGAAGTTCCGAATTATTGATTATTTTTTTCAAGTACAGAATAGATGAAAATTTTTAACCGATTTCGTCTGTAGACTTCAAGAATCTTCTCGAAACAATACCTAATACTACTGTGGTTATCAATATTAAACTGGTTTTATCTTATAGTTCGGAATATTCTATTTGACTTTCAATTTTTCGTTCGGCAACCTGAATATCTGTTCTATCACATTACAGATAAATATGGAGTACATATCAAAAGCTTTAATGTATATTGTTTGGGCATTTTAGGCAGGTTTTAACTAATCACATTACTCGATACTTTTTGTTATATGTTTTCTAAGGTTTTACTGATAGAAGCTACTTATTATCGATCATACTGGACACTGGTTAAATTTTCACGAGTGATTTATTTTGTAATTTCTAAGTGCGTCTCTCAGACTTTTCAAACTAAGGCATAAACAGCAGTTCAAACTTCTTGACTTTAAATGATTCTAGTTCTTGTCGAAAATTCCCTTTGACTTCTCATAAATATTCAAGTCATGAAATGTAGTTTATAAACTGGCATATGCATGTAATCTTATTTTAGGTGGTTAGTGACACGCCGTAGGAAACTCTGAACCTAGATCTCTTGCTACTTTGCACTTTTCAGCAAGTTATTCTTGTAATCTTGTGGGAACCGATGCTCCTTAACGTACTGAAACCTAAGTCACTCATCTAAACTGTCTGTGACGTTACCACTGAAGTCTTCGGGTTGTGACTGACTCCCTATAGGAGTGAGATATTTACAGTTGGTTAATATTGATTACAGGAGATTTTTATTTTTAATTTCTTGTAAAACAGATTAGTGATTACCGTAGAATATATGCATTAAGCAAGAAAGTGTACGGATATATTTCGTCCTTTTATGACAAATCTGGTTATCGAAAGATTTCTGCTTTTATTAACCCGCTTTATGTCTGTTTACGTGTTTTTTGAACATAGCATTCGTACCAGTCTCCAAGTTCTTTTAAGTGTTTAAATTACTGAATTACAATCAAATATAAATTAACAGGCAATACTTGTGTGCACTATATCTTCTAAGTGCACAATGGACTGTGTAAATGAACAGAATCTTTCATAAATGCAAATTTGTGTGTTGCATGTCTATAGTCATTATTCATTCTACGTAGTAACTTTATTTAATCACAGTTAGTTTCTAATTTTATGGTTATGGTTGCTATAGTTCGTCTTGTTGTTCTTAACATTATTTTAATAAAATGTTTGACACCATATTAACTTAATCTCATCAAGTAATTGTGGTGTGTGCTACTGATGTCGACAAATATAAGTAATATGTATCACCAGTCGAAAGTGAAATGCCTGGTGGCAGAAAGTTAAGAAGATCGAAGGAAAGAGAAAGAAAACAGAGAGTAATTGGTGTGGAAACGAAGGAACAATGAAGTCTGAGACAGTTGCTTGACATTTCGCAAATGAAGAATTTACTGTATCGTTCTCAGATTTTACTAACAGATTCTGTAATTTTGTGTTCAGATACATTCGATTGTCCCCATTTCTGTTCTCATTCACTACAAATTACGTTTCTTTCTCATACCATCTTTAACTATGTGTATTATCAGCAGTTATGAATACTAAAGGTTCCTAATAATTGTTATCGATATTACCGAATAATCCACTGTAATCATTATAATCTACTCATCTCCATTGTACTTGACCATTTTATAATCTGTGACTGTCTCTCTTGTTTATTTCATTCACTCATAAATTGAGCTTGGTTGAATAGGGAAGAATTAGAGCGAACAAAATGATTTCGCTTCATTGTTCAGTGTTGTTTTTGTTTTTACTCTATGAAAACTTATCAAAGAAACTAATTTTACAAACTCTGTACTTTAAATATGATGGTGCTTGCTTTATCTATCACTGAAATGAATTTTTTACTGATTTTTCTAGTCTTTGTTATGAACCTATTTTTGTCTTTTTTCTCAAAAATTGTCAATATACAAACCTGGACAAAGTTATCCAATAGTTGATACAAATCATCTCTTATATATGTGAAATCTAACCCAAAGATTTGTTGTTTCTTTTCTAAACACTCTATGATTGCATAATTAATATGCAGCTTTTTTACTATACGAGAACTGTAGATTAATTTCGAATCTCATCTAGACATTAACATAAATAAATTTTCAGTTACATTGACCAAAAATAATGCAATCCTTATAGGAGTAATTGTTCTCTTCTCATTGAGCTGAAATACAAACGTTTTATAGGTTAATCCAACCGTATACTCAATAGTACATATATTTATTATCTTGTTTAGTCGAGATTGTTTGTAGTTACTAACAAATCAATTCATTTCCGAATAATAATCACTATGCATGGTGAAAAATCCTTAGTGTTCTATCAACTGATACTTAAAATTGACTTTTCTTTCTGGTCATTTTACCTGAAACCATGATGTAAATTATTTGGAATTATTTATCATTGGTATAAGAGGTTTATGGGAATTATGTTACTAACCGGTTTTTCATTCATGGACGAACTTGAAGTAAACAACCTTTAAAATCCACTTCCAGGTTCGAATTCTGCTTTGGTCTTTGGTGTGTACATTAGCAGATCTTCGTACAAAGGCAAATAAGCCGCCCTGTGCCTTTTTGTTCTGTGGTTGTTGAGCTAAATTAAAAAACAAATATTACTAATGTATCAATTATTTGAGTGGTAATTAAGTGGATTTTCTTTTTGTTTGTTAATGAACCGGATATCAAGTTAACTTTAAGTGACAACTTATAGTATAACAATAATAGGTCAAATACTACCAGTAATCAAGTTGATTCTTTTCCAGACCCTAGCGTATATCAAAATCCTTTGACTGCGTAGGTTATATTTTATCAATCCCCACCATTTTCCGTCCATTAAGTGAATGAATGTTGAACATTAAAGTCTAAATTTCATTAAGTCTTCATTTTAAGTCTCTGACGCTATTCGTATTTGTCTACCATGAACGCATTAGTGTTGCGCAGTTTACCATTTTTGATGTAAATACAAAATATTCCCACCTCTGGGAATCGAGATAAGGATATTCTGTCTCAAGTAAGGACGTTTGACCTTCAGACTACTGAGCCAGGATGCAGTATCGATGGTTAACTGAAGTTAGGTTTGTGCACCGTTTAATCCTAGCTTAATCGTCTGTTGATTAAGTGTTTGAACACGAGATCGAAAGCTTAAACTTCCATTCTTGATGTTGGGGTCGTGAGTGAGTATTGGTAAGGAGTTCCACACTAAGACAAAACAGCCGTTCAATGCTCTCAAGTCTCCAGCGGTTGTCTAGCTTGTATAGGTTCATGTTCTTAACAACAACAAAAAAGTTAAAATGACATGGGTAACTAATTCTATATTTTTATCATATATATAATCATGTGATTTATGATAATTGCTGCACTAGATTTTTATGATTATAGCATGCCAATTTCAATGTATACATTCATTAGATAAAATATTTTCACTTTAATTGTGCATGCATATTTACATTTATGTTTGAATTTAAATTATCTTATAACATTTGAATAATATTTCATATTTATTGAGTCTAACTACATTGATCTTATTTTTGCCATTTGTGTATTATCACGTCCATATTTGACTAAAAACGTTGGACTCAAATCGATAAGAAGTGATAATGAACTTGGGCTAATGACATCTAGCATCACAATAAGATATATTATCAATAAACTATCGTGGTTACAACCTACCTCTTAATGGATTAAGATATTTACTAATTAATTAATTAATTAATGGCTAAGTAATAAACAATATTATATTTTAATCAGAGAGAGGTTTTGTGGACATTATATTAATGTAATTGTTGAATTCATGAGTCAGTTGAAGCTAGACCAACATGGGAAACCTGGGAGCACTGAACGGCCACTTCGTCTTATTGTGGGACTCCTCAGCAGTGCGCATCCACGACCCTGCCCCGCGAAATTTGAACCCGGGACCTATCAGTCTCGCGCGCGAACTCTTAACCGCTAGACCACTGAGGCGGCATTCGGCGGTGTTAATGTCTAACTTCAATCAATCCACGAAGTTGTGCCACCGTCCATCATTATCATCAGCGATTTGCTATCTCACAACTGACCCGTAATATGCGGCTCAGTGGTCTAGTGGTTAAGCGATCGCGCGCGAGACTGATAGGTCCTGGGTTTGATTTTCGCGGAGCGAGATCGTGGATGTGCATGGCTGAGGATTCCCATGGTGGTCTAGCTTCAACTGACTCATAAGTTCAACAACCAAAATATTATATTTGTTTCATTAATTGTTCTGATAGAGTACAATTGCTAAACTGGAATATATAATCACTAATCTAAATGATTTGATAATGTAGTGACTTTGTCTGCAAGTTCATCTTGTCGATGATGAATCCCTAAACTGGAGTTCCTTTTGATCACTTTTAAATCAGCACACATTAAATGAAGTGCATCATAATGTACATTCAGTTTGGTCTAGTGACTCTAATAATAAAATTTCATTACAGATAAACGAATAGGAGATATATCAATTGGTGTATAAATATAATTGCTTCATTTTGTATTTGTGTGTGTGTTAAACAAATATTCTATTTATTCATGAAGATATTATTAGTGCATATTATATAAATATATGTCTCCAACACTTCATTTAGCTTTCATTGGCTTTCACAAGGTCAAATGAATAACTTCATATCAAATGGTTTGAATAAATCGAATTCCATGCACCATCATCAATGTAAACCAAAAAACAGTTTAATCAATTCTGCATTATATATAAGGTCTAAAAGTATGGAACGTTATTATGGTGGTGGTTCACTGAACAGATCACGTAGAAAAACACAAGAAACTACTCTTCCTTCTATGAGCAACAGTAATAATAGTCATGTTGATGATGTTTCTGCTAATCCTGTCTACAATTCTTCACCACCTTCAGTTCTACATACCAATTCAATTTGCAATAATAAATCACAACAGAGCTATCAGGGAAGTGCCCTTGAATCCAATCAAAATGGTCCATTGAATAAAAGTATGTCTGTACTAAGTAGTAATAAATCGTGTAATAATCATGTGAAAAATGGACCTCATTCATTTGATAGTTATAAAAGCAATCAATCTATTTCATCTTCTGTACGTCATGAATCGAATGAGTTTACGTCTTCATATATGGACAACGTGTGAGTACGTGAGGAAGTGTAAATATGTGAATATCTGTGTTTTTAATATATGTACCACTAACATTCATGATCGTTCAGAAAAATGTGTCGCTTAAAGAATCACTGGTTTAAACGTTTGTGAAGATTATTGAATTTTGTAGTTTACCGTACGAACCTACCAACGGAATTAGATGGTTGGGCAATATCCCGAATTGGCTGAAGTTAGAAATGTAAACCACTGGATGTTGATTCAGTGTTCTAAAGGTCAAGTGCTTGTCGTGACACCTGATGGTGACAGTGATTAGGATTGCTGTGGAGTTACACACTCAAACAAAGCATCTGTGTAGTTCTTCCTCGGTTTCTACAGTTTTCTAACTAAGGTTAATCAGTAATGTAAAATATGACACCATAGTAAACCATCGTTTGCCTTAAATTATTGTCAGCATTCATTAATTGTGACCTCAGAATAGAATATTCAAAGTTATAAATGAATAGCTGTGAACTCTGGTAATGAAATCACCATTATACATCTTAATAATGAAGCGATTAATTGCATAAGGTTTTTTAATTCAATGTTAGATAAACGTTATCAAACAACGTTAAATAAAAACCAGTGACTTTTGGTTTGAATCCAGAAAACAGTATGACAATTCAGTACTCTCTGTAAAAGGCATAAGTATTCTCTTCATTGTATTTTGCTACATAGTAATTATAAAACGAAATTCTATAACTAGTTAAAACATTTGTTATTTGAGATGCAAGGCTGAGGACTTTTATTTAAATAATGATGAAGATTGTTGGTATTTCAAACGCATTCAATGTGATACTTGTGAATATTTTCTGTTTTTCAAGCAACCTATCAGCTAACCGTGATAAATGTTAAAAATGACATAGATGTATGTTAGCCTAGGTTTCAGTACCAAACCAGAAAAAAAACTGAAATTAATAACATGAATATCAAATGAATCAAATAGCCATAGTGTCACTGATAATCAGATAGACTCTATATAGATAGTATGGTTCTAGAAGAAGATATGATAATATATGTACGTAAGAATGCTGGAACTCAGGATATATCTGCGACACTTTGACCAATTCCAAAAAATATTACCCTAAAGCTCCAACTATTGTTTACGAAAATCATGAAGACCCTATCCAGGTAGTCTGAACCTATCAAAATCGCTCAGTCCAATAGTTGATAACTTCACTGGTTGATATTTCACCTTGGTTTTTGCCTCTAATATTCTTCCAATCTTCTACCCCACTCAAACTTGTTCTTCAAGATAGGCTGTCGTCGTGCATACTTAGCATATGTCTCAACATTCTCAGTTTACTAAGATTCATAGCCTAGTCATTGAAAATTCTATATGTATCATTATATCTTTACTTCATCACTTAAAATAGATGGTATTCTCAAGTTCCAAAAAACATTGTGATCTTTCCTCTCATTGATGACTTTAATTTGAATTCTATCTGTCAAAGATAGGTGATTACGAAAATTAGCCATTTTTAAATATGGAGAAAAGTTGTAATGATTACTCCATAATCAAAATATGATGGACATAGGACTGTTAGGAAGATAATTTCACTTCTATTGTTAAACTGAATGATAAGAAATCCCTGTCTACATTGAAGCAATTTTGTAACAAAATAAACATCACCAGTATTTATATTGTATTATATTTCCCCATTACTAATATTCGTGAGTAAATCTGACCAATCTATGTAACGTAGTGAATAGTGCACTGGTCGTTGAAGCTATATGTATTGGGTTTCTTGTCACAGTGTGAGCATCCGAACTTGGATCTGGCAAGCAAGTCCAATTGTTGAGTCTAAAAATAAGATAAAACAACTATTCTAAATTCCATTGCTACCCATTATTTATAATACGTAAGTCAGTTATCAGTCTTCAGCCTTCGTTTTTTACTTTGTAAGGTACTCAACGGACAACAATCAAACATTCGCTCTTTCGCTGCGTTTTTTTTATCGTTCGATGTCTGTCTATTTTTTATCTACCAAATAGACATTCCAAGAATTTAAAGTTAGTAAATGAAATGTGATCACGAGTGTCTACCTTTTAAAATAATTTTTAGAGTTCTAATGAGAAAATATAACTGATGAAGTTCAGCCATATCGGAAGTAAAAAGATGTTTCAACCTAATAAAGAATATAATATACCTTACACTATGTATCTGTTGGTATTGAAATAAGTAGGCACATACATATGTATTTTGATTTTGGTGCGCTCGGTTATTCGTATTATTCTTTTTTCATTAATGAATGTATTTAGTACTCTCATGTTCAACTGCATGTATATCCATCTAAATGAAATGTATAAATATTGCATGTTCATACAATGTTATTTTTTGTTTAACAGTAACAAATCCCCTTCATCTCATAATGGTCTTAATTCATCCAGTGAACAACGTCAATCATTTCAATTCGCCTATACTAAGCGGTGCGTATGTTTTACTTTTTTTCCGTACAGTTATCATTATGCTGAATATATATGAATGATTCGAATACAATTGTTTTTGCATTTTTGCTCTAGTTTTTAAGTTGAAGTAATTAAGCATGCTGTAATGCATAAAATGTATAATATCATTTAATTTCCTGTGTTCTATTTACTGTTATAAGCGCTAAGCATTGTTTTGTGTTAATGATTTCAGTGTTTACTGCTGAATAGCATGTAGGTATGTTACTCAGCTGCTGTGTGTATGAACTTAACAGGTTGGTGTTTTATTCAGTGAGATTACGTTTTTATCGAACAACAATAAGCTCAAGAATTAATCCATACTAAACAGGGGAATACTATTAGTGGTTTGTAGGCTGCCAGATTACCCGACTTAGTCAATGCAGATTAATTTTCAGCAGCGTATTAGAACTCTTCTTATTATACCTTTCATTTTAGATTTATAGACCATACTTTACTAAATTAGACAATATTTTAATCAGTAGCTTTTTTTTTAATCTCTCCAGTTATAATATGTCTGGCACTGACATGATTATATCCTTCGTAATAATCACAGAGGAATCAGTAAAATTAATGTGGTACTTCGATGTCTAACTAGAGCTTATGAGGAGAAAAATCGAGAAAACAGAGCTGGTTTCAGACCTAGATGTAGATATGTAGACCAACTATTCACCCCTCGACAGGTTCTGGAACATAGACATAATGTTCGACGTCCGACAATGGTCGCATTCCTTGACCTTAAGGCAGAGCTTGACTCCATCGATCATAAGGTTCTTTGGAAGTGTCTTTCACCGAAAACCCTACCAAATAAAGTACGTAAAGACTCTCTACTTAAACTTCTGGTCGAGTTAGAGCTTATGGCGAACTGTCGTTGGAATCGGTTACTTCAAGGGTTGTACACCAGGGCTGTTAGCTCTCTTCATTTTTATAAAACTTTGTCATAGACATGCTTTTAAAGATAACACTTTCATCGTCTGACTTTTCAGGAGTTAATCTACCAGGAGATTCAGATACTGACTTAGGATATCCTGATGATATAATTCTTCGTAGTGAGGATGCTGACAAAATACAGAGTCTTCTGACCACCTTAAGCAACAATGTTAGTTCATGACTGGCTTGCGTTATCACTTAAACTAATGATAGGGAGTAAAGTAAGTGAATGCATCGACCGTTTTCTTTATCGTAGGAGTCTCACCAGTACTAATGCTCTGATATTTGACAAAATCTCGGCACAGATTTGGAAGGCTCGAATGGCTTTTGCTAACTTGTGTTATTTAAGGTGTAGGAGAGATATCTGTCTTCCAACCAAGGGACGAGTTTACTGAGCAACAGTTTGCTCCGTTCTACTTTATGGATGTGAAACATGACCATCAAGAGTAGAGGATATTCTTAGTTGTCTACCAAGCTTTGCTCGTGTATTTTGGGACCGCGGAGTAAGCAATGTCTAGGTTAGAAATACAGTACGAGGTAAAGATGGAAAAAAGATCGATGAGGTAGTAAATCTTCTTCAAGTGAGGTGGTTGGGATGTGTTACGTATGTTCAACGGCCGCTGGTGCAGGAACAGGCTAGAAGAAAGCTAAGAGCGGCCAGATCAAAACATATTATCAGTCCATAAATTCACTGACAACTGAATTAGCAATACTACTAGATGTAGACTGTCTGGTTTGGGTCCGTGTGATTATCATAACCAATGGTTAGAAACTTTGAATGACATGGCTTATAATCGTTTGCGACGGCCCATGTGCATCCATTCTTTGTCTTCCCTCAAATTCTGAGATTCTCAATACCTTATAACATTTTTCGTCTTTGTTACACTAATTTATGTTTGGTTCTCGAATCGTATCTTTGATACCCAGTCTTCCTAATTACTACTAATACTGTTACTACCTCTACAATTCTGGGATTCGGCTTAACAGTTTCATCTCTCTGTGCTATTAGAATTTGGTAATTTGAATCGATGTACATACCTACCGGGTTCTACACTGTGACTGACTGACTGTTATCTCTCTCTATCTCCTAATGTAAAACACATTAGTTTCCTACTTAGTGTAGTAATATTCTCGTGAAATGATCTGGCCATACTGTGGCTTATAATGTAATGAAGTGTTTTTTCTAATTCATTATTAGTGCAAGAAGTTTATGAAAATTGTTTAGTCCGATATTTTATAAGGCGCAAAAACACATTTCGATGCCATTCGTTCGACGCCAGCTCTTGGTTCTCAGTGAAAAATATCGATAGAGAAGCAATTCAATAGACATCACGAGGCATGAAGTCAATTGTTCACTGTGGGTCAGAAAGTATTTGCTATGGACTACCGTGGCAAACATCCCACATGGATAGCTGGTCGAATCGTGCAAAAGAAAGGAATTGTGATTTACGAGGTGTCAGTCGACTCAGATGTTTGAGTGGATCATGCTAACCAACTGAAAGCAACTTTGATCGCCAGCAACGAGATCCGACGTAGGATACTGCTTGGTGTTCTGCTGGACACGTTTGAAAACAACACCTCTTGAGTAAACGGGACATTCTCTGTGCAAGCAAAGAGTAATACCACTCTTTAATTGCCTAGAAGGTGGACACATTAAAAACAGGTCAGTCACACGGTTGCAAGTGGACTCTAACACCAGATCCTGCGAATCTGTTCAAAGAGGTGTTAGCAGGTTATAGATTGGATTCAAACATGTTTCTTGCAGGATTGCATTGGAGCACTCTGTCTATTTTTTAGCTAATCAATACTAGTGGATATTTGGAAAAGACTCTAGAATCTTCTCGTTGTGATTTCTACTTCCATCTATCCTTGTCATTTGGAATACAATTATGTTCTTGTTCAACCGTGTTCTGATTTGGGGACTTGTCGAGAATACAAAGCACTATGAATAGCTGGGTCGTAATAAGAGAACTCGTAACACTGAGTATTTGATAAAAGCTATTAATTATTGAAAAGCGTCCAGTTTTATAACCAATAAGTCAATTTTTGAAGTTTGTATCATCCCTCATTCATCTTGAATAATCGTTTTGTTATCACTAGTGGCTATCAAACAAACTAAAAGCCTAAAACAGATAAGTAGTTTACAAACAGCTATATAGAACTGACAAAATTGAGGATTCTAATTTGCATATTTTTTCTGGTTATGAAATAACATTATATTATCTCCTTAGAATAAAAAAATAATCATCTCATTTGTTTTACACTGATTCTTTTATCGAAATTTCCTTTGTTTTAATTTATGGTGGTTTTCTTCTAAAAACAAAATGTTTTCACAACTATCAGTGATAAAACTTGATACTTTAGTGAAGAATAATGATAGAACTTTTCTAGAATAGATGAATTGTGAATAGCATTGAAATCTAGAACGAGCATTTCATCTTGTTAGAGGTATGTCATTTGGATATACCTACATTCCAGAGTTGATGTTCATAATGGGACTCAAATTTGATACATTTCACTTCAAAAATGAACATGTTATCCATTGTATTAAATAGTATGGATGATCTCAACCTTGCTCTACATTTATGTTTATATTATTAATAGAAAGGATTTGAATTTTTCTGTTGTTAATATCTAAGATTGAATTTTCAATTACTCCTTTTCAAGATATTTTCACCCTGTGAAGATTTCCTTAACGCAATCATTTTGTCACACGTTTTAAAATAGATGCATTTCGGTTGGATTTATTTTCAAACTTATTAGTATCTAATTAACATGAAATCTTGGTCAAAGACATTAAAACTGAATAATACCAGTATGTCTATGTAAAATTTTAGTTAAATGATGCCAAAATAAATATTCGTGTTTAACCAACGTAATAATCATGCCATTCTTTGTCAATGATTTTAAGTTAACTCAATCACAATGTGTATTCATTATTATGCAGTAAATTAAATAATTTTTATTTTATTCTATTTAAACACATAAACATTGGTACAAGGAGGCACCGAATAGATATGCACCACATAAATCATTCGATTTGTGTGAGGACTGAGATACTATACGGGTACCCAAACCAAAGCAGGTGGTTTTCTTAGGTGGCCACACCCGAAACCTTCGACCTAAAGGTCTGATCTACATGGCAGTGGAGCAACGTAAGGAGTTACAGTTCCATGGTAGCCGGTGACCAACGGTTGGTTCATACGCCATTTGTTCCTTTAGGATCCTGGAGCCCATGTACACCATTGGTTAGGAATGAGGGTTTTCGAACTCCCTTAGGTGGATCCTCCGTACCCACCAATCCGGCTAAAGCGCCGAACATTCGCTTTTCGTCCTTTGAATTTCGTAAAGAACAGTAATGCCACAAGAGGGCAGTGAGTAGGACTTGTGTGGCAGTGGTTGTTTGCACGTGGTCACTTGAGAGCATTTGGAGAGGGAGAGTTGATTCTCCCCCACCCTCGGCCGTGCCAGAGCATTTGGGGACAAATTTAAATAATGTATTGACTTATTTTGACTCAATAATATACCAATAAATCAATTAATCTAATTTATAATTTCCCCTTCTTTTTTATTTTAGAAATTTTACCACTTGGGATAAAAATATGATTTCAGCATGGTTATATAAAATTGGTTTAGGTTATACAGTATCACATACACGAAGATGGTTAACTTCTGGTCAAGATTTAATAAATGAATCTAAAAAATCACTTGCACAAGTAAGCAGTTAGCTAATTTACACGGTACATAATTCATAAATAACTTTATAAGACAATGTCTTTTTTCATAGAGAAAATGAAAAAGTATCTTTACGTTTCATTCGAGTTAATTGTAATTGAATAAACCTTATAAAAATTAATAAATCTTAGTATAAATACTGATTAACAGCATTCATTCGTAAATCTATAGACCAGAAATTGATTACTTGAATATTTTGAAAGGATTATGCTCTTTTCTAAAACAGTTTAATGAGTTTAAGCTTAAAGTCATTTAAAAATGTATAGAACAATGAAACACTTAGATCTTCAACTTGTACCAATCAGGATGTATGCATTCTATGTTACATTGAGTCAATTCAACCCTTATAATAAAATTTAATTGGATAAAAAAAAGTGTACTTTATTGATATCTTCTATTCAAAGACTTAAACAATATAAAAGGTAATTATTTCAAAGAAACTGTTTTCAAAATATTTAATTGAACCACCGTAGAGTTGTGTATACATTTTAAATAACGAGATTATAGCTGGTATTCGCTATAGGTTGATATTACTCGGAGGTGTAACTCAAAAGTGAACAAGTGACTAACTGTTTCATTGAAATATGGGACTCTTTATCAGTTAAAAGCCATAACCTTATCAGGGATTTAATCGCAGACCTTCAGGTATGGAAGGTTGGTCATCGAAGATAAGGAAAAATGGTTGTCATATATTATGGATTGATCTAATTTCAGTGGTCTAGAAGGTAGGCGCTTGTTGGCAAGACTGAAGGTCCTGGGTTTTATTCCTGGTGAGGACGTGGATGGACAATGTACAATCGATGAAAAATCTGTTAAATACTTCCTAGTTTTCTATGAGTTCTTAACTTAGGTAGGGTAGTAATAAGAATAAACAAACATGTGTTTATACCTTTTCCACTATTTCCTAACCTTTTCATCGTGCCAATTAACATTTAAACAGCAACATTTGTATACATTCATAAGAAAGGTAAAGTTCAGTGAGCGATTAAAACTTATTGTATCTCATGTATCATGGTTTAAGAATTTAACAAATAAGCTAAACCGAACACGATTTATCATTCTCACGACTGATCTGCATACATTATTACCTGACCTATAAAGTTTTTACATTAAGCTGCTTAACTACATAGCAGCAAAATATAGTATACCACGATATTAAGCTATGGAGTCGAGTAGTAGCATTACAAATTCGATTGTTTAAATTTGATCAGTACTATAAACTAGACAGAAAATAATACTGGTTATTACTAATATCAATACTACTATAACTACTACAGCTTATATTTGTTTCTATTAGTTTCGCTATCGATTGATCAGCGATTAGTAGCTATTGTCTTGTTTGTCTAGTATTTTATCGATGACCGCATTCTATCCATCAGATGACAATGTGGTCACCAGTTTGAGTAACTTAATATGACTTGCTTTATTTTAATATGTTAGTTGATTAGATGTAGTTGACAAGATACCTTCATGCTAATTACTGTCCAATATGTAGACGTCTGTTTGACTCTGAAGAGACTAGTGTTCCCTATACAAATCAAACCCCCATCACCTAGCTATCTTATTTCGATAACTTATCAAGGTACCATATTTTAAAGGAGATTGTGTTTAATTTAATAAATAACTTACAATATTCTTTTTTTTTCATGTTTATTTATCCCAATTCGATAATCGACGTTTTCTTATTTATTTCTAGTATAGGGGTTGTGGAGATTATTAAGTTTTTGATTGAGATCTTGAACCAATTGATGTTAGACCATCACAATTGAAAACCTGGAAGCACTGGACGGCCGTTTCGTCCTATTGTGGGACTCCTCAGCAGTGCGCATCCACGATCCCGCGGGCGGGATTCGAACCCAGGGCCTTCGGTCTCGCGTGCGAACGCTTAACCAACTGGACCACTGAGCCGGCATCCAATGGTGATAGTTTCTAACATCAACCAATCCACGAAATTGCGTGACCAACTTCCATTGTACCTAAGTAGATAACTGTCTCTACCCGACAAGGATTAGCTCCACTGGTCACGCCCGCGGGATCGTGGATGCGCACTGCTGAGGAGTCCCACAATAGGACGAAACGGCCGTCCAGTGCTTCCAGGTTTTCAATTGTGATGGTCTAACATCAATTGGTTCAAGATCTTATTTATTTATCTATTTATTTACTTAATCGCTAACAGATGTTCGTAAAAGTATAATCATGTAGATACCATAAACTAGTAGACTATTATTTTCTGAATTGAATACCATCATTCAGTTGATTAACTGATGAATAAATGTTAATCAGAGCGTATACAACAAAGTTGGAGTACACCAATACTAAATAAATTCATTTTATTTCGCAATTTTCATTGTGTTTTTTTCGTTGTTTTCTTCGCTTGTAAAAATCAAAGTTATTGAGTAATAAGTATGTCGTAACAGAACATTACTTTTTATTATTGATTGTAACTTTGATTAGTATCTAAGGCGTTATAATTGTCCTGATCGTTAAAAAAATTCATTATTTACTTAATTGATACAAATAAATTATGGTACAATATGACATTTAAAAAAAGCATACACCGCAGAAATAAACTAATGGTATTTTGAAAGAATAAATAGATGAAAATATATTATAATCAATGAATGTGAATAAACAGTAATATGATATGATCATCAATAAAACTCAGTTAAAAACCCAAACAACAAAGTTTTCTTTCAGCCACGGAATTCGTTTTACCTGGATGAAGAAGATTAAAGTAAAATCGCAACTGGATTTCATTTTGAGGCATATCTCATAACTACTGAAGTTACTAAGTCGCATAATCTCTAGGACTGTAAACAAGGATTCGGAATGAACTAACATATTTTGTCTTACTACATCTAACTTTGATACAATGGTACCATGTTATAAACTTACCACCACTACACTTTTTATACCCAGTTCAATAGTAGACAAATAATGTCCGATTCGGAAGCCACTCAGACGATAAAGGCATGAGAAGCCACCAAAGTTGATGCCTTAAGGTAGTTGAGATACATCTTACTAGTGAGGACTGATTAGATAAAACGTAGGACAACAGTTTATGCGTCAAACAAAATCTTACAATTAGATTGATGTAAAAGTAGTCCAATAGTCCAGTTATCTGGTAATTATGTGGTAAAGATATAAACAAATAACCTTCCGTAAGATATTACCAAGAGTTAGCACTTTCATAATATTCTTACCGTGTTATCGTTTTCTTTTCGTTTCTTTTTTTTAATAATCGTTTCCTATCAATTCATTTTCAGTTAATGTGTATACGTAACCCGTTACATTTGAAGAAATTGTTAATCCATATACGTTTATGTATGAAAGACCAGTATCCTAATAATAGTAATAATATTAATAATAATTACAATTATGGGTGTTTATATAGAAATATAGAACCACCTGAAAATTTCGACATACCGGGTAATTATCATTGTTAGTTTTGTATGGAACTTATTTATGATGTATTTAGTTTGTGAATAGTATTTTTATTATTTTTGTCAGTGTAGTTTTAACATCGCGTCATTTTATACTCAGAGTACATTATTTTTGATCATCTTTTAAATCTGTTCTAGTGGTAGTGAAAGAATTATTTTACGTTTGTTAACTAACACAGTTCCAGATAATGGTTTCAATAATTCTGTTGTTAAGTAATTGAAATTATTCGATGGAGAAAACCTCATTGACTTAGTTTTCATACTAATTAGTACCCGTCAGTAAGATATACCTACATTTTCAAAGGAACTAATGTTCTTCGTGGGATGTGGATAGTGAGAGCCAGCTTTACAGGCTGAGATACTACCACTGAACTATGTGAGATGCAATTGACCCCCTGTAAATCAGAAGTATTTGCAGTGATTGATCACTGTCCTGACCTGAATAACTCAGTGGTAGCCCTTCAATTTGTGAAACTGGTAACCTATTAATAACATCCGTTACCTCAGAACTGGACCCACTATTTTCGGATGTGTTTTAACCATCCAAAAGTTAAATTCGGATTTTCCCCCAGATCATATCTAACCAACTGACATAACTAGTGGTAATTTTTAAAATTTTCTTTCCAAATGGTTTAGTATATATTTAGTAGGTTGGAGAATTTGAAAAATCACATGTGATCGTCCTTATATTCAGGTCAATGTCAGTACATGAGATTGTCTTATATATATAGCATTGAAATCCATTTCCTGATAAGTTAACAAAACTCTCAACACTAAATAACAATCTTATATATTGAGCAGCGTTTAACATTCGAATAATTTTCCAAACGCTGTTACAATTTGACTGAATGAACAATAACCATTAACTACCAAATGGTCAATATGTCAGTCCTACTGGATCAGTACCTTTCGATTTTTACTTTCCCTGTACATTATCCCACACTAATTAGTTCGCACACAACTGTTTAAAATAAAAAAAACTTAGTGTTTTTTGTTTAGTGAAAATCAATTATTACCTTTGTTTTAATGAAGTGAAAATTCCGATTTCAGTTTAAATATACATTAGTTAAAGTATTTTCTCTGATGAACCAATCAGATTCAGAATAGCGACCATTGGAATTTCGCGAAAAATTCAAAATTTAATTGTGTATAGCGAATATTTTATTAAAAGCTGAATAAGACCTAGTAATATTTCATTACTGAAACGCTTAAAACTGATAAACATGTAAAGACTGAATCATAAGTGTCCTAGTTTGTGGGAATTTGGATGTAACTTAATGTTATTGATGTCTTAAATTGTAGAGCTGACTGTAGAATTTTTAGTCCAAACGACCAGGAAGCCATCATGATATGATGGAAAGAAAAGTCAATTTTCGATTGATTTACTCATTATGAGTTTTGTTCAAGACTACCTTCCGTTTTGATTCAATGTAATGATTACTCAATGTAGTAATTGTTTCATTGTCTCTTATGATATTTCATTCTGTACAATATGCGATATTCCATTACCATGAACTATCCTCAGTCTATGATTTGTTATAACTCTATGTATTTTTCATATGTGATTTCATCCTAATTATTAATCAAAATGGATGTACAATCAATATATAAATGAGTGTATTTTCTACTAGGGTCATGGTCGTCGTGTTTTGGGGTTAATAAATCATCACTTATACCAGTCTCTGTGTTCTTACTTTCGCGTCGTGGGAATTGCTGAGGTCCCTTGTATATAAGGGATTACTTGTTTATATCACCTGTATTTCGATTGTCCAAAAGTTAGTGTTACATTGGGAAGATCACTGTCAGAGTCACAGAATGTCATGAGTAAAGTGTAATCAAAAATATTAATCAATTATGATGTGAATTTGGAGAGACTATATTTTATGGATGATCTTAAGAGATTCTCAAAGTGACCTTAAGAAATCTCAACCACCTAAAAAATTTAAAACAAGGCTAAGAATTAGAATTAGTGGTTGGAATTAAGAATCAGGGTTGGGATTTTCATCAGGAACTGACATCCTCTGTGATTCAAAAATGTTCTGTAGCCATATATATGAGTGGATTTCGCGTGTCATTTTAAAACCTCTTATTTTTAAACAAATAATAGTCCAATCATAAATTCTATTAATTCCAGTCAATAAAAATAATTCATTTCGTTATGTTTTTCACTGTATAGGTTGGTTACATGATGTGGGTTTATCATCTTATATTCCACAATTCGATAATTGCATCATTGACCCTTATGTGCTAGATCAACTTACTATGGTACGTCTAACATTAAATGTATATTAGTATTTTTGCCTTTGACTATGACTTTATATATGTATGTATGTGAACGACTTACAATCCATGACGTCGGTTTCAGATACATACACTTCCTTTACGCGTAACCATTCAGTAATATAAATGTATAGATTGAGAAAAAGGCTAGGCTGCTATAACTAACGATTTAAGTTCTGTTGCACATAAATCATAGGTAGATATATACGATTGTCCTTCTGATCCAAACAAGGAAATGTGAGCTGAGGGCTTGACGAGGTGCTTAATCAACTACCTCCAATATTATACCCAGAGCGTAACTTCTCACCTATCGTCTGATCTTGAAATGAATTGTGAACACAGGCATCAGATATGTCTATAATCACCGAGTCTACCACCATGCCTCGGTATACACAAACATACCGTGATTTTATTTGAAGGATTTTCTTCTGGATCTATCTCAGTGGTTTAAATGTCACTTCCTTTCCGTGAAACCCAAAGGCTCTGGGTCCTATCCCTTTGAAGCTCACGACTACACACTAGTAAGAAATCCTGGTTCTCAACTTTGTACCCTAACTAGTCTTATTCCTTGATAAAAATTACGTAAATGACAGTTTGATAACACTTTTCTCCCTATGATTTCAGGATGATTTATCTGTGTTGAAAATGTCTAGTGAATTACATATGTTAAGTTTACGATGGGGATTACAAATGTTAAGACATATTAATTTTGATAGAAATCGTTTATGCCGAAGTCAGATGGAACAATGTAAGTAAAGTATTGATAATATAATCGTATTTTTTAACAAAATTGTTTTATCACTACATATTTTGCCGATATTCAGTACTATTCGTCAACCAACAGATTTTATTAGTCTAGAGACCATAATTGTCTTTCGAAAAATTTGTTCAACGGATGAGAGTTTCTCTCTCAACCTGTTCAGTTTTTTTTCATTACCCGACATTCTCAACTAATTATTTAGTAAATAATATTACTAACGTAATTATTGAACGTAATCATATTGTCTAGAAAGACAATACTGAAGTACCCAAATCAAAGAAACCAATACTTCCCGAATTCTCACCCTCAACTATAAATATTCTCCATCTCACAATTATTGTTTCAAAGGTAAAACTGTGCTGTCCTCTTCTTAAATCCTGAAAACTTTATATTCAATCCTTAGTACAGTTTCTGGATGCATACTCGTCTCGTATTGGAAGATAATATACAGTGGTTCTGTTTGGCACTTCCGTTCCACTGTTGACCTGCTGCCATGTCTAACACATTATAACGATACCTATATATTAAACCAGAATATTTGCATGAATTTCAAAGCTAACAATGCCTAAAATCTGTTATGATGATGTTTATTACCATTTTAATAGCTTCATCCTCTTTTCTGACATATTTCCTTGTGAACAGTGCTTGTCTTGTCTAACTTTCTACTTCAATGTATATTGCTATCATCCCCAGTTCGATTTCAATTTCTCATCGACTTTCATTTCGTGAATTTTCTCTCTGACTGTACTGCTATAATATATGACAACTTAAGCAAATACATATTCATGGTATTTCCAGTGTTATTATCAGTATAGGGTTGTGGAGATTATTGTGACTGGTTGATTGGTCGATTGATTGATACTATAAGAAAATAAGTAATAAATATATATAGGCTGCTGACTTCATGGAACTCAACATTTTGTACATATTCTTTAAAATTAAACTGATAGTATTTATAGTTTGTCATTTTATGTTGAATTATTCTTAAGATTGTTATTTTTTACTTGGTTTAATTAATACAGGTGAAGCAAATTTACCTTGTAAAAGAAACATGTTACATTCTCCCATCCAATCGTTAAATCATATTCAAGATAATATCAAACCTAATAATGGACATAATGGAAATCATGTGCATACGTCTTGCTTGAATACTATTTCTACTTTACAACCAGATTCCATGAATTCTGATATTAATTTTATTTGTTCAACATATTTACCAATACAAATTTGTTATTGGACTCAACAACGAGTAATGAATTGGTTACAAAGTATCGAATTACCTGAATATGCTAGTGAATTATGCGGAAATGGTGTACATGGTGCTTTAATGGTAGGTGATGTGATCTTCATCTAAATTAATTGGATTCATTTTAGCTTATTTGTAATATCGTTGTGGTTTTAGTTAGACATCCAATGAAAACCATAGGTTACTGGATAACTGTCTGACCCGTCAGTCAGTTGGTCATACGCAACCTAGAACCTGGAACGTGTGTACATCGGTTCAAGTTGCCACAGCTCATTGGCACAGTGATATGAAGTTGTCAGACCAAATCCCAGAGTAGTAGAAGTAATAACTATATTGTCGCAATAGAAAAGCCTTGGCTTCCAGGATACGATTTGAGAAGAAAATAGGAGTCAGTGGAATAAAATAAAATTTTATAAGCGAACGTAAATACTTAGTACCTAAGGGAAAATGAGTGAATGCATCTGCGTCATTGTGAATGATTTCGAGTCATGTCATCTCAAGTCTTTAACCATTGGCTAAGGTAATCACTCGGACCCCGACCAGGTAGCCTTACCCATCTACATGGTTCAATCTAATAGTCAGTATCTTTGTGGCCTGATGCCCTGTTTTGTTTTGATACCCTGGCTCTCTTCTTATTTATTCCTATACCAGTAAACATTTCCGTTTCGTGTGTGATTACTAGTGGTATTATACTAATTACTCACTACTTAGTTCCCCAAGATAAAACTTCGTAACATAGTTGTTAAAACGTCTGTATTTCTGTCACCACACCACTATTGGTCATTTTTAAACATCTACTATATTTCTTCTCACCTAAAAAACAGTAATATGTTACATTATGAATATGGCATACATGTTTTATTGCCTATTACTATAATCCATCGGATCGTATCTACTTTCTAAGCTGAATAGTTTTAATTACAAAACTCCCACTATTGTCATTCTGGACAATACTACTACAGCTTAGTTTTCAGTAAAAGCTATGAATGACAATGTTTCTTCAGTTTACTGACTTCTATGCAAACTTCCTAGGCATGCTTTACCGCATAAGTGGTACCTCATATTGATCGGATAACTTCTGAATCTGTGAATTTATGGTGTCGTGCACATCCGTTTTTATATTTACTCACTATACGAAGAACCAGTTGAATTCATAACTCGAAACACTTTTATTATTTTTTTGTAATTTCCGAGGGGCTGTATTTTTCCATTGTTATTATTCTCAACTGTAAATCCATTCAATTTATTTATTAAATATTGGGTTGGGCCTAAGTGAATGACTCAGTACTGTCGATAATTACAAGTGCATTATACATTAGAATAATGGTCAACTAGTAAGTCTTCTAATTGAACGCTAAATTTGACCTTTAAGCTCTTCTAGTAACCATCAGGCTAAACCTACGCAACGATTTGAACACGAGAGGAAAGGCGCGAAATATGGAAGAAATACTTTACTCTAAGGTTCGGCCATGCATAAAAAATCTAGGGTATTTATAGTATTTTAGATGACTCCGAGCTTCTGGAAATTTTTGGAACGTTACTAAACATTGTAGTAGTATGGGTAATCATCTAATGAGGAACGCGACATGTAACTTTTCACTCTCTAAATGTTTCTGGCAAAGCTTCTATTGAATGCTCATTGGATAAGATGTTTCTCAGCAATTTTAGAGCCTCTTCTGGCTTTTTTTCGTGGAATTGTCTGGATCACCCCAACATTAACAATGAAATTTATAACCAATGGTTATACTGAGGCAATCGTGAAAGAAGCCTATATGTCAAAAATGGAGTGATCAATATAGTTTTGATTATCAACCATTGAAAAATACAAATCCTAACAAATATCCATTGAATAAGCTATGTGGCAACATAGCACATAGTAACTTTTGGTAAATAACACATTGGTGTTTGAAGTAATAGATACCAAGTCCAAGTCGTAGTTTGAACATTTAAGCACTTGGATACAAGTAGGTAAATTCAGATGATAAATACTAAATGAGATAAAAGTGTACATCAGTCAAATTACTAACTATAATCAAAAACTATAGTAAACTAATTAAGCTTAGGTTGTTTTGTGTGGTTTAAATAAATCTCATTTTAAATTGATCTTTAATAGTTCTCATATTTATTCATATAAATTGAAAAGACATAGATTTTTCTCTTCGTTCTCTACTAAATATTTGAAGGTATTTTTTTAATAATTCTCATGAGTGTATACGCGCTTACTTTATAGGAATTCATTTGTTAATGATTAAATTCTTAGTTTGTATTGATTTTATACACTTTAATCAACTACATAATAAAATGCACAGTAGATTTTCTTATATGCCTCTAAAACCTCGGTGTAAATCTTTTAATACGACTTTAAAGAAAATGGTATTTCCGTGAAAAATGAAGGACTAGTCGTTTAAAGGGATCGAACGCTTGTTGAGAAGCATTACAATGTTTAATCTTCAATGATCATCTCATAAGCACCACCTTTAAGTTTTTCTTCATCACAATATGTAAAGGAAAGCACTGATTAGCTGTTAGTCGACTTACTTACGCCTGTTACCCCTCATGGAAGCATAGGACGCCCATAAAAATTCTCCAGCCAACTGCGTCCTGGGCTGCCCTTGCTTTTCAAATAATTGCTTTTACGTCTGAGACAGATCCTCCTTATTCATCGATGATGCTGTCCAGGTACGTGGAATTTTCCACCTCTTTCAGAGTTTCTCCATCAAGTGTGATTGGGTTAGTACCCTCTGTGTTGTAATTGAGGATCTTTTTTTCCTTTTGTATGCTGAGGCCCGCTGCTGCAAAGGCTGCTACTACATTGTCTGTCTTCACCTACATTTGTTGGTGTGTATGGGAGAGAAGAGCTAGGTCATCTGCAAAGTCCGAACCGTCTAGCTGCATCCAACCTGTCCATTGTATTCTATGCTTCCCCTGAAATATGGAGGTCTTCGTAATCCAGTCGACTACCACAAAGAATAAAAAGGGTGAGAGTAATTAGTATTGTCTGACACCAGTCCTCACTTGGCATTCATCTGTCAGTTGTTCTCCATTCACCACTTTGCAGTGTAGTGAATTCAATATGATGCTGACGATCTCAGATACACTATCGAGTCGAAGTAGGTCCCACAAAATTCTCCTATCCACACTGTTTAACGCTTTCCCATAGTCAAGAAAGTTGTCTATAGCGGCGAATTTCATTCAACTGACTGTTCGACGATGATTCGTGGTGCCGCAATTTAATCTGTGCACAACCGGTTCTTACGGAATCCAGTCTGTTGATCTTGAAGTTGGGCGTCTACTGAATCTTTCGTTCGGCTCAACAACACTCCATTAAAAACTTCGCCTGGTACTTATAGTAGTGTGATGCCTCTATAGTGTTTGCAGTTGCACATATCTCTTTTCTTTGGTATCTTGATGAGATGTTCTTCTTTTCAGTCAGTCAGCACTAGCTATTCCTATCTAATCTGCCTGAATAGAGCATGGAGCATATTTCAGTTATTTCTATATCTGACTTCGGTGCTTCAGATAGTATATTGTCTGGTAACACTTCTTTCCCACTCCTGATTTACTTAATGGCCATGCTTATTTCTTTGATTGTTGATGGAGCGAGATTTATGGGAAGTTCTGTAGGTGCAGCTCCGATGTCTGGTGGGTTCATAGGAATTGGTCTATTCAAGAGTTTTTCAAAGTGCTGTGCCTACCTGTTCCGCTGTTTTCCAATCTTAATAATTCGTTTGCCTTCTTTGTTGCTGACCGGTCGTTTTGGTTTACTATATTTACCTGTTACCCTCTTCGTTGTATCATATTTCCTTCTTTTGCAACCTTTTCCTCTGTCATTATGAAATCAACGTATTTCTGCTTATCGAATCTAGTGCTCCTCTTCGCTCTCTTGCTTGCTTCTGTGCATTCGGTCTATGCCTCAACTTCCTCTGTTCTTGTTCGGCTGTTGTTGATTGTTTTTTTCTTGTTCTTCCTTTCGTAAATCTTGCCCATGGTATACATGGAGGTCCATCCTTCATGATGATGTTTCTTGCGGCCTAGTACTTCCTGACTCTTCGAAACTACTGCTTCTTGGATCGCTTTCTAGTTGTCCTTCATGGTAGTTTCCTCTTTAAGTAGATCTTGTGAAACTTGGAACCTGTTGCTGATAACTCTCCTGAATTCGTCGAGTTTTTCAGTATCTAGAAAGAAGGCTGTAATAAACATTTGTAGTGCTGTTTTTTTCAGTTGTACAGTGCTTCTTTAGCTTCAGTCTCATCTTAGCAACCACCAGGTGGGGATCTGAAGTTATCCAAATGTAATCTAACTGTTTCTCTGTAGTGTGATCCGGTGAAACCCATGTAGTTCTGTTTATGTGTTTGTGGGGGGGGGAATATAGTGTCACATATAGCCATTTTGTTAATTGCACATAAATTTTCAAACCTCCTAACATTCTCGTTCCTTTCTCCTAGTCTATCCATGTAGACCCATAATATCTCCATACCCGGTGTTGTCCATTCCGACTTTGGCGTTTAGGCCTCCTATCAGGATGATCAGGTCCTTTCCTGAGCACTTCTCTACATTCTCTCGTAAAACTGGTCTCTATCGTTTTCATTGCTATTATTGATGTGTCCATGGCAATGGACAGCATCCATTATGAACTCCTCCTTCTTTGCTTTGAAGGATGCTTTGATAAATCTGGATCCATGAGACTCCCATCCTACAAGTGCTTTTCGTGCTTCTTTGGACAACATTAGAGCAACTTCTTGTATATCCGAAGCATTCTCTTCCTCATGACCAGAGTACATAATCACCTCTCCCGAAGTTAATATTCTCTGTCCAGCTTAAGTCCGGTGGGTTTCACTTGTTTCGAGAACTGCTATGTTGTATCTCTTTATTTCCACAACTATTTGACTGTTCCTCCCGGTCTCCTACATTGTCCAGACATACCATTTACCTATGTCAGTTGCTGCTCTGGTTGTTAGTAGGAGTATCGCCCTCTTAACTTCCGAAGACTTTCGGCTTTCACTTTTAGGTGTCATAATTCTTGTAAATGAAGATACTTCAACTCACATGACAGAGTTTAAATGGTTTAGACTATTTTTCTTGGTTGTCGTTTTGTTAACAAGATTGCTTTCTACGGAATGGCGCTGCTGATACCATGTTCGACCCTCAATCTCTATCCGGGCTTGGGACCGACATTAACGTTTGAAGGACTACAGGTATAGCTATTAGACGACTACTAGATGATAATTATCAGTATGGAGCTGTGGGAATTGTTGAATTTCATTGAGATGATGAAACTATCTACGTAACATGAACGCTGTCAATCTGGAACTACTGAATATCTGTTTTTCTTACTATTGAGCTTCTTATCAGTGTAAATCTTCGAATCCACTACCACTTAGGCGTTACCATGCGTGACTGAAGGACTTTATTTCGATTCCTGGTTTTGCGGTCATAGATGCGCATCACGGAGGAGTCTCATATTAAGCTGAAAAGACCGTTCAGTGCTTCCAGGTCCCCAATTTCGTTTAACTTATATCGGCTAGTGATTCCAGTGTAATATTAGACGATACCCAGTTAATCCATGTATTGAGACCCTCTCCTAGTGCTGAAAGTTTTTATGGTTACGCTTATGACCGGTTGTCTAATTTATTAATAACACCACAATATTAGTTTAATTTATATCCTATTCTCTTATTTCTTATTTTTACTCTAAAAGATTCTAGAAGATCGTTTTACACCAGATCTTTTAGCTGATATTTTGCGAATTCCTCCAGTGAAATCACTTGTTAGACGACATTTAACAAATAAATTTATTGAACTTGTTGGGTTAGATATATGGAAGCGCAAACAACATAACGAAACCACTAATAATAATAATCCACTGACAATACATTCTAAAATCAAAGTAAGTGAATACATTTCTTGTTATTTAATTTAAAGAAAGTAAATAATTACTTAGTTAGGAAACTTTTATGTTGGAGGAGTTGTGCTTTCTCATCGATTTTATTTCGTTATGTGGGGAAAGCCATGGAACTGAGCCTCGATATAGCCATTTTTCGCAAATTTACATAAATCGAAAGTCACTAGCAGTGAGATCTAGGCTACTTTCGGTCGATAAATACCAAGTGGGACGAAGCACGTGTTCGAAATTTCACTTTTAGCCACGGTCCATCCATATAGTATTATTGTATTACTATAAACAATTTACCCAATTCTCAAGTTACATGAAATTATCAAACTAAATCGTGGTAATTTAATTTAATGATAAAATGGAGGTTGATTTCACTATCCAATCTTTGAATAGAAGGAACTAAAGTTCTCAGTTATTAAGAAACTACTTTAAAGTCTATTACGAAACTACTTCATTCAAATACGAGTTTAAACCATCTCGCTAAGATTCAGGACTGGGTTTTGTACTGTTTTTCTCTTTATATCTGTACCCTGTGTAGATTGTCTCTGTGTAGCTGATTTGTCACAAATTCTTGTAAAATAGATGGACTTAAGTGAAAGGTAGTGGGTTCGAGTTCCAATGTGACAAGATTCTAACCACAATCCATCTACTCTATGAAATGCTGCTGGTTGATAACTAGCTTTGAATGTAATTTTCGAAAACTTAGTAAGTCGTAATGACCTTTAGATTTTAACCTTGATTAAAGTTAAACAAGTAATATATAAAGAACTTGAAAATAGTTAAGCTTTTATATTCATTGAAATTTCAAAATATGGATTACTGGATTCCAACTTGGTGGTGTAGAGTATCGTCCCCATCTCTTCAAACTGATCAGTCCTGACCTCATAATATTAAACCTAGTAGACTTAGATTTCTCTCAAACATGGTCATCGGTGAGTAAATCAGTGGAGTCCAACCTTGTCAGTATGAGTAAGGTACCCACCGAAGACAATGGAACATGGTTGAGTAATATCGCTAATGACTGGAGTTAGACTTGTATACCACTAGTCTGGAGGCTCAGCGTCTGGGCTTGAGACCGACATACTGTGTTCAATCCCTGGTTACAAAGTTGCGGATAAACACTGGTAACGACTAACATACTAGGAAAAGCACCTATCCAGTGCTTCCTGTTTCTCATTGATTGTCTAACTTGGATTTCGGTTCGTGATCTTAATAAAATGCTTAACTCTTTATCTTTTGTTTTTCTCGTTTTATCTTACACTTTTGAAAATATAAATAGTTTACGAAAAAGAAAAATATTTTCAATTCTAACCGTGGACACAAGTCCAACCATCACAATCATGTTAGTGGTGTTGGTGATGATGATGCAAGTACTGAGCTTGTTTGTCCTATTGAAATCGATGCCAGTCATACAAGTATCTTTGTAAGTTTTACTATCACAATTAATTTGTTCTGTACATGTACTCGATAATAAACATTATGTTTACATTTTAAATGTCATACGTGTTCCATTCAAACACTTATATTTATAAGGTGGACTGATGGTTCAGTGGGCAAGGTTTTTGATTAACAACTATTATTTGGCATGTTTGAATTACGCCCAAACTGTTTCGATCTGAGTAACCTTAAATTGTCACTAAGCTCCACGTTAAGAGTGTAACCTGAAACCACGAACACTAATTTGTACCTGGCGAAGGAGTTGGGTAAATAAATATTTGACCTTAGAGAATTATTTGTAGGTAGGAGGGATGAACAGTGTTTTCTCAAACCTGTATGAAGCTGAACAGATACATAGATATTTTCTCGAAAAAAATGACATTCACTTTATCACTAGTTTGTATATATCCCGAATAGGCTGTTGACAAGTGAAAGTGTTTCTCATTTTCTACTGACACTGTTATTAAATACCAAATGTATTCACTATTGAATTTCAAACCCACCGCTGATGTACTACAGAAAACGTAATTCTTGTATTCACTTAAGCCTACACAAACGCAATACAACTAAACCCATGAAATACAGAGGGAAAACAAAAATGAACTTTACCATCCAAATATTAGATTCCAAAAGAATATTTGAATAACTTCATTTATGTAAATATTTGTTTTACATTATTAGTGTAACCGACCAGTTTCTTCATTAATATTATGTGAACAATACAAATTAATGTCATACTGAATCAACCCTTCTATAAATTATCATGAGAATCTATTTACTAATGTCACCAAAATACATATGTCACAAATCAATAAAAATGAATTACTCGATCATCCGTTTGATACCAGCACTACGTCATATGTTTTGCTACTTAATTTCCATTTATCAGTAGTAAACATAATGCAGTTAAATTTATTGTATTGATTATGATTGGCAAATACACAGTAAGATGATTTCAACTGATCTAGAAAATATTATGGGATTGAGTAAAAAAGACTGAATGAAAATGGAGAGATGATTTTTGGCTAAATGACATGTAAAGCAACTATAACATATTTGTAAGTACTGTTAATTTTCCCCTTGATCAATCTCCATTGGGATATATACAGCCTTACCGGGTTGCCATTATAATACTAGAGCTATCCACTGTATAGCTACTCCTTATTTGAAAAGAAGAGAACTTTTACTATTCCATCTTAATTTAGAAACAGTAAAGTGATGATTTAACTCATGATTAAATTCTAGACTCATATGACTATATTTAAAAATTTACTGTGTGATTTGTTTACGTATAGAAGGAAAAAAATGACGTGTACAAATGCAAGTGAGACCCCAAAATAATAGTATCATCTAAAAATTGAAATGTATATAAAAGCCAGTAATAAATTCTGGAATTTCACCAGTTAGTGTAGAAGAGAATTTTTCGGTTTCTGGTACGTTTCAAGAAGCAATTGTAGGAACTTTTAAAAATCTACATAATGTCATCTATTTCTCAAAACCGTCCAAACAACCCAGTCAGTTATCTAACCAGAGGTTCTCTACCTTCTTTAAAGAAACATTGGAGTAGGTCGACTGGGCTTAGTGATTTATGGAACCTGGAGAGCTGTTCCTCAAAAATTTCTACTCATGATCCAAGATTCTGTTGAAGCTTGTTGATCGACATCCCACCAACCTCACAGATTTTTTCACTTACACCAGACTTCTTGCCGCCAGTGACTCAGAGGAGTTGAAACGGCTTTTTGTACATCCTAGATGCAAATGCTGCTTTCACGTTGAAGACACGCTCCATCCATTGTCCAAGTCCTTATGCAAATTCGGCATGATTTTATTACGTAAAAATTCACATTTATCACCAAAATCAAAGTTATCAGGCGTATACCGATCTGCCTTAAACTGTTGAAAGGAGCATTCAAAAATCTAGTGCTTATAAGCTGGACGTTATACTAACATTAAAGCGACTACACTCATTATTTCCATGGCTCCATAAAAAATGTAACAAGTGCTCGCTCGCGTTTGCCCTCATACTCTTAAACAACATTCTAGTGGCGAAAAGGTAGTGAGCAAAACTTCCCTTGCAGTAGCTATAAGTGCGCAGCAACACGAGAACATTTTTAAAGGACGAGTGAATTTTCATGATTCTCTGTCGTATTATGTAAAGTAAACTGAGTAGATAAATTCACGTTACTGAGAAACAACACTATTCACAAAAATCGCGGTACGGATACAAAATGCTTGTTTCCTGGAAGTCAACATTAACCTCTTCTGCGTAGTGGTGTCATGATATACATGAGCAAGCCCATGGACTCCTTGCTACGTGGCACTCGTCAGCAAGGTGTACCTGTAATCTTGAGGGAACTGGTGCTCCCTGGCGGATTAGATCTCGTGTCACCCGGCTTCATAGTCAGAGATGTTACCATTGAGTTATCTGAGCCGCGACCGACCTCCTGTAGGACTGAGATGTAGTCACAATTGATTGATCACTGGGTGGCGATCTGCACTAATAAGGACTGGACGCGCATGAAATTGATCAATCAATTGTGAGTACCGATAATCAAATATCTTTCTGAAATATTAAAATTTGCCTTCAAAATCAACCATTAGTTCATAATTTAAAGCCTTAAGATCATTAAGTCATGATTCGAATCAGGCTTTAAAAAAACGCCAATCATTAGGTAGTTATTGAAACCAGGTATCTGATAGTGCATCAACTAACGTTATCACCATAGAAAATTCCAGTTTCCAAGCTTATAATTCAATGATCTAGTTCAAGATTTAGCCTGAAATAATGTCATCAATAATACGTTAGACGGCGGCCAAACCCGAAACAAATGTGCATTTCCGATATGGTGATCCTTACAGGGTATTTTTTTATTCATCCTTTTAAAGAAAGCTATATTGTAACTTGGTATAAACAAATGAAGTTCCATGTACTTTCCTTGGATGATAAAACAATATTATTGATATCCCCATATATATCATTGTTATAACGTTCAGTAGTCCTTCGGATAGTATTTAGCTGAACACTTGGCATCACAAAATGAAGTTAAAATTTAGAGTCAGTCAATTGACACCTCCAAAAAATATTTATTGCTAATTTATAAAGCTTTTTTTATAACTGGCTCACTAACCTTGCATTTATATGTATTTCGACAGGCCGAAGAAATAGTCAAACCTAATCGTCAAAGCATACATCTGCAAGCAGAAAATGTTCCAACAATACTCATCGATCCGGTTGCTGCAAAAGTGCAGGTAAGTTTTATTTTTCAAAGGTCAATTTTTATGATTAACTACTGATAATTAATTAAGTAGTAAAAGTCTAAATAGTTAAAACATAGCTACTTGACATTTATGTATGAAGTAGACGTCGAAACTGAATGATAATAAGCATTAATTACACAGAATGAATACAATAAAACCAATATGGGTGGAATGCGATCCTATATTTAGTCATTCACCAGATATGTTTTTCGTAATCGAAAGTGAATGAAAATATTTTATCACTTACTCGCTAACCTGCATATTACAAGATAATCAATTTACACAAAACGGGTATTTATGAGTATTTATCTATAAGTGAATTGTTGACGAAAGTTTGTTCATCATTGAAGCGGTCTAACTCAAGCATTAACCATGGCATTATTTAATGCTATTCAATCGCATGAACAGTAACAGTTCTATAATGACTTTGAAGTCATGGAGCGTTAGTCCCTGTCTAACAGTTTCATTCACCATACATCAAAGCGTAGTGTTTACGATATAAAAACCTTAGACACTAACCAGTACATTGCAAGTTGATCGATAGAATCGAATCAGCATTAGTGGGATTGTATTATCACATTATTTTTTGTTAGTATTTAGCTAGCTAATGATAAAATATCCCAATCATTGCAGGAGATCAGTCATAAACCAATGATAGCCCAGTGATAAACAAAACTGATTTTGAGAATGTATTGTTCTATCACAGATAAACGTTTTATCAAATGATTAGTAGTTTTTTAACTAAGTAAATAAATTAAACAAATCTTACTACTAAAAATAGATGTTAATAGTCATAATAATACATTTTGAAATAACAGTTTGCTTGTTCTTCTCTTAACTTGTCTGTTTTTTTGTCTTTGATTCTCCCTCTCCCTCTCTCTCTCGGTTCGCTTTCTCTACACCTTCAAACAGCACCTAGAACTTCAAGAAACTGACCTGTGAATCAAGTATGTTGATGATGTTTTTCTTCCTTTTTTATGTTGAATAATATATACCGACATCTATGTAATCAAAGAATTATTCAATGACTTTTTAATGGAAGAAGCTTTACTCAAAGTTTAAGCTTTTATTAATAAGAGAAAGTATAATATAATGTATATCCTGTTCGAGATGCAAAGTTTCATTGAAACATTATATTGCCTGACGGTGGCTCTGATTCACCAACTCACCTATTTTTGCTGGTTTTAACATGGAGATACGTGGAGTTCTAATGATAGGTTGTAACTATTGTAGTTCAGCCAATTCAAGAAAATGTGTGGGCATGTAGCAGTTGTCCACAGATGTATGGTGTTTGCATGACTGATGCCAATCATCCCAAAACTGACTGAAATTGAATAAATGAACGATGAAATTCTAACTTACCAAACTAAAAGTACCATTTTCATTGTCAGATTTGAAAGTTCTTATTTTAATATCCATGAAGAATATTTGAGCAAACAATTGTTTTCAATAACTTCATCATCAGGCTCTACAGTTATAAGTCCATAATTATGATATTTTACAAGGGCTAAAAATAAGGCATGTATTTATGAATTTGACAATGTCATGTGTTAAAAATGGTAAACGTTTGCATCTGTTACGATATATATACTTCAAAATTGTATTATTTTCAAATTAGAAATAAATGTCGAATGGTTGATTACTGTTATAACTAAAATAAAACACTAGTACTCGTGCTCAGGGATTTGCAAGTGTTCTTCTAAGTGATTGTGTCAGTTAGTAATAAATATTTCATACTACGCTTGATATTAACCTCCACAAACCCTACTGTGATCGCTTAATATTTAATATTTTTATCGGTTAAAAGGTTTTTGTGGAAATGGTCTAACTGGTAGCTTTTAATTCATCAAAGATGGTCATCAATTAAGATTTCACTTAAAACTAAGCAGTACTAGATATCTGTTTAGTCCTAGTTTGGGATTCCTCAATGATAATGTGAACTGATGACCCTGATAGGGAATAAAGCTAGAACCTTTAGATTTCATAGCAGAGGCTTAGCAATTTACGCCATTGAATCGGTGTCCAATAGTATAATTCCAAATATAATCCATTCACAATATATTAATAACAATCATCAAATCCCCTTGATGACAGTCGTTCTACTCCCGACATGTTTGAACTCGACTAGAAATATATCAATACAATAAATTTAATTCTGAACAGAATTTTCGGGGAAAAAAACACCCACATACACACACACATGCATACACCTCTTCATCCTCTTTTGTCTCATTTAAACAAAATTTTATAATTCAGTGTTTCATTTTTAGTTTCATTTAATTTATAAAATATATAATTGTAGAAGAAAAAAGATTATTCCGATTTTCGATTTTCTTTTTCTCCCGTCATTATTATCAAAATGAAAAAAGAGAATGGTGATTAATGAATATCTTTGACTGACCACCTGTTACCTATCTTGTTTATGATATCTATATATATAAACGTAGTGTGTACGGAGATATTTCTTCAGGTATAACATGTATCCTATCATGTTCTCATTGTTATTATACTTGATGTTGTTGTTGTTGTTATCTCGTGTCTTGTATAACATGTATACCATGATATAGTTTCTTTCTCTGTATGATTAGTTTATACACATATCTAAGTATGCAATATTTGTTTGTTTGTTTGCTTGTTTGCTTGCTTGTTTTACTGCATATTGTGTTAAATTCTCTTTCATTCACTTTGCGTTTCTTGAGTTTAAATTTTTCGTTTTTCCAAGAAAACTATTTCACTATCTTAAATTCTTTAATCTATATACCTTGATATTAGTTACATTCATCTGTTTCAGTTTTCTATAAGTTATGTATGTGTGTATGTATGTATATAGAAACTTGTCTACATTTGTTAAGTTAATTTTTTATTAAAAAGAAATATAGAATAATTCCTTAAATATACATCATCATCAAGTTCCATACATTCCATTACTTTATCTTAATGTTTATCACTTTCTCTACAATCTATGTATTCTTGTATAAGAGAATCAGATATAAGGAGGAACAGAAAGAGAGAGAGAGAGAGAGATTAGGAGGTAGAAAGAAGATCATTATATGTTACACATTTTTACTTGTTGTTGCTTTTTGTTCTATTCTATCTTATTTTGCTTTTTTTTTCTACATCTCATGTCCATTATTGTGTCAAGAACTATGGGCAATGAAAATGTCTTCCTTTGGTGGTTTTCTTTTCTCTTTTGTCTTTTAGAATTAATTTTATTGTTGTTAGTTTAACTGTAGTATAATTTTTATTAGTGTAACATATTTTTGTATGAAATGAAAAAATTAACTATTTCTTTATGACATTTATACTTTACTTACTTACGCTAATATATACCATAGTAATAATAATAATAATAATAATGAGAAGCATTATCATTACTAACATTACTACTAGTAGTACTGATAATAGTAATAATGGTACTTGTGAATGAGTAAAAAAATTTCAAAGCAGATGGTTACTTGTCAATTACTACATTTTGAGCTGTATCTAAAAGTTTCAAATAAACATAAATATTCTACAGTACAAAATGAATACGCATAGGTATATATGTATATTGCTTATTAGATATCAAAAGGTGTGAACAGGTGTGACTAATTCTTGACCAATAATTATTATTTAGAAAAAATAAATAAATTCCATTGAAATGATGAATCCATCTAGGTTGAACCATCATTGTAAACCTGGAAGCACTGGACAGTTGTTTCGTTTCAGTATGGGACTCTTCAACAGTGTGCATTAGCGGACCTGCACGTGACCTTCGGTCTCACATGAGAACGTCTAACCTTTAGACCACTGAGTCGGCATCTGACAGCATTAATGCCTGACTTCCATCAATCCACAACATTAAGAGACCATCTTTCGTTGTTTTCGGTGGGTAACTGCCTCATAGCCTATATGGATTAGCTCCACTAGTTATGACTTCTTACTAGAACTCCGCAAATTCTTTCTCAAAGCTAGTCACTAGTGAACACATAACAGTTGTCAACAAAGGGTTGTGGAGAATGTTGTATTTCATTGAAATCGTGAACCGAATCAAGTTCGGTCACCATCGAAAACCTGAAAGCACTGGACGGCCGTTTCGTTCTAGCATGGGACTGCTTCCTTAGAATAAATGATTAAAACATACTAATATAAATTTTCCAGAATTATTGATTTTAAATTTCAGTAAAGTTCGTTTTAGTGTTTATCTCTTCCCATATCAGTTGAGTAAATCGATGCAGACTACCTCATTATGATCTACGCGACTATCATAGCTAGTACGTAGAAACATTCACTCTTTCTCACAAAATACCTATATATTTTATTTCACGAATACGTCCCTTCATTTCAAATTAACTTGTTTATAATTATTCTTTTTTACTACTAGTGATGCCGTTAAAATTTCTATTACTCTGATAGTTATCTTGATAATTTCTTCTGACCCTACTGATATGTTGTAACAAACTGAGTCAATGAATATAGATGCCAGGTTCTACGTTGCCTGTTACTGAATGATTAATCAGCTTTCAGTGTTCAATTGTCTAGAAAGTAACATAATAGACACTGAACTGCTGGAGTTACTGGTTTCAAGCCAAGTGAAATTAAGTGTTGTGTTGTTATTCAGTTAAGGTCCAGAATGGCTGAAAATAAATAAGGATTTTTTACAAATTAGTTCAATAATACACATTGATCTTAAATAACCTGAATACTTTTTTTAAAAGAAGCAGTTGAATAATGTAAGAATTACTCTCAGTAATACAGAGCTCCGTTCATTCGAATACTGTTACCGGCTTAATTTATTGGTATAGAATCTTAGATTAGTTTTTTAAAGATTTTGTATCAACTGCTATGTAACTTTATTAAGGATTTGTAACTTCCTATTGCTGATGTTCAGGACTACAATTGATCAGTATCTGTTGTCATATGTGTTTCCTAATCGGATTGTCCCGACATGAAGTTAAGTGAAAACTTTTAGTATATTTAGTTCGTAGCTAACAGTGGAACCCAGAACACATGTTTTACTCCAATTGGGATATGTCAGTTCCAACATACTCTCGATGTTCAAATCGAAACTTAAACCCAGTAATTTTCAGTTGAAACTCAAGTGCTCTATTCAGTGACACTGATTCCAAATAGCCACCTTCGTGACCGTTAAGCAGTTTAATTACTACACCTACTCAGTAGCACAGTGGATAACGCGTTCATTTTTGAATCAATATATAGCGAGTTCGATTTTGGATGTGTACCTCAATCCCGAAGAGTTCCAAGTGGGATGAAACGCGTGTTCTAGATTCCACTGTTAACTACGTACCAAGTATACTATAACTCATGACCCAATGCCATATCAAGGCAGTTCGCTCAGGATGCACATATAACAACAGAGACTAGTCGACTGTTTTTCTGAATGTCAACAATAGGTAATTAAAAACTCTGACCAAAGTTGTAAATCATTTCATCCAAAATCTATAGAAATCCTAACTCAACCAGATTCTATTCGTTTAGTCAGCATCAGTTTCTTTATTATTACATTTACGTCTTCTCGACGAGTGCCAACTAGCAAAACCAAGTTAAACAGCTTATGCTGTTGGCCACCTACCTCAAACCTCCTAAAACCTCAACACCTAGTCTACATAACCATATATTCCATACGTAAGTTCAACAATATTTGTTACGATAATAATAATAATAATACTTTTAAGGACTAAATAATTTGACATCATGAAATGCAATCATCTCTTATTGTCTCCATTAATAATGATGATTAGAATATTATTATATGATAAGTTTATAATCAACAATTAAACTCGATGACTACTGATAATAGTAAAACTTTATTTACTTTTCCAAATAATACCACTTTTACTACTGTTCACTTCCGGCATACATTTGTATTGGAAGATAATTTCTGTGTTTATAGGTCTATTTGATGCCACCCTAGTTTGCTTCCTAAAAATCTCGAGAAACAGTTTTAACATTTTGTCTACATTGACGTCTCATGGTTTCGTTTTTCACTTGTCATATACATATCTAAATGACTAGGCATCAATGCACTTTCATGTAATATACATACATGAGCATATTTACCGATATTAGTTTTGTATAGTTAAAATGAATGTATATGGGAAAGTAGTCACTAATATAGTATGAAATACTTACACCATGTTATAAATATCATGGAACATAGACGCACTCACACATATTTACATAAACACACAGTCGAGATTTGATTCTCTAATAGCTCTTAAAGAAAAAGATAAATTTTCGGTTTATGATAACCTGACCTACTTTTATTCTACTAAGGGTATATATATATATATATATATATATAAATATATATATATATATATATATATATATATATATATATATATGTTAGTGTGTGTTTCTATTCCAGTTATTACTATCGTCCTAATTTGACCATTTTCTTATTTTGCTCTACTACTACTACCACTAGTGATACTTCCGGTCTTTTTGGGTTACAAGAACTGTTTTTTGGGTAATCTAACTTTATCCATTTACAGTGAGTATTATTATTATTATTATCATCCTCGTATTATTTATGGTATTGAGTCTTACCACGTGAATTTGAAAAAAATGACTGACAAATAGCTTACTATATGTGAGTGAATCTATGCATATGTAGGTGTGTATATTTTCTGATTAAGCACTAGTCTCAAAATAGATTCGTGCTTACAGTTAACTTATCCTATGTATCACATTCAAGTTGGCCGTATTCATTTCCAACTCTATCCCGTTGTCTCTTTCTATCTCTCACACACTTTGTCATACACACACACACACATGAACATATTTAAAATAAAACTAATTATAGGCCCTCAAGGTTTATTTTATTTCGAGTTGACTCTGTTCTTTGGAAAACTTTAAATTTTTGTTATATTCATCTTATTCTATACTTATTTCCTTAAATGAATTCTTTCTCAGTTTCTTATTTCTATTAAAATATACAGCTGAAGTTCTTAGCATTCATTGATGTGTGTGTATGTGTATGTGTACGCATCAGTGTGTTGATGTGCGTCAGTGTGTTCACAATGGATCTTGTAGTATATTTTTGTTTTATGCTTGAAGAAAAACAACAACAACAACAACAAAGTAGAAGAGAAGGTATATTCACAACGACAGTAATATCAACACCTTAGCCTATGCTAATCTAAGGTCATGTATGTGTATAACCATAGAACTAATAATCATAATAGTAACATAACTATGGAGTATAATATAGTACTGAAAATTAATTAATATTATTTGTCAGAATAGAGGATATATATATATATGTACACGCAAAACGCAACTAGTTTGATTTCATTCGAAGTTGTTGTGATTATTGTGTTTCTATCGAGGAATTATTCTGTGAATAAAAGTTTAACTTATTTGTTTTGTTGTTTGTTTGTTTGTTTTTTCAAGAAAAACAGTTAATTATTCTAGTTCAAAATTTAAATTAAAAAAATAGAATTATATGAGGTTAGCAGTTAGTTTCTGTTGCCTAGTTTACTGAGATTATATAAAGAAGAAATAATATGTGCATTGACTTTTGTGAATTATTAGATGGTGGAGAAGATTTGTAGCTCAGATGAAATTGTGCTGATGATGTCATTCAGAAAAACGATGAAAGCTCCACGACTAAATCATCCATCAAAAACTTTTGTGAATATTTTTAAATGAATTCAGGAATGTTGTTTAATCAATTTCAAAAAAATTTTCTACATGGAATTTGTTTATTTCAGTTTGTTGGTTTAGAAAACTTTATTAGTTCAATGGTATTAATGAAAATAATATGATAGAATTAGATTGAGATCTGCTTTCAATTGTAATGTTGAACTAATCTAAGTGAGTAGGTTTCTGTAGAAGATTTTAAGTCAAACTCTGATGATGAGTATCAGCTAAGATGAAACCTATATCAAAACACGATTTGTTATTGATTAACTTTAAGCACTCTGTCTACATCAGAATGCATAGAATGCTTGAGTCACTTATATCACTGGCCAGATTTCAACCTGATCACCATTGCAAGTCGGTGAACGGTGGACATCTATTACATCTTACTTTGAGACTCCACAGTTTACATTTACGGCTTTATCAAAATCTTTGGGCTTTGACAACTGACTAGGCGTTGTCGGCGAGGTCTGAAAGTCCTCAGTTCTATCCCTCGTGGTCTTATGGATGTACATTGATTAGGAGTCTAATACTAAGGTAAAACACATAATCAAAGCTTTCCAGTTTTTAATGGTCGCCCAACTAAAGTCAATTCATAAGTTGTACATGTATTTAACTACATAATTCGATGTATTTTGAAAGCAATTTTCAAGCAATGAATCACTGAAAAAAACTAATGAACACTTGACACATGTTCCCGTTTTCATCTGTAACTTCTAGAGATTATGCAACCTCAACCGCATATTCGCACACAGGATAATACTTATGATTTTCAGACATCACAGTGGTGAGAACAATACCACTGTTTCACTAAGGTGGTATGTAGTCCATTACATATGTATAATGACCATCGTCTCCTCCAACTGTAATATATCAAAGGTTCATTCCTAATTTTTTTGTCTAATATACATCATATCTGGACTAGTCAAGTCTCTTAACCAACAAACTACTGAGTTACAGTCCAAGGGTTTAGCACTTACTAAACTTCAAAATACTCCCATCAAAATCTAACAGTCATATGTTCCATCCCCAACGAGGTGATAAGTGTACACTATTATAAAGAGACAATTATATACTGAGAGGGGGGAATGAAAATAGTTGTGTTCATTCTTACTGACTTACTTCAGCTCATATTTTGTTTCATATTTTCAAAATATTTCGGTTAGAAATTAGTTTTATTAATTTGTCAATTTTTTTATTGCTTTTTCTAGACAAATAAATAAACGATTCTGGATATAAAATATGATAATTTACTACCCAATATATTACCATATTGTTATTATACTACTGAATAATGTTTTCTGATTAAATCCATGTATAAACAACTCAATAACTCTTTGTATACAATATTTTAATGATTTCTTCCATCAATCTCTCCATTGTTATCACCTTTTGCCCCCCCCCCACTTTATTGTTCATTACTTCTTAGATTTGTATCCACTACCAATTATATATATATATATATATATATATATATATATATATATATATATACTCACAAGTATGAATTCTTGACAAATGTTTCATAGTATACCATTGATGTAAAATTCCATTTCATTATTCAATGAACAAAAATAACCAATACAAGATATCAGAAAATACAATTCAACACAACTCCCATTCACCTCACGTCCACAGATATACACAAACATGATAATGTATAGCTTAATTTTACTGATTCAACTATTTTCTATGTATGACTATGGTCTCTATCATATGATTACTGCTCAACTCCACATAGCAATCTTTAAAACCAACAACAATGAAATCTTGTTCAGTTGTCATCTTAACATTCTTAACAGATAACTTATCATTGTCTCTGTCAATATTATTACTGCTATGATTATTTATTCACCTACATCTTGATCATGTTTTGTTTTGTTAAAAAAACAAATTGCTTTTTCTCCTGTGATTTTGCTTTTCTTTACATTGTCAATTAGTTTATAATGCTTCTTCTCTGTTTTATTTGTGAAGGACCAAGTGTGTAAATGTATGTATTGACCATAATGGAATTTGTCATTATATTATACTATAATGATTGATATAATTACTATGAAGTGAACTAATTGTGCTGACCAATCAAAATAATAAAATTGATTTTTTTTTTAGAAAAAAAGTTTTTAGTTGGATACTCCTAGTACGTATATCCAAGTAGTGTCTACCTCAACAAGTGTTGTTTACTAGTAGAGGAAATACTGATATGCTTTGTCGATTGAAAGCTATTTGTTATATCTCGTCGTCGCTGATTGTTATGTCGGAAACACTTATGACTTATACTCCAAAAATGAGGGACTTTTGCAATTATCACGACGTGAAAATAAGAACACAAAGACTGGCATAAGTGAACCCTCAAAACACGATGACGACGACCCTGGTTGAAAATGCACTCATTTATATATTGATTCATACATCCACTTTTTGATTAATAAATAGAATGAAATCACATATATGAAAAATACTTTGGGTTATAACATGTTGCATGCTGAGTATAGTTGATGTTAACTTAATATAAGAATATCGTATGTTATACAGAATAAAACAAAATCGAATACTACACTGAATAGTCACCACATTGAATTGAAACGGAATTAATGTTGAACCAAAAATCATAATCTATAAATCAATCTAATTTGGACTTTTCTTCCTATTATATCACCACAATGATTGGAGCGATTAAATCAAGACATAGTATCAGTTTATAAAATTATTGACTGTTAGAATGAACAGTGTAGGTAGGTTCAGACTATATGGTTTGGGTCCTCATGATTATCGTAGTGGTTGGGGATATTGAGGAATATTGAGTACATTTATAATGGACCAAATGTATTCACTCTTTGTTTTTCTTCAAACATTAAGTTTTAAAAACTATATTAAATGTTTTATTCTGAGAATTCATCATATTTTCTTGAATCATTATCTTGCTTACTAATCCTACTACTCTGAGATTCATCTTAATCATTTCACTGTACCGATATGCTATGGCAACTTAAATTGACCTACAACTATATCATATCCTTCGTTACTCATGACTGACCAATAAAGTTAAGTAGTCCAATGACGTATCAAAAAATGATGTACATTAAATAGATAAAGGAATGATACTATGAAAAATATAAAAACTGGGAAAAATACAACCGAAAAATACTTTTCCAATTTTGGGCTATCCTTACAGTTTCATGATTTTCACTAACTTCTATTCTGACACATACCTAATAATGTGTCATATCATTAAATTCCATGACCTTTAGCACTGCAACTAGAGGTATGCTAGAGAGAACAATTCAGATTCGGACAAGTTATGTATTAAATATACATTCATTTAATTATTATCTGTGATGGTATATTGTACACTACCTACCCACCTATTACATTCTCTTTTTGCTTGTATATATTTCGTCGTGTAACTTGGAATTCTTAAAACATTGATTTGGTTCGAATAATATTGAAAAGAGTTTTACGCCTTTAGATCACTTCAATACATATTGAGTGACCATAATTCTGAATTAGGTAACTCGAAATCTTATTTCATTCAATAAAGTAAAATGCTATACATCCCTACTAGGATTGCACATTACAATGAAGTTTTATTTTATATCATAACTCTTTGCATTCTCTAACAACTGGTACATGTCTACAATCAAAGAAATGGACGAACTTTCTGACAATCCAACGTTTTATAGCTAGTTTATCATATTTTCTACATTAAAATTACTCATGATCCAGAAGGAATGATGATTACTGATTGTAATTATTTAGATTGAGGCTAGGTTTCCCCCTTTTTGTTATTTTATAACTAGCTGAATCCTCCATTCATAAGTTTAAGAAAATATGTTTAATTTTTCGAATACTCATGACACACACAAAAAAGGCTAAAAGCTATTTTTTGGCTTTTATTTTCCCCGCCACAATATAACATACACGTGCTTTATACAGCTTAAATCCCTTGACCTTCTTTCACGCTTTCCAAATGACCTAACACTTTCTGTGACGTACTGTTAGGAATTAATGAATGATTTCATGCGTTAGAATAGATTAGGCAAAAATAATTGAAAAACTATAATATATATGGCTCGTTATCGATCATATGTCTACAATCAATGCATATAATATTCTGTTGAGCTGTTATGGAATATAAAAACTGATATATTTATGATAGAGTTGGATAATGACTAGTAACGAAACCCAGGACGCTCGTTTTGTCCTACTTCATGCTCTCCATCTGGATATGCCTGTATCCCGAAACTGTTCGCTTCAAGCACAATTGCATTACCCACTTAGCTACTGAGTTCAGATAGTCACTAGCTTGTTCAATAAAATGAATTTTAATTCATTTGTATTGGTCTTTTGAATCTTCTGATTGTGTTTAGGACTGTACTTGATCAGTCTCTAATCGGTATATGTCCATCCTATGCGGATCAACACTGCTAGCTACCATACAACTTTTTAATAATGCTTATGACTTAATGGAAGTATTAAGGTAATCCACACTAAGTGCACATATACTAAAAAGAGACAAATCAATTGCAGTCGTTAACATCAATGCGAAGATTCAAACAACCGATGCAAAGGAATTTTGGTTTTGTTCTCTGACCATCCAGCTCAGAGAACAAAACTCCACCAAAATCATCCACCTGAGCTACAAATCTTCTCCACCATCTCAATGCAAAGGAGTTGATATATTTATAGCTAGTTTTATCAGGGTCTTCATTTTATTTGGATTGTGGCTATTAATGGAATACAGGATGTACACTTCATCCTATTAAATAATGTACTTTCTATTTCAAAATTTAATGTCTTGCAAAATTTTCTGTTATTGCTTGTGATCATTTGTAACAAGACTGATTTGCCAGTGTTCTGATTTAAATTGATTGCTAATTACTGCTGATGACATGACTGTTTGCTATAACTAAAGATTAGCTATCAGATACAACTTATTTCATAGGAACGGGTATGCTATGCCAAGGCAAGGAAGAAAACAAGACTTTAGAAGACTGATTTAGTCACTAGCTTCTAATAAAATGACATCTATAATAATAATAATAATAAACCACATATCATTTTACATTTTCGGTCAACCAACGAATTTGAATGAATCAGCCAACAATCAATTAGTAATCTATTATATGTATGGGATTCGCAATATCGATAAATTAACTGACTCGAATCAGAAATGTAATTCATTAGTGAATTATATATATATATATACTTCCTTCTTAATAGCTAATGGTATGGTTGTTTGCTCTGACTGAAGAAGAACTGCTAACTATTTAACAGAACGAGACTCGATACTTTTAGATGAAGATGTATTTATGCACCAAACACTGGTTGTCAACTGATCGAAATGTATAAAGTTACATATCCTTTTAAATAATTGATCAAGTAGATAAGTTTAAATGCTTTTCACAGTTGAATTCACGAGTCAATATAAGCTAAACTATCGCTGAAAACCTGGAAACAATAGACGGTCGGTTCGTCTTAGTATAGGACTCCGGAAAAGTGCTCACCCACGAACTCTTACACGAGAATAGAAAACAAGACCTTCAATCTCGCGCTCGGAGACGGCACGTTACTGTGTTGATGTCCAACCTCGATCAATTCATGATGTTGCACAACTCTTCATTTATTGTGTGAGGTAAATAAACATCTCACACCCTAGACGATTAAACTCCACTGGTCATGGTTCCTCACTAGAACTTTAGGAGTTCCATCTTGAAGATCTTCACTAGTGAGCACATGATTATTATCAGTAAGTCTGTGTAAGTAACATAATAAGATCAGTATAAAACTGTTGACATATCTTTTTAAAAAGTCAAATGATTCCCAATAGAGCGAAACAATTATCAAGAAATTTTACTGTTAAGAGTGACTGTCTCACTGTCATCAACACTGTGGCATTATATAAGTGGTCATGAGTAATCCTCTGGAAGTTTAGGAATTCATCCCAAAATTAGCTATTTCCTTACTAATAACTAATCATTTGTCTCAGACGATGTTTGGGGAGATTGTTTAGTTTGACAATATTTAGTATTAAGATAAGATTGTAAGCAGTTACCTATACAAAATTCTAGATCGATTGCTCACATGATTTCGAATCAGAAGTCTAAGCGATCACACGCTTACCAAGAAATCTATGCCGTAAGTGCATATTGATACCGATGAATGTTTTCTTTTTATATTATAAGATGAAAAAGTTATGTAATACTCACTTTTTGGCTTTTAATAGTTATCGCATTTAAATCACTACATGTATCTCAGTTTGGAATAGAAACGATTAATGAAATTTGTAAACAAAATTAAACTAAACTGTCATAATTTAAAAGCAAAGATGGATAGTGGCAAACAGTGGAAACAAGGATGCGCGTTTCCTCCTATTTGGGACTCGTCAACTGGATGTATTTGTATCTCAGAGTTGATGTTCACTCTGGGACTTGAACCCAGTACTGTTCTCTTCAAATGACATCGCCTTATCCACTTAACTACTGAGTCCCCGTAGCCACCTGTCTGTGCAATAAAACTTTTCGTCTGCTCTAGGGCCTCTGGAGGCTCCGTTGTCGGAAGCCATCTCAACAGTATCTCAGTCTAAAATAGAAACGATTAACAAATTTTAAACAGTACGGTTTTTTGTTTTGAATTTTTTTAAACAAAATTAAACTAAACTGTCATGATTTAAACCAATTAGATTATTTGGACTTCACAGATGACCTATCCCTCCTATGCAATACACATGAACAAATACAGATAAAGACAGCCAATGTAACAACAGTCTCTGTATCAGTAGGCCTCAACATACACAAGGGGAAAACCAAGGTTCTCAAATTCAAACGGAGAACACCAATACGATCACACTTAATGGCGAAACTCTTGAAGATGTAGAATCCTTCACATACCTGGGAAGCATCATCGATGGTCAAGGAGGATCAGATGCAGAAGTAAAGGCGAGGATCGGAAAAGCAAGGGCCGCATTCCTACAATTGAAGAACATATGGAAATCAGAACAACTTTCAACTAATATCAAAGTCAGAATCTTCAATACCAACGTCGAGGCAGTTCTACTGTATGGAGCTGAAACTTGGAGAACTACTACATTCATCATCAAGAAGGTACAAGTA